AAGATCAAACTTTCAAATAGACGCCATATTGAACAGAAAGGCCACTCACCATGATGTTACGTGCGGGACTGGCCCACAGGTGGTTCACGTGGGGTCGCGAGCGAGACACGCCCCGGGGGTCAAAAAAGCTCAGTATATCGCTTATTCAAATGAGATTCCTAAATCTACCCAAATAGGTGCTGCAATGTGAGATTGTGAAGGGCATGAGCGAGATGCTGTTCGCCTGCTGTCTCTCGCGCCCTTCGTCTTACTTATTCGCACCTCATTGACTTTTCCTGAATGCATATAGGGCCATAGCTCAAAACCACCATGAATAAGCAGAACACATGGACAGCACGCACCACCGTTCATCAACAATGCACTCGTTTGCTGAACCAACAAATCTTGGACACCGACGTTGGGATACGTGTCCCAACCTTCACCATCTGATTCACAGCGCTCATCTACTCTTACCTCACCTACAGATTGCCAAAGTAATGCTGTTGTCAGAAACTTCCTGTTTCTTGAGAAAATGCTCTTCGGCTGTTTGAAGTACTCATTTTGGTACTTCTAGGCACGATCACTTTCTATTGACACCATAATAATGTTGCCACAGTTTGCGTTCTTAAAAAAGTTGCAAAGACAATTAAATTGAAACGAAGGTGAAAGAACGGAACAAAATTATAAACGAAAAGGAACAACAGAACGTTAAAGAAAGCTATTCTATTCAGTTCCTTTGTTAATTTAATGGCTTTCATTACAATGAGAGATGGAACTACTCTGAGAGTGCCGCTGTGCTTTACACTGATTTTGAAATTCATCATTTGATTTGCAGAGATTCTTCAGATGCCACCAAATGATGCCCTTTCTGGTTCACAGATGAAGAACGACTTTTTCAATGTTCTCTCGCTCTCTCTCTCTCTGTCTCTTTTCGTGTGTTCCATTCCTTAATAATAAGGAAGACCAGTGATTTAATCATTGCATCCTCTTCGATTTGGAAACGATTTCCAGCTGAGGCCTTTTTTTGAATAAAGGGCTACGGCTCGCCATTGGCTCACCAAGGCGATTTCCTTGATGCTATTATAGATAATGAAGTTTCCACGCTCTCTTATTGTCTTACTAAACTCTCTCTGCAAAGTAGTGCCTTGAAATTGGTCAACTCAAGCCGACAAGCACACTTCTGAATGTTGAGAAAATTTCATTATTTCATTGCCACACTATACTCCTTTTCTTAGATAAGTGGCCAAATCACCCAATAGAAAATATCTGTTTGTCCTACTCAGATTTACTTTATAATATTTCCTCTTAAGCACTGATATAATAGTTCAGTGTAGTGGTCGGAGTATTAAGGTTCAATGAACGAAATAAGAAGATCTTATTGCTTTCTCATCTTTCATGGATGAAACACATACTTTGTTGTAAATGGAAGCAAACTATTGAATCCGAATGCTTCAACTCACTCTCCGGACAGTCTTCGGATTCCGAATTCTCGATTTGACTGATGTCCACATTTTGGCACGTAATGTGTTCGCGGCGTAAAGCATATGTTTCAGTTAATGTTTTAAAATTGCAAAGCAGCTGTACTTTTTGTGGGTCAACAATATTTATTCAGTTATTTTAAAAGTACTGCTCAAAAGAAATTTGCATTTTTTAATCACATTTCGCATTTCCTTCTCCGAAAATCCCAGGTAGAACTACACCAACGTCGGAAATCGCGGTCACCCTGTTAAAACCAAAGTCACTAACTTGTGGGTTATGATAATCTGGAAATGTCCTCGCAAGGCTTAATTGTGGTGAAGCCTGGAAGACTTTTTTTTATGATTCGCGACTACGGTCGATTCAAATATTGATCAGAGCATGCTTGCACTTTTAAAGGATATAGCGTTCATCAGTTTCTTTATTAGGCATCATGCATTTGGCTCCGGTAAGCATCTTTGAAAGAATGGAACACATGTTTGGCCTAAATAATTATTTACATCAGTGTACTGTTATACCAATTCAATGTTTCTATTCTTCCCTACAAATCGCAAATTTACCGATCTTGGAGAAATGGAGAGTTTAGTTTGACGGGGACAAGGTTTCGAACCAATGGTCATGAGTAAACTACGAGACACAGTCTACCACTGCACTAAACCCACACTTTTTTATACAGTACAACTAAATTAGATAATAACGGTGTACCACTTCTATAGCCGACCAATTGTATTTGAAGAATTCTGTTCGTAACAGTCAACTTGCCCCACCTGGGGGTATGTGGTTTTTATAAGTGTGGATAGGAATGTTTATACATTATGCAAAGTTCACGATCTAAGTCCATCGTGACCCAGTAACCCAAGCGGCGTGAAAGTTTTAAAGATTCGCCATTTAGCGCAACAAAGAATATCAAGATCGTCCTTTATGATTTGTCAGAATTGCCAACTACTATTGGACTTGATAAACATGAAATGGGTCAGCCTATACTAAAGTGATTTGCTCGGTAGCTGGGCGTTGTCGTTCAGATGCTCGTGCGCGAGATGCGCTGATGTTGGTGGCGTTTTATGGCGTGCTCCTTTGCATTATTGCTGTTGTGATTGAAGATGTCGTTTGCAGGTGAGCATTGAGGCCTCCCTTGCTGGGTTGGCCGGTCGTTACTCTGTCGAGGATCGAGGCGGGGCCACCCGACGTCGTGCACTGCTGGTCCCGACCGTCGGCAACCTGTGCGCACAGCGGCATGTTCTCCGTCCCCGTTTCACCATGCCTAGCAACGGAATTGAGCCCTGAGTCTTTTCCAATCTTAGCCAAAGTCAAAAGCAATCTCTGCAACTTTGCCGTCTCTATGCAACGAGTGAAACTTGTGGGCCGAAATACTATTTGCTAATGCTGAATTGCCATTCAAGCTGACAAACAGTCTGATAGGGTTTTCTCTGGAATGTTGGGAAATGCTCTTGGCAAACGAACACCGTTCTGGCTAGTATGCTAGTGTTCTTACATTCCTCGAACTGCAGAATGGTTGAGGTAAATAGTAACCCGGATTGATTCACTTAGCATTTATCGTAAAATCTGAAGGAAAACAGCTATTGAGTCAAAGTTCATCAAAAATCTAAGAACGAATTTATAAGTAATACGTTGTCTGCTTACTTTTTAAGCTAGAATGTCTTGGCTATCTCGGTTGTGTATGCCTTTCTTCTATCCTTAAGCACTATTTTGCAATTTGTTTCCTAACTGTAGCATGAACGAGCATCTTAACACTTGACACTTGACAAGCCTCTATTCCACGTTTCTTCACAGAAGAAAAACATGCTGCTCAACATCAGATATCCTTTTTAGGGTTTTTGAGGTTTTTGATCGATTTTATTATTATAACCGCGAGAACGTGTGTCACCAAGCAGAAAGACATCAGTTGCCAACATACGCCCGCCGTTCGCCCGTCGCTTTACAGGCAAACAAACCCATACATTCTCCTTGATAGAGATAAAATTAGTAAGTCAGACTAGTTTCGGAAAAAATAGCACGATAGAAATGAAATTGATGTGGACAGAGTGGGAAGGGAAGGTTGGGAAAAGCTCTTCATCTCTCACCCTTATTAGTCTAATTCGCAGTTTTCTAGTATTACTTCGGAGCCCTCCCTTTCATACAGAATCTCCAGTTGTTTTTTAAAATTATGAAGCAAACTTCAAAACTGTAATTTGTGGCGTATTTATTCCACATTATGGTGTTTTGTGTTTCGTTCCTAGTCGGACAATGAATTTCGGTGTTGTTCTCTTAGGCAATTTTTTCCTCTTTGCTCCTTTCCCAATCTGATTGTGCTTCATGCCGGCAACCATTTTTACCTAGTCGGGTCGTTAATTTAACGATTGCCCACTAAATCATACGTCTGAAAAAAGTTCCTAGTAATTTTTATTCATGAATGTCCGTTCGTGAACTCCATTATGGCATTAAAACTAATCGAACTTGTTCAAATTAATTTGTAGCCGAACTCATCCGAGAATCCCGAATTTTCTAGCTGGAAACTGTAGTTCGCCTAAACAGTTTTTTGCTTTGCTTTCGGGTTTTTTTTTGTCATAGATCTGTTTTTTAGGAAATCTGGTGGTTTGTGTGTACATCTGCACGAAGTTTATTTTAGAAGGTTGTTTCATTCCACGTGTCTCAATCCATCTGATCATTGCAGAGCTGCCTGCCATTAAAATGCGTTCGTCCCTCGTTGAACACCAACCTGGTCGATGACGAGTCTTCCTAGGAGATTTACTATGCGAACGGCACTGCTAATATTATCCATAGCAGCCGTCATTACTGAAGGTGAGCAGCTTTAGTGTGACATTAATAGAAAGAAGAAACATAGTTTTCTCAGGACATCACTTCCTACGTCTTCCATAAATTTTTTTACATCCCTCACAGTCTCCGCACTTTCTTATAAATGATAAATCACAAGCAATGATTAAAGCTGTTCCTAGATTTCTGGATGACGACTTACCTGGTCTCATTAATAACGTTCAGTTTTTGCTGATGTCTTAGTGCTTATCATAGGCAGATCTTTAAAAGTTTATGAATAGATACTCGAGTGCTCGTTTTTAGTCTGTTTAAATTATTGTAAAATCTGTCTTAAAAATTTTGAACCCTCTGTACTAATAGACGGCCGTGCTGTCGATTTCATTATACTTTTCTGCAAGTGTGCATAGAACGATGTGAAACCTCAGTTCTTACCGCAGTTTTTTATCAATTTACTTCTTTTCAAACACTAGAGCAAGTAGCGCAGTGATAGTGGCGCCGTTCATCACAACTACGGTCTTTATTCGACAACTATCCGTGCTCACAAAACCTGTTACCTCTATGAGCTGGACAAATTGGTACCGAAGCTGGCTGGGAGTACGGTTCACTTTCTGGAATCCAAGAGCGTACTCGTTAGCTCGACTATCGCTTATTTACAGGAAGAGTCGACTCGACTAGCAATACTCGTAATGAAGTCGATAGTCCTCAAGCAGCAACTAAACCCACACGCGAAAAGTTCAAGGTCCCTCGTGGAAGATGGATAGGAGGAAGCGAATACTACCAAGAAGTGCTGAGATAATCACAGTAGATGAAAATAGGTCCTGTAAAAAGTCATCATTGGAATTATGAGATAGTAATCCGGATCAATACGAGCATTTGAAATTAATTCTGCATTTTCTTAGACTTATGTATTCAACCTCAACTTTAACCTCCCAACGGTTTACCGCCTCATCGTGGCTGGAAGGTGTTCTTGGGTGTTGGACCGCGATCTACAGTGGGGAGATTCGTCCCCCAGCAGGGTCTCCCAAGCTGAAGAGTCCGGTGTTTCTATCAGGAAGCCTAGGTAAGAGTAAACCAATACCAGGACCCACCACCGTTCTGGTATGAAAGTCGCATGGTGGTAAATCTCCCTCTGATCCACAAGGGCTGCGACTGCCTGTGGTGGTGAAAACTTGGGGCACACTTTGGCCAGGCTGACCTCAGGACTCCAGGAAACAACAATGCCAGCAAAACTACGAAAATGTGGAAATTATGCTGAGGCCCTCACAACCAAGGAGGGCGGGTCATCGAAGTATCTAAGTAGGTAAGAGCTATCACTAAAGGTTTTGAAGCTGTTTGCTCAAGTTTTTAAATGATTTGTGGTTTATCCTTTCTTGGCATTCCTTACTTATTTTTGGGTTTGCTTTCACCTCCACCTAACCTGTACTGATATCATATCATCCACTACCCCATGGAATCTTTGCTCGATGTATCTAAAGCGGAAAACGCTTATGTTGTTGTATTTACCATCTTCAATGTACCTGTAAGTTCCTGCTTCTACGTAATCACTTTAGACTTCATCAACTCCGAAATCATCGTTATAGACAATCTGCCTTTTTTAACAACTTCGTGGTAAAAAGAAAAAAAATGAGAGTTGAGAAAGTGATGACACAACTTTTTGCTTAATTTTATTTCAGTTTAATTCTATTTACCACTCGGAGCCTATCCACTCACGCTCCAACCGGTTTTCTTAACAGCCCATAAAAAATAAACAAGAATTGTTATTCTAATAGCCTTCTGTCTCATTTTAGGAGTCTATGAACTCCGAATTTATGATGGCGCCAGTCGAGGTACAAAACTTACAATGGGTGTTGAGCTACAGAGACGTTTTGAGACGATGAAAAACTGCTTCGGACAACTGGAGACCGATATCGAATGGATCGAATATCAGTACATTTTTGGGACTTCATTGAAGTGTTTCGACTAAAAAAACAACAAAAGACTATTGAACATCCATTAAATTTATGAACGCAGTTTTTTCTTCAACTACTTAAAGGAGTAAAATAGTTAAAATTCTGGAATACCGAATTAGTTTCCTTGGGTAGTCTTTCTAAATAATTTCCCTCATGGTCAGCTCTACGACTGCTGTCAAATGCTTTTACTGTTACGAATGAACAGACGTTTTTTTGAAATTAAGTCACTTCCTGTTAATTAAAAAATAATCAGATTCCTTTTTCGGTCTTCCTTTCCATTTTCGAGTTATTCTACATTCTTAGGCACAATAATCGTAAATATGTGCACAATTCCAGATCGGCTCGAAACGGTTTCTATACGACCGCTGACCTGCCGGCTGTAAAACCGTTAAAGGATCTGACCGGAACCCTCCATCTGTAAGGGCACTGAATAGATTTGGATTTATGGTTGACGTATCGATATCATTCAGGCTGTGCACGGGTAATCGAATGCATTCACTTGACTTTCGCATCCACATCACTCATCGGAATCATCATTCCCCGACGTTCACCAAGTCCGAGTACCGATTCTACGTGCCGATGACGCTCTCTGTTGGAGCTAAAATTGGGAACATGGAGGTATATCTTATTTTTTCTACAAGGCCACTTTACATATGCATATATTGTGAGTATTCTAACACATTTCCAATTTGATTCGTTTCCACTCATCCATCGAAGCTTTGCCTTGGTTTTGTGTGTAGGTTCTGGTACCGCTTGACTAGAATATCATATAGCACACACAAGTATTAAAATTACCAAGGAATACTGTATTGAAAAATTTCAGTTAGTAAGAGAAATGCTATGATTCTATATAGAGAAACAGCATGAATCAAAAACCAACGATTGAATGACTGTGTTGATTTTCCTAGCTTTCCATTATTTGCGGCTGTTTTGCTGAGATGCCAAAGTGTTTATCAGAAGTTAATGAACACAACGATCTCCGGTATCTCCCGTGAAGTAGTCATTCTTCAATGCGTTTCTTATTTATTTTTTCTATTAGGCCGATCCGGTCTGCTTCTGTGTAACGCAGATAGCATCGCAAAATCAAATGGGCGGATATCACAGTGGTAGTGATGCACGTTATCACGAGCATGGTACTAGTTCGATTCCGCTTCGGGCCAACGGAGCCTTATTCCCACGGTGTCAGGAAATTAGTACCGGACTTGTCTGGAGAAGAAGTACTCTCTACTATCCATTTGGGAACGCTCCAACCCGGCTATTCCATGACTCCAGGGAGAATTGCTGGACCAGCATTCTACGACATTCAAGATTAAATGAAAATCCTCAAGGAGCAACTGAAGCCACACGTAAAGTTGGAAGATCTCCGCGGACAATGGGTGCGAGGAAACGAATCGAATGTGAGAAGGGCTGCGATCCGGACGGTAGACGTGAAGACGGATCATATTAAAAAATAAATAAAAATCCGGTCTGCTTTTGTGTGATGAGCCATCGGGTTGTAGTTGTCGCTGCCATTGTAGGCGACTCGGCTAAGCTTGGGATCAGTGTTAAGCCGTCCGTTTTCAACAAACATCCAATTAAGGCTTTCACTAATTATGCCCATGCTCAGTGTCCGTTGGAGTAAACATCAGCCTTTTTCGTGGGAGGAGCCGTAAGATTGTAAAGGTCTCAGATGTGCAAAAGTTAACGAATGTTTCGGAAGAAGCAAAAGGGCTAGCGCATAGTCACAAAAATGAAAACTTATGTCCTTCTTTCATTGGAGTTCACTAAAGGTTTTTTTACAGTATTCGTCATGAAGATCATAACAATATTACGAATTAGTCGGTGTGAAAACCAGAGAAGAAAATGAATGCACCGTTTGTGATTCATAAATGAGTGCTCTTTTCAAAATTATTCGGGACCAACTTTACATATACCAGAATTTTTTAGAAATTTCATGTCTATCCAGAATTGAGGCTTCCAAAATCTATTTCATTCAGGTCCACGACAACGATCCCGTCATCTACAACTCGGAGCGTAGCTTGAGCTTCACTCAGGAGCAACCGCTACTTGCAGTACTTGCCGACGGCGCGCTAATACTCAAAGAAGAGCTTTCAACACAAGCTCCCTTCAAACCGATTCGAATGGGGGTCAGATAAGAATAACGGAGGATGTTTCGCACAAATTTCATTTAATCGATATGTTAATAGATAGGTATAACGCACGACTCGTTGACCAGAATGCGCGTTCTTCAGTGTTTGTTTCACTAGCTCTTTCATTTTATCCCTAAAGAGTCCAATAGATAAATTTAGGCAGGCAAGCGTAAAACTGATATAACAATTGATAATATGCATATTGTGATTTCTTATGGAATATGTCTTATGTCTAACCCGGACGCACGGACGCGCGCCGTTTAGCGTGCTCTCCGCATGGAATACCAGCAAATCTTCTTCGGTCGCGGAATTTCTGGTCTTTTGACGAAGAAAATCATCAGTAATTGAAGGGTTCTAGTGGTAGTGAACTTTATAGAATTGTAGTAGGAAGTTTGCTTTGCCGTTCTATGGCTATGAATGAAATGCAAGATATTATTTGGTGCGTCTTACTATGGTACTCCACTTTACAAATAGGTTGCTGTCAGCACTTTAACGTCCTATGTCCAATCTATTTCACGGTTTCTTATATTGCCACATTCCACCTAATGACAATAGTAATAAAAATAAAGCAACAATTAGTTGTTGGTCAATTTATCCGTCAATGAACTCTTTCTAGAAAAGCTTTTCTGCAAATCATTGGGTTAGGGTGGTTTCTCTGACTTCACCACCCCCCCCCCCTTCCATTTTGATTTGATTTCGATTGACTATGGAATGATTATGCATAGTGCTGTAAAAAGATTCTAAAACGCAATAAACTGAACATGAGCACCATGGTGTTTATGCCATGCGTTATGGAGTAAAACTATACGCGTTGGTGATGGACGTGAAGACGATTGTCAAAAATAACTGCACTTTTCGATATCCCTGCTCCTATTACTTAACAAGAAAATCTTCAAATTTTTGAAGACGTTGTCTTATTTGAATTATCTAATGGACTGCTTTTTAAATACCGTATTACGATTCCAGTTGGCTGTTTTCAGGTGTTTGCAATCGATTACGGTAGCCCGCAACTGTTCAGCCTTGCCAATCTCACGATCGTTCCGGTGACTGTGTCACGTGAGTAAACCGCAGATGTTCTGATTTAGTTTAAGTTTTGCTTATTCCTGAAGAGATAAAGGACACTTTGATCGCAGATCAGGTGTAACGTGCACTAATTGCGACCCTGCCATGAGCAGATCTTTTTGTTGAAAAATCAAAACCCGATATCTTCCTTAGAGGTCCTTAGTTATTTTCCGTTTTTCAAAACGTTAGGTATAGCAATCAGTTTGTTGCGAGTTATTTTATAGAGTAAAAAGGATAACAAAGCTAAACATATAGTGCTCGCCATTTATCAATCTCCAATTAACGCACCATGTATTTAACTCCATTCAGCAACCGAGAGATGATTGAATGCGTATTTGGCTCGTAAATGAGTAAAACGATGTATGAAGTCTATGATATCATCCTTTCTGGTACCAATTTCTTGACTCCAGGCGGGATGAAGAGTTTGATTTTCCGTGGACTTGTAGTCAAACGAACTAGTGTGTGTGTATTGCAGTATACCTCTCTAACCACTGCGATACACGAAGCCAATTATATGGATAATGGCTACGTTAATTTCTGACACACGGATGTGAAATATATTTGAGAGCGCTATCGAAATGCGAGCAATAAAGAGTAACAATAGCTCTTGAGCAAGTTTGAATAATCCTGAAATGCATAAGCTCAGTGGTGCATCTGTGTAAGGTCATGTTTTTCCCAGGAAAGAGTGGACTTGTTGCAGAGGTGCAAGGACTTAGAGTGAATGTTGCGACGGAAGACTATCAGGTTTTCGAATGGGGAGCTCCTTACTACGGTCAGCCGTTGAAATATCGCCTAACAATAGCGAGGGGTGAAGCTATGCACTATGAGAAAGAGTTGGACGGCAGAACTAACATCGCCTTAACGAAGGTATCGAAGTTGCGCATAGCTATATTGTTATTAGATAAGATGCGTTTATGCCATCAATATTGCTAGATTTCCGTTTCACAGACACCATACATACATATACTACCCTTCACTATTCTTACAGTGTAAGAGCCATTGAATACTTATGTTATTCTACAGATGCAAGTGCTTCGTAGTATTTTCTAACCTTCTTCTGAGGTCCAGCATAGCTGGAAAAGTGCCTTTAAGTTTCCAAAATTGCGGGATATTTTGGTAGAATAGGTTTTAAGCGCACTTAAATCGCCATCTTTTATCATCCGTTTGTCGAGTAAAACCTCGATTCTTACTGTATAATGCGAGTAGCAACTATTTTTAACATTTCCGTTACATCTAATCTGCCCATTATCAATTAAAACACTGGATTGTAGATATCTTTGCAAGTTAAAAATTTAGGTCGCAATTTCTCCTTCTGGTAATTTCACGTTCAAAGTTGCTGCTGTGGACGCAAACGGTGAAACTCCCAGCGAATGGCAGCGCTTCGTAGTTTTTCAGAATGGTTGCTTGATTTTTTTTTCGAAAGTTTGACTAATTTGTAAGACAGCCTTTCTATAATGCACTATATTTGTTTGTGTAGAATAAAGTCAGATATCATCTGCAACCCTGAGATATTCGCAAAACTTGGAGCCGGGCCAGAGCGAACCACGATTTCCCTTCCCGGGGGCTCGCGCATTCCACACTACTCCACGGAGGCCCTTGTTCTGCGTTTCTCCTGGCTAGTTTTCTGTCTTCCAATGCCGTCAGCTATTACCCGTCAGCGGGATAGATCTGGGGAGCCCATATCGGGATTGAAACCCGTTAATCTCGTTGGATTTGACCCGAGCTCCAAGTTTTACGAATATCTCAGCATCGTTGTGGTTGATTTCGCTTAATACACTGCTGTTAAAGTTATAGTAGGCAGTAAATAAAGAACAAAACATTGTGAAAATCGTAAATGTTTATGATCATTATTAATTCACCGACGACGAGTTAGTCATCGTCTGCTCCTAAGTGACACCGTCTAATTTGCGATGCGGTGTTATTGCATTAAATAAGAGATGTTTCAATTCGGTTCTGCCAAATCTATAAATCCTGTGATTGATCGTCACTATTGCTAATATCGGCAATTTCGTACCAAAAAGAATTTTATACTTGACGGCTTCTAAGACCTATTCGCTTGTGAATACCTTGCTCAAAACACTCACTACAATTGATATGAGGGGCTTACAAAAACCTCTGAAGGCTAGCTTCCAGTGATTCATGGCTGAAGAAATTGACCCAACTTCATGAATCATTCAAGAGCGGACAGCAAACAGTTAAGAAGCTTCTAATCACGGGCTCACGACCAAGAGTTAATGAATAACTCTTGGAAAAATTCACGGATTTAGTACAAAGTGATAAAAACTTGAGAGCAGGAATAATGCAGTTAGTGGGATTAAGTGAAAAGCGGATTGATCAGATGCATTTACTCATGTTAATCCAAGGCGCAGTCAACCGAAAATGCTGTTATAACGTAAAACTACGGGAGAATTCTAGTTGTTATGGTTTCAAAAGGTGTTGAGAGGAAGTTCCCTAAGCCTTGAACATAAGCCGCAATAAGAACACATGCCTAACCATTTCAAGAAAAAAAATCGCCCTCACGTTTTCGAGTCACTGAGTAATTTATGAAATATCTATTTGGAAACCGATTCTATACAAGGATGTATTGAAGGATTAAAAAATTTAGGTCTCACATGTGATGGAGAATGCGGTTCTGGTGGCATTCCACTTTGCTTCTACGGTGCGTTCAACCGTCTCGAGCAATTTGTGGACTTCCGTGGTGCACACTGCCAATGCTTCCACGGTTTCGTTGGTGTTGGATGTGAAAAGACGGGTGCGCTCGATTCTGTAACGTATCCTTTGTTCAGCTAGGAACACAACCGTCTTTCTCCTAGATGGTCTTGTACTTCATATAACCTTGCTATATGAAGACATGTCGATCTCTAATGGAAATGTATGTAAATATCAGTACATATAGGATGGAATAAGCATCTAAGAAATGAATGGATGTGTGCAACCAACATAATACGAACGGTGTTTTGAAACGAAATATGATACTGGCTAAGCTCGAATTCTACTCTTCGAAGATTTCACTGAGTGTAACATGGATGTCTAGAGTTTGCTGAGGCTGTGTTCCAACTTTTAACATCGGGGTCTGAACTTTAACGAGAAATGGTTTCAAATGACCTCTTTAGCACAGTTTGTTCGAACTTGGTGGGCTGAAGCTGCTTTATGTTTAGGTCGTGCTTACTCTCTAGCAACTTCTGTCGATAACGGGCAATCCGTCGTAAACCTCATGCCCGGGGAGCGTTCGTCGCCTTATGGTGCTTATCCCGTCGTATTTCCTCTACTGTATCGATGGTTTGCGCAATCCAAGATGGCTTTCATCTGCTGGCCATAACCACTGCATCCATCATGAATGATCGCTGGATTAGCCCAATCGCACTGCAAACTGCGCCAATTTCCGCCGCGTCTGGTTGACCGGCTCGCTCTTCGAGACTCTTAGGCAGGCGGCGTCCTTAACGCACCCGGAAACAACACCTCAAGCTGCACTTAATTGCACTGAGCACCCACAAATGACACCCATTACGCCATTTGAAATGCCATACAGCCGTGCGGGATCCAATGAACTTCGAAAGGAAATTTGCGCATCATTATATCTAAAAGAAATCATTTTGGAAAAGGCACATTCGATGTAAACATAATAAGCACGTCAGAATAACATTTTTAAAAAACAGCTCGTAGAAATAAGATTTTTTTGTAATAACTGTCCTTTATGGTCTTAAGCGGATTTTTTTCTACAAATGAACTCTACAATGGACAAGCTATCACCAGAGCGCTGGAAACGGTATAAATAGCCGCGTAATACCATTTAGTGAGAAAAACAATATTTCAATGGAATACGTTGTGGTAGGACAGAACATTCCTTGAATGGCTTTGTAGTTCGGCAACCACGGCCTGTTCTCGCTCAACACCTTAAGTGGAGGCGAGCCACTTACTCGTTGTACTAGATCAGTGTCAGTACTAATTCGTACTGGATCACTGTTATTTCCAAACGTCCCTATTTAGCAGAAATCCTCCGACGAAATTACTAATGTTTTTGAACTATTTCAAAAATTGCAAAGTATTCCGAACCATGAGACGTTTTTTGTGCTTCGTTGTTTTCCAATAAATATTACAAACACTTCACTTCCAAGGATGACTGAAGCTTTCAGACCACTGCCCAACTGAAAAGACCATTGACACCTATGGTGGATTGGACTGGCGAGAAGTATCCGCTAACGCCACCGTACAAGTGCCATGTGAGGCTAATATATGGATTGCTTAAAATAACTCTATAACTACTCAATGAAAACAGAAAATCTAGTCGTCTATATTTTTGAAAGTTAGAAAAGCCTTTCATTCAGGCCCTTACAACATGGAAAACGATAAGCAAAAAGTGGAGCGTTCATGCATATGGAACAAGCAACTTGGAAGGGCAGTCTGGGGTCGTCAGAAGGAAATGGAGAAGTGCAAACCACAAGTTTGTTGATAATGCGACTCATTTATCACTTAAATGTCAGGAAAAGGAAATTAGAACAAGCGGCTTTTCTTATTACTCTTGCTAGGTTTAATTTCTTAGGTTACTGTTGACCTTCATTGTGATTTCACAAAGCATTTTTCGTTGATTTGAAACAGTATTTTCTACAGATTTTCTATTAGGTGCTACTATGCGCATTAATGTGATCAGTACTTTATTAGCCAACCATGTGTTAATCGACCATAACTTTCTAGCCTCCATACTTCAGATGATCCTAAAATAATGATATAACTTTTTTCTAAATAGAATATTTTTGCAAAACTGCGACCCCAGGCAAGATTCGAACCCGTGACTATCGAGCCCCTTGTTTTGTTTTTCTCTCTCGGCCAGTGTTTAGCTAAACGGTCCCATCAGCACCTGTCAACAGCAGTGATCTGGGAAACACAAATCGGCATTGAATCCAGGCAGTCGAAATCTCAGTATATAACTTTCTATTTACTGCTTATTATCCTTCATGACTAGGTATTTCACACAACACCTTCCCGTGAAGAATAATAGGCAGTGTATAAAAACTTAAACATACAAATATCTTTATTGTTTGGCTGAAATATAAGCTATTTAATAAGTGCCACTAATATGTCCCAGTGACAAGAGTAAAAAAAATTGTGCACCTATGATCTCACAATGTCGGCAATATTTCTCTTTGGCTTTGAAGTATGGTCTACTATTGTTCTGGCTTATTATCTATTGCTATGTTATTCATTTCTACTCCAAACACCTATCTTTTCCTGAACGGTCAAATGAACCGAATAGAAGTTGCCGGAGTTCGCGTTGGTTTGATTACGCAAACGAAACTTCTTCTTCTTCTGCGAATTCCTCTTCTCATTGGCGTGATGCGGAGTACTCGTAACATCTACGTCTCTTTGGCATGTTCGGTAGCGCCAACCGCTATTTCGATTTCTTTATATGGCACTAACGTTTCTGAAGGCAAACATGCAAGCTAAGGCAAAATTTCGTCTTGACTTGTAAATAGCTAGTCGTGCAAGGTTTTTTATACAGAGGAGTAAGGGATCCATGCCAGTGCGCTACAAAATCTTCGATCCAAATCTCTCACAAACGACGGGTTTTTCCTAGGACCACTGAGATTCCTTCGAAGGGGTTTACATTGGTTCAGCTTCGTAATGGAATGATTAATAGTTGTGCCATGTACTGGTCTTCTTGGTAGCTCTGTACTATTGGGAACTTCAGAGTTTGTAAATATCGAACCTTCGTTTTCCAAAAACCATTTTTGCAATTTCTATCTCCGGAATCACGGTATAAAGTAGGATCTGAAGCTGTTCAAACATTTACACTATTTTTGTAAAGATATAACAAACACGACAAACTTTTTATTTGTTTAAAAATGCTTAGAAATCCCTTTCCATTCTACTGAAGCTGTGAATGTTTCACTGTATGAAACATGTATATATGTGGATAATACAATATATATAACTCCCAAGTCCGACTTTCTATTAACCTCGGCATTAATAGAATAATTCTTTCTACTTTTGTTCTGCAAACACGAGGTGCTATTTTATTTCTTTATTTACGTACAAGCTGACGTTTCGGCGGATTTCGCCTTCCTCAGAACCTGGAAAGGTCAAGTTGACTACAATCTACACGGCCAAACGCCTTCATAACCAAACAGAGAAAACGCTAAACGAAGATTTCAATCACATTTAACATAGCTCTGCACACTCACCGCTTTCTATGAGTCTTCCACTGAGTATGTCGTGTGAAGACCGACCGCACAGAATTCACATGGAAGCGTAATGTGCCCCTCCCATCAGAATAACAGGTTTATATACTGTCCAATATCACGCATGATAATGAGGCATTCCTCCCTGCTGTTCATTTTCGGATTCTTGGAATTAATCCAGAATGCCTCTAGAGTTTTGCGCGCTTGTGTTCTCGATTCTTGCGCGAGGATCGTAATCCTTACTTCAAAATCTTCTCCGTTATGTCTCTGCGCCCTATGCGTGCCTAGTGGAGTATTTGGCTTACGTTTGCCGACTAGGAGTCCTTTTGTACGTACGCAGAGTGGTCTACCCGTTTCGCCAAAGTATTCCTCTCCGCACGCTTTACAAGAGATCAGATAGACTGTACCCGAACTCATGCAGTCACAGTCTCTACCATTGGGGCAAACTATGCAATTTTGCGTTGCACATAGACGGTCGTATAGGGGGTTACGAACTAGCTGGCGTCTTAGATTACTCGGTGGTATTTCGATTATCGTTACCAAATTTTCTAGACTAGCCCTTCTTAAACAGCGTTTTATAGCTGCACTTACTTTATTTGAAATGAAGGGCAGTATAAACGGGACCTTGTTGTCGCTAGAGTTATCGTCGGGGTACCTGTGGTTTCCTCTGCACCTATCTCGAGCTACAGTTTCGTAGCCATTAAAATGGCTATTTGTCGCGCCAAGTTCAAGGACTCCTCTCTCTGCTATCTTCCTGTACACACGCTGGTAGCTGTTCGATACATGTTTCTCACAAGCGCCCTTTTCGTGTGAGAGGGGTGAGAGGAGAGGTGATGTACCAGGATGTTTTTACTACTTGGCTTTCGATACCACTTCGTAATGTAGCCGTTTTCTGATAGGCTAATTTGCATGTTCAGAAATGGAAGCCAGTTTTCTTCTGGTTTCTCTCGGGTGAATTTAATATACTCTGACTGTTCGTTCAACAATTCGAAACATCTGTCAATTTCTTTTCTTGTGTTGAACAAATGACCAAACAGTCATCTAGTCGTCTTTTCAATATATATATATATATATATATATATATATGTTGAAATGCACGCAAAACATAAAAGGTGGGAAAACGAAAGATGTACATGTAATGTACAATATAAATATATAACGGATAAAAAGGATAAAGCTCTCAGCGTTGATCAATCCCTGAAAGATGTGCCATGCATTCGACTTCATTAAGCATCGTTTGGAGGAGATTGAATGCATATCTGGCCTTTACAACGACTCGCGGTGACCTACCGATGTATCGAGCCAGTGCTGCTATCCTTCCAAACAGGCCTGGTACCAATTTGCCTACCTCGGATGAACGGAAGACTTGGTGGGCCTAGGGCGCGTGATCGATCCTATGGGTATTGCAGGGTTCCTCTAACCACTGTGCTAAATGCGTGTCGTATAAAAGTATATATACATGCATACATGTAATAAAATTCGAACAAAAACTTTCAATGATGTGATTGCTTCTGTTACAAGTTTAAAATCTAGATGCTATGGATGTCTCTATGAACTTTACAAAAGACCTTTGCATTTAAATAAGTCAATAACCATTAATAATTTTCAGTCTTCGGTCCTAACTCATTTGGGAATGCTTGGTACATTCGCAATGAATGCTAATGGCGTATCCACGATCCACACTGTAGCCAGGTTCGTCTCATCTCGGTTCTGATTTCCGCGTTCCACTTAACTTTAACTCTAGTGACAATCGACGAAGAACTTCTGTTCAAAACTATAGTTTTGTTTTAAAGTTTTATCTCAGGTTTATCAGGGACTTGTTGAAAGTCCCGGCGTTCTCCACCGATTCGACCACCACGGCACATTTCGACCAGAAGATCGCCGAGCAGGCCGCGCTCGTTGTCGACGCCGTGCTCAGAATTGACTTCAACTCTCTCCAGGGCAACACTTCGCTGGCAAAGGTGAGTTGCCGGCGTGCTGAACTCCAGTTGGAGGAGCATTGGATGAACATTCTATTCGAAAAGTAGCTGCACGATTGGTCAGAGTATATCGTAGAGCTTTGAATGATCAATGATTATTGAGCTCCGTAAAATATCAGTTTCGTGTGAAGTCAAATGAAAGTAAAGGCGATGTCAATTTCAAATGACAGCAATATAAAAAACAGCCGAAAATATAACCAGAAAGATGCTGAGATACTTAAAAAATTCTGAACCGCAGTTGCGTGCGGCAGCGATCGAATCCGCTTTTACCCTTACAGGGGCTAACGTGTTCACCATCATACCATGTGGGTCCTTCGTTTCGACTTTTTCTCAGTCGTACTTTAACCCATAGATAAATATGCCGCCATCATTATAGTCACACTTCACATTATACCCTGCCATCAAAAAGAATTAGACAGTAAGTGAAAAGTGACCGCAGTCACAAATGGTAAGATACCAAACTGCTAAGGTCGTAAATATTGAACTATGAGATATGAAATGTCTGATTTTAAATGTAAACTTTAAGTGACCACAATTTTTTCCATCCTAATTTTTATTAATCGAAATAAGCGCGTTGAAATCAACACGTTTTTTCAACGAAAAGCAAGTTTTGAGATTCTATTAATATAAAAATTGTCGGTCCTAGTCTCGGCGAATTCTTTAAAAGCATTTTCAACGGTTGTTTGGTCGTTGGAAATTTTTTTCGTCAGCAAGTGGCCCAGATCCTATAGAAGATGAAATTCCGTTGGGTACAAATCTGGAGAGTAAGGTGGATGTGGTAAAGTTTCGTAGCGCGTTTTATTCAGCCTTCTTAATGTCATTTGGGAAACGTGCGGTCTTGCATTGTCAAGAAGCAATATTGGTCCTTTCTGCTGACCAATGCCGACTGCTTGGCGCGTAGTTTTTGATGCATTTCTTCGATTTCAGCACAATATATTTCTTATGTAATCGTTTAGCCAGGTCGTAAAAATTTGTAATGAATTATACCGGCCATTGCCCACAAAACGGAAACCATTGTCTTCTTTGGATGCAGACTCGGTTTAGGCGCGTTTCGTGGGTTCTCATCGGTGTCTAGCCATTGTGCAGAATGGCGACGATTATCGGAGACTATCAACTCCTAAGTTATAATGCAATTTAAAAACGGATCTCTATCGTTGCGAATTAGAAATTTTCAGTCGGAGAGTTTTTTGCTTTCTGTCAAGTTCGTGTTGGACCCATTTGACTTTTTTTTACTTTACCAGTCAACTATAACTGACGTGAAATGCTCATAGCACTGACTCCAAACATTGTCGCTAGCTCTAGGATCGTTTGACGTGGATTTGATTCGACTAGACTACGATGTGCTCCATCGTGAACCGTAATTTCTGGCCTACGTCTCCGTAAATTACGGTCGTCGTTTCAAGGCTCTCGTCCCCGGATTCGAACCCTGCGTACCAACGATTATGCTTTCGTTAACAAAATCGTCTCCAAACGCCGCATTCCTGCCGCGGCATTTTGTCCACTTTTCCACTCGTACAAAAAAAAACACTAACACCACGTTGATTCACACTAAAGTTAAAGCCTATAGAAATGTGAAAATAATAAATCTTGAGAAAAATCAAATTGGATGTAGAATAAGCAGACTTTGTACCTCAAAAATATACATTTAATATAGATGACGAACAAAGTTTTTGTATAAAAAATTACACGGAAAATCAAAGCAATAAAATCGGACGCTTCATATGGTACAAACTAGAGTGGAATTCTTGACTAAATACTTCGTTAAGCTCGACAATGAACTAAAATAGTCTATTGAAGTTCGAGATGTGGTCGGTACTATCCGAATTTTCTGAGCGACTTCCATCGCCATTCACTCTTGTTTCACCGGATCTCGGACTACACATAAAGTCTATACATTTGGTCGGCAACAGTGAAAATTTTGACACAATACTCGGCACAAAGTGTCGTGTAAAGGTTTGTTAAAATCGATTCTTCCCAGGAGTTTCAGTTTTTTTCGAAAAGTTTTCAACTCGGGTTAAGTTAGGTGCTAACACGAAGCTTTCAAAATCATTCTTTAAAATGAAACAAATATAGTCAATGAGTCAAATCTTTAGGCATTTTTATAATCTCTCAATTGAAGAGCATTCTAGAACTGACGTTGTCGCCAACACAATCAAGGCTTTCATTATTTAAACCCCGGTTTGCTTAATGAGCTCACACGTGTTATATTCCCAGTTTTGCTAGGTTCTGACGAATGTAGTACCCACCGAAGCATCAGTTATTGTGAAATTATCAGCTGCTAAAATAGAAACTTGGGTAGGCTTTTCAGCGCCGAAAGAACAACGTTCGCTTCGACTTTATCATTGATCCAAGTTCTGTAGTGTAAATGCTTAGAAGAAAAAGTCTTATTCTTGTTGATCAAACGCGAGGTGCTATTTCATTCTTTATTCACGAATAAACTGACATTTCGGCGGATTTCGCTTTCTCAGAGCCTGGAAAGGTCAAGTTGACAGCAATCTATTCGGCCAAACACCTCCATAATCAAACAAAGAAAACGCTAAACCAAGATTTCAATCACATTGAACACAGCTTTGCACACTCACCGCTTTCTATGGGGCTTCTACTGAGTATGTCGCGTGAAGACCAACCGCACAGAATTCACATGGAAGCGTAATGTGTCCCTCCCATCAGAATAACAGGCTTATATACTGCCCAACATCACGTGTGATAGTAAGGCATTCTTCCCTGCCGTTCATTTTCGGATTTCTAGAATTAATCCAGAACACCTCGAGAGTTTTGCGCGCTTGTGTTCTCGATTCCTGTGCGAGGATTCGGGAATTGTAAAAAAATTTTCCAGAAATCCGAAAATGAACCGCAGAGAGGAATCATTATCACGCGTGAGACTGGGCAGTATATAAGCCTGTTATTCTGATGAGAGGGGCACATTACGCTTCCATGTGAATTTCGTGCGGTTGGCCTCCACGCGACATACTCAGTGGAAGACTCATAGAAAGCGGTGAGTGTGCAAAGTTGTGTTCAATGTGATTGAAATCTTGGTTTGGCGTTTTCCCCGTTTGGTTATGGAGGTGTCTGGCCGAATAGATTGCTGTCAACTTGACTTTTCAAGGTTCTGAGGAAGGCGAAATCCGCCGAAACGTCAGCTTGTATCTAACTAAAGAAATAAAATAACACCTCGCGTTTGCTCAATAGGAATACGAAAGAATCTTATATTAAAAGGTTCGAAGAAATCTTATCCGGTAAGTCTGATTCGCTACAGCTGCCAACGCTCAACGCAGATCACGTCGTGAGAAGCATCTGTATGGCTAACGCGTCGTTATTCGAGCTGGTGAACTCACAGTAAGTTTAACCAAATGTTGCGTTTCCTTGGCCGCGTCCTCGTCGTGATTAATACGAACTACGAAACTGATCTTTCATTTTTTTTAACTTTTTTTCTATTCTTACCAGTAAACTATTTACCATCGTTTATGTGGAATTCATTTCTGCTTGTGTATTGATCCTAATTTCTATACTTTCTTCGAAGAAAAACTGAATGTTCTTTACGGTTAGCACCTAATCTCCGCATGCAGTTTTCTGCAAGCAGAATTTTTTTTATTTTTTATGTGTCCCGTCTCCATATCTACTGTGCGGATCCCAGTACTTCTCACATTCGATTCGTTTCCTCGCATCCATTCTCCACAAAAATCTTCCAGCTTTTACGTGTGGCCTCGGTTGTTGCTTGAGGATTTTCATTTCACCTTGAATGTCGTAGAATGATGGTCGTGCAATTCTCCATGGTTTCCTGAGATAACCAGGCTAGAATGTTTTCAATTGGATTGCAGAAAGTGATTCTTTCCCGGACAATTCCGGTACCAATTTCCAGAACAAGGAAGGATAAGAGGCTTGGTTGGCCCAGAGCGCAATCGATGATAGTTGTTTAGTAGTTTCTGCATGCAGAATAGTTTTATAAAATTGAAAACGGGGCTTAAAGATCTCATGGAGATTCTAATTTTTCATTCTACTCAGAATCGGAAGGCTGATCGTTTTCATCACATTTCTACAAGTAAGGGTTGCTAGGTCATGAGGCCTTTCTCTTCCTTACAATGCTTATTGAATGATTTCCTACTTGCCTAGTGAGTGACATACTATCTCTGGCACTTAATAACTTTTCTGCTAGAGTACTGCTCTTCACAGGAAATTGAGCGCAACCTAGTAACCCTAGCTATGTGTATGTGCACCACTGTTTTCAGGATAAGCTATCTTGAAGCGACTATCTTCAAAGCATTTTCGTTTCCAGCAATCCGGTTCTTTCATTGAAATTTGACTCAGTGGATCTCTTCTACTTCTCAAAAATGGTAATCATGCTCAAGCCGAAGGATTTCATTCACAATTACACATGCGTTTATTACGACGAAAATGGTGAGTTCATTTTGAAAATTTCACTAGTGCCTTAAAGGAGGCCACAGTGACCATAATTCCTTCATCAGGTTCTGAGAAAGCCAACTCTACAACGCAATAAGCCAATAACAACACTACGATGGAGAGTAAAATCCACTTAGAAGATCTATTATAAACTTAAATTCCAGCTAATAATCGCGTTTTTCTTGGCAGCCAATCTTGTCCAAAACCTATTTCTAGAGTGGAGATGATTTTTTCGGACCACAAGAACATCTGACTAACTAATCCTCGGTATTTCTTGTTGCAAGGCAAAGACAAGAGTAGCAAAAGAGAAAAGTAACAAGTATTGACGCCATAGATCCCTTCGGATGTGGCTGAAGATTTTAATTCTTGTGTTCAGTAGGTGTTGTTCAGAGGGAGGCTGGTCAACGCGTGGAATCCGTCGAGTTGATGCGAATTATCATGGATTTGTCAGATGCGAGACGAACCACGTTGGAGTGTTTTCACTACTTCCGGTAAATTATGCAGATTCGCTTTTTGCTTACCAAATAGAAGAAATAAAATGTTCGGTGTTGACCAATCGCATAGGGATGCACCTTGCATTCTACTTCATAGAGCACTGTGGAGGTAATTGAATGCATATCTTGCATATACAGTGACTTGTGAGGGACAGCTAATGTAACAAGTCAGTGTTTGCCTCGCAGACACACCTGATATCAGTTTGCCCATAGCGGATAAACAAACGGCTTCTTTAATGCGAGGCCGAAATCGAGCAAACAAGCTGGTGTCTATTGCGGAGCAACTCTACCATTGCGCTACGAACACCGTTCTTTTTTCAACTTTTGTATTTTTTTCATAAACACAAATTTAAATACCGAATGCAACTGGATTTAAAGCTGAAGAATCGGAATCAAAGTTAAGAAACCTGGCTTAAAAGGACCAACAGTTGCAATTACTTTTAGTCCCTACAAATTTCACTTTGAGTTTCATAGGATCAGGACCCTTTTGTTCACAAATTAAAGAGTTTACACTAAAATTTTGTTTTTTTTCTACACATTGCGGATTTTCTGACCAGTCTTCATCAAATGATAATGAGTATATGAAATGAACAGGTTGATATCTGCTTTAAGTAATTTCAGGAGAGCTTCTTCTTCTCGAGTGGCGGCCCCATGCGTGATCTCAGCGTCTTGCTACCCACAGTTACCACGTTTATCTCGTTGATTTGCTCAGTCTTCTTGCTGTTCACGGCCGCTATACAAAAGTACGCATTGCTGAAAAATGAACCAGCTTATTCTTTGAATTTAGCAACAGATAATCCAAGAATCATTCCGAGGGTTCTGGAAACACAATGAGATGCTTTCATTCCATAACAGGCACGAGACGAAACTATCAAAGTGGTCCATGTCTTCTAACATTACAGGAATAAGTCGTTGGATTTCGCCTTGCTCGTTCATGTTTTCTTCGTCTTCATGGTTCATATCGTACATCTTGTGATGCTGATTGCTCCGCAGGTAAGAGAACAGGCAACGAAGTAAAGAGTTTGGTTCAATCACTGAAGAAAAAAATTGAAGAAGAAAAAAGTGAAGTACAAATGTGATAGGACGTATTTCGAAAGTGAGACAACGAAATACTGGCAAATGCAGGTGTTTTTCTCTGAATTAAAAGGCATTTAATCAAAGGTAATCAGTGTAAAAAGTGCGTTCCAGTTATTTTTACTCTGTGCCTTTGTAGAATAAAAAATTACCTTTTAAACATTTACTTTTTCATTTACTGCCTGCTACAATTTTCACGCAAAGTATTACGCGAAATCAACGACAACGACACTGAGATATTCGCAAAACTTGGATCCCGTGGCAGATCGAACTACGGTTTCACTTTCCGGGGCTCGCGCATTACACATTGCTAATACCCTTCCTTGGAAATTGTAGTAGGCAGTAAATAAAAAAGTAGACACTATGACTTCGGCTGCAACCTCAGCTGAAGTGGGTTCATTGCCGATTTGGTCTCCTCAAATCAATCCCGTTGACGGATGATTGCTGAAGGCACTGGTAAATAGAAAACTAGCTGACGGAGACGCAGGGCAAAGGCCTCCATGGCGTAGTGTGTAATGCGCGAGCCCCCGGAAAGAGAAATCGTGGTTCGCTCTGGCCATGGGTCCACGTTTTGCGAATATCTCAGCATCGTTTTCGTTGTCTTTTAAACAGTTGCTGTCAATGTGCGTACTCATTGGAAATAAGAAATTTATATAGAAGGATTTGGCATTAATTCCTTCCAAATAACGTCAAGTCCTCCTCAATATGGCTTAAGCGGTATAACAACACATTCACAGAAACTGTATAAATCCGAATATTGCTTAGCTGAGTGGTTTCCACTTAGCTTTTCTGATTGTTTGATGTTTCGGAGGCTGAAAAGGCAGGAAAGAAGAATTAAAGTACAATAAATGTGTCCGCAACACAGAATACTTTTTACGTAAAACCTTAATCACTTCTTTTCTAGCGATATCTAGCGTTTAATTTTTCCTCCTAAGTAATAAACGTAAATAATAGGTATAATAAATGTAAATAAATTATTCTTTAGAATGACAAGCGTGCTTTGACTACACATGAAATGAGGTCCATGTTTGGACTTCATGGCTTGAATGCTTAAATATCAAATTTTTGTGTTTTTCCCAGAAGTACGATATTCAGGTAGGCGATCCGTTCTCGCTCACACCAGCGCTGCACCTCATCTTGCAGTTCTCCATTATTTCCGTCACTGCCACACTGTACTTGGTGTTGACGTCAATCCGAACCGTTCTTAAAGCTCATGAACATGCGAAAGAGCTTAACGAGCAATGCTGCTCCGGGTCATGTTCGGTCATCACTCTCGGCTTATGTGAGTTCTTGTAGTGAGACAATACTGTTCAACTAAAACAGAGAATCATTGGCATCGCATCCTCTAGACATGGGTTATGTTCTATTGAGAACAGGAATATTTCGCTCTTTTGCTTCCACGGATTCAATGAAGAATTCAGACATATTCAAAACAGTGCTTTGTTATCAAATTGCTTGCTTCATTGCTTCAAACTCTTGGTCAATACAGAAATGACAGTGCTGTCATTGGATAGTACAAGGTTAAGCAAGAAGATGAAGGATAAAGCATTCGACGTTGACCAATCCATGAGTAATGCGTCTTCATCAAGCATCGCAGACGTGAATGAATGTACATCTGGCCCATACAACGACCTTCGTAGGTTATCGTCTCCTTAGACAATGTTTGATGCCAATTTGTCGACCGTAGAGGGATGATTGCCTTGATTTACACGCGGGATAAAACCAAATGCCACGTCCGTATAGAACGTTCGTGTATTGCCCTCTAACTAATGCGCCCTCATAGTTAATAAAGGAGAAATTGAAGTAAAAGAAACTAAAAATCAGTTTACGGAAGTGAATTCTAAGCAGCTTCCGTCTTTGCTTTACATTTTTCCCACTCTCTCCCTGTTTGTCTCTACCTTAGTATCATCTGTTATTCTCCTACAGTTTTGATTTCAGCTCTGCCGGCTATTCTCACATTCACTACCTACTATTTCTCAACCGATTATTTTAGTAACATGGACAGGTAAACCTTAGTATTTTTGATAATAAGGATGCTTTTTAAACTATAACAGCCTTTTTATAATTTTTAACAAAATGGACATATTCCAAGCAATAACTATTTAGAAAGCGAAAAATCTAAATCATGATCATCTAATTTCTACTTTTTGCAAAGGAAAATGAATGAATAGGATAAGCAGTGTCATGTCTTTATCTCTCCTGATAGGAATGATTGCCAGGTGTGCTAGCAATTCAACCAGAGACACTTCGATCTTTTCAGAGCGTTCGAGAGCGTCGACTGGCTCTTCATTGCAAACTACTTGACACCCGCTGTGGTTTTTTCTGCCCTTTGCATTTCGCACGCTATCTGGAACATCTATGTTGCCGGTGTCTGGAGGTTAAAATTTTTCCTTTTCCTTTATGCTCCAATCGAATTTGAACAGAGTTGCGACCTCATGAATCATACGTGACTCATCAGTGTGGATGTGAGGCTGCCTTTAATTTTAAGCCCATATACCTAAACACAATATGGACTTTACTAATCAAAATAAAACGCTTCAAATCTAAAGTACATACCAACCAAACGAAGATTTCTTCGCATTACACTGATGGAATTGTAATTTTTTGGAGACCATAAAAGGTTTTTTCTTTCAGTCAGGATTCATAATTAAAACACTGATACTTACTTGGATACTTCGATGACCCGTGCTCACTGATTGTGCGGACCTCAGCATAACGTCCACTATTTTAGAAATTTGCTGCTTTATCCATTGTGGTTACGTGGAATCCCGAGGTCGGCATCGTCAAAGTCTGCCCATGTCGTCACCATCACAGGCAGTCGCAGCCCTTGTGGATCAGAGGGAGATTTGCCACCACGCTACTAGTTTGATACTACGATGGTGGTGGATCCTGGTATTGCTCCACTGTTGGCTAGGCTTCCTGAAAGAAGCGCCGGACTCCTTCGCAGCTTGGGAGACCTTGCAAGGAGAAGAATTTCTCGCTGTACATAGCAGCCCAACACCCTGGAACACCTTCCACCCACGATGCGGCCGTAAACCGTTGGGAGGAAGACACCAAAACGGCTGAACAAATACACCAGCAAAGCACAACCGTTTTCCATTGTCTGATTATGCGGTTTCTGCGCATCCATCCTAAGAGAAAAGTCTATTCTATAATTCTGTGAATTTTTTAACACATAAAATAATGGTCCAAAAATTATCGCCTAATCTTGGAAAGCCAGTTTGTTCACAAATGCGTAGATTTCGGCATTCAAAGTGACGCTATCACAGAATTTTCTATCGTTCGAGCATTCCACTTTTCGCCAAATAGTTGTCTGATGTTTTAATTAAACTGCTATTTAATCACCAGAAATCTTGACGTAAGCTCGCAATAAATTAAAAAGCCCTCAGAGAATAAGTGATGAAAAGTATTCTTGCTCGTTCTAGGTCGCGCCATCGTGGGTCATCCGAGCGTTTTTTGTCTCTGTCACCAGCTACACAAGCCTCCCTGGTTTCGATCGTAATGGTAAGAAAGCAAATATTAATTTCAACGACGTTCTCTACCACTGTATACGATCTCCTTCAGCTTGGCTTACTCGCGTCTCTCATCATTCTGTTTTGGTTCCGTGAATACTCGACCATCGTAGCCATACTATTCTCGCTTGTGCAGATACTGTATTCTTGTTCGGCCTTCTTATTTGCAGGCTATCTGTTCAGGTGGGCGGGAACGTTTGTTCTATTACTTTTGCATTCCAGTGTTAGTATCAAGAAGAATAATGGGACCTCCAAATGAAGCAGTTTATTTTTCTCACCTCATTTTCTCATTCGACACAACACTACTGTCGCGAAGAGTTTTCTTGCTTAAGCAGCTGTGTTATGGCCAAGAGAAAATACTAATGCATTAATATCAATATGATACGCAAATTGTTACTGCTCTCGTTACCACTGGCATGATACCATATTTTTAGTATAAGTCCAGTATAAATCCTTCTTTGCATTGCAGTTACCAGTATTGTTAGATAATTCGGCAAGACATGAGTTCTACCTCAAATCTTTTTGCTAGACGTTATGCTAAAAATGGAACGACGGTTTAGAAATCCTTTGATGCTTTGACCATGTTTTACATTGAATGCATGGCTGTGTAGTGGAAATGCTTCAAGAAGGATAATAAATAAAACATTCGGCGTTGATTGATCCCTGAGGGATGCGCCATGTATTAGACTTCATCAAGCATCGCGGAGGTGATTTATCAATCATCTCTGCATATCTGCATCTCGTATCTGCATATCTGGGCTGCAGAACGATTTTCGGTGGCCTACTGATGTATCGAGTCAGTTTTACTACCCTCCCAGACAAGTTTTGTACCGACTTTCCGACCATATTAACATGGAAGGCGTTATGAGTCCTGGAGCGATATCGACTCAGTGACCGGTCTGATTTGTATTGCAGGATACTTCTTACCACTGCGCTATCCTCGTCCCTCATTGGAAATTACTAGATTAAAATACACTGATAACTGCCTCTATCATTGTTGTTGTTTGAGGTTTTTCGATCTTCGATCAAATAGAACAGAGGACATGGTCAATTTAATTATCCTTCGTTGTTGCACTTGATTATCAACAAATTTTCTCCATCAGAAAGGAGAGTGTGCGTTACTTGGTGATTTCACTGACTTCAGTTTCCAGATGAAAAATCTACCGGCGTTGACGGAAGTCTGCTTTATCAGTTAGAATCTATTAGCAGTTGGTTTGATTACTTCACAATACCTGTACTTCCACGACTAGTCTTGATTACCTTTTTACATAGCGTTCCGTTGTTGGCGTTACAATATTTCCGATTTTAAGTCAGAGGTGCTAAATCAAGCACGATTGCTTTTTTGCCTTCTCTACGCTTTACTCTTTTCTTTATCCCTGCGACTACAGTGTTTTTCTTTATATCTCGCCATTCTAACGCGTTCGCATTTCCGATTCGCCGAATACTATGCAAAAAAATTCATTCTTAATATGTTTTAACGCTTTTCATGCCCTCTCGTACAATCACGAAGACGGGACTATATAACATATACGATATTTTATTACATATCTAAAGGTAGTATTGTTGTAAAAGACTCCCATAAGGTGGTAATAGGGAGCGAGTAGCGCAGTAGTGGTGGCGTTCATCACGAACAAGGTACTAGTTCGACGAGCACAGGGTGCACCAAGCCTCTCATCTCTCGATGTTCGAGAAACTGATGCCATACTTTTCTATGAACAATTCACCTTCTGCAATCCAAATGAGAGCGCTCTATCCCTGCTATCCAACACTCCATGAAGAATGGTCTCGACCAGCATTGAACTAAATTCATAAAGAAAACGGAAGTCCTCATGCAGAAGTGGGATGAACACACGAAATGTTCGAAGATCTTTGTGAATTATGAATACGAGGAAACGAATCGAATGCAAGGAGTGCTCGAACCCTCAGAGGATGTGAAAATGGATCGAGTAAAACAAAATAATGAGAAAAATAGAAATGCTAATAACACCAGTGATTCCCCTTAAGAATGCAAAAAGAAATATTCCATGTTTTCTAAAAAGCTCGTGAAACGACCTTTCGGTAACACCTCATCGAATATGAATGGCGCGTATACCGCAGTGGTTAGGAGTGCGCTGTATTGCACACGTATTCATTGGTTCAAAATCGGCACAAGACTCTTATGGGAGAACAACTGCACTGACTTGATATATCGGTAGGCCGACACAAGTCGTTGTATAGGAAAGATATGCGTTTAATCGCCTTTAACAATGGTTCATTCCTCAAAGACTCACAACGTCGAAGGCTTTATTGTTTATTGTTTAGTCGATACCAGGGGCCAGTAGCCTCAGTGAATGTCAAGGCCGAGATTGTAGATAACTTTTCTCATTCCTCATATTAGACATTTTCAACAGCATTTCGAAACAAAGTAGTGGGAAACACCTCATGTAGTGACCTATCATGCCACAGCAGGATTTACAAGCGATTTTTCTCTAGTCAGTCTTCACTTTATGCCCGCTACTGTTCCCTTTATCAAACTTTTCATTCTCATCATCAAAGATTCGATATAAAGCGGAACTTTTAAATAGGTCAACCTATAGTCAAGCTTGTTGTCGTACCAACTATTTTCTTATGACTATGTCACTGAACTAGCCTCGTATCCGTTTGGAATTTGTGAGTTTTCTGGATAACCCCATTTGGCATGTAAACTGTAAACTTTTAGATTTCCTCATCGGACCTATCTCATTTTAGGTGATTAGGGGACATGTGAATTTCATGTAGAATTCTTCTTGTGTTTATTTTGGTATTCATGACGCTGTTCAGGAAGCTTTAGCTTCGAACTGTCATGATATCCAAAAATAGATTCTTTTCACAGCCGTATTCATTTTGACGATATATCCGAGTCTCCAAATTTATCGCTGTCCAGTGTTGGCAAGAACACCTTTGTTTCTAAAAAGTTACGTAAGGTTTCCATCGTCTCTTCGATCTCTTCCATCAAGTTTATGGGTCTTTTCTTGATGCTTGTTCGGCAATCATCAGAATAAGTATAAGCCATTCATAGTGGTTGTTTCTCATTGGTGAGCTATTCACACTTAGACCTGACTAGTCTGTACCTAGTCAGTCTTGTCATTGTCATTTCCTTATCTCCTTTGTTCTTCCGGGGATAAAGAAATATAACCGTTTTTTTTTATTCAAGAAAAGGCGAACCACACGAAATCCTCAAAAGATTTTAATGTAGTCGCCTACTTATCTCCAATTAGTTTCTTTGCAGTGTCAAGGCGCGTGTTAACCAATGGTTAGAACCCTTGCATTATTTATACTTTCTTGGGTTGGATTCCTCACTCTGGACTTACCAAGCTCTCCATACCTCCGAGTTTAAGAAATTGGTTCCATACTTCTCTAAATAATAAAATCGCTGAACTGCTACATCAGTAAATCCCCTCATGTGAAAGCCAAATATACATTTAATTATGACGCCTATTAAAATTAAATTCATGGGTGGTGAATGTCCTAAGAGATCGATCACCACCGACTGTTTTTCCCACAGTTTTTAATTACAGCCTTACCTTCTTTTATTCTCCATAATGTCTCTTTCTAATTCTACATAGAATAAATAGAACAGAATGGTATTTTTAGAATGCGTTTCTTGTTCGAACGAGAAGAAGACGGTTCCACACAATCGTTGGAGCGTAAACGAGATATCTCTACGGCATTGCTCGATCATGTGGATGTGGCGAAGGGCAGTGAGACCGGCTCGATCCGCTCTGATTCGGAAACCTACCTTCGGATACCGCAAAGTCTCTACGACCGCGCTCCCATGGTCAGTATTGTCTGATCGACGCCGTTATGATAACGCCAACACTGCCAGGGTCAACGGACAACAACTGAAGGTTCGCTTACGGCTATTTGTTGCCTGAGAATGAATCACGTTATCTCAGTTGGCCTGCATTATGCTATTTCTCTCAAAGAACTAAATACTGACACTGGGTTTCAGCTTTATTTGTTTCCTATTTCTGGATGTGCTGAAGGTTTTTTTATCGGAAACTCCATCACTACATCCCAGAGTACTATTTCGGCTTCCTTAGTTAGCTGTATGTACAGATCCTGAGTTGTTCGGTTTTTCTTCCAAAGTGTTTCTCTATTTATTACAAATGTATCACTCTTTACGCCTTTCGAAAAGGATCCATCATTTCCGTGTCTTCTACTTGATACCAAAATCTACTAGAATTAGTAAGTGTGTAACACTGTTTCGTGCTTCATTCTACAACGTTTTCGAATTCTGATTTAATTTTCTTTTTGGTATACTCGTCTGTGATCTCAGACTTTCTTGTCAAAACTCTTAGGTAATTATAATTTGTCAATTGTTCGCATATTCCTAATGTTCATATGTCATGCGATGATGGATGAAAATATCTGAAGGAAGGATGAACGACTAAAAGGGGGTGAGATCGTGAGGTATGGAAATGGCTAGAGCAAAAAATCTTACCTACTTGATACTTCAATGGCCCGTCCTCACTGGTTATCCAGGCCCCAGCATAATCTCCATTTTTCGGAGGTTTGTTGGTTAAGCAACTGTAGTCTCGTGGAATCCTGATGTCAGCCTAGCTAAAGTCTGCTCCGGGTCATCACCACCACAGGGAGTTGCAGTCCTTGTGTATCAGAGAGAGATTTGCCACCATGGAATGTTGATATCAGAACGGCGGTGGATCCTGACATTGGTTTACTCTTAGCTAGGTTTCGTGATGGAAACGCCGGACTGCTTCTGTTTGGGAGACCCTGCCCAGGGAATGAATCCCCTGCTGTACATCGCGGTCCGATACCCAGGAACACTTCCCAGCCACGATGAGGCGGTGAACCGTTGGGAGAAGAAAAAAGCAGCAAAAACTCTAGCCTTCATAAGTAAACAGCCGTATACCTTCTCAAGCTTCAGAAGGCTAGTCTGGAAGAGAAGCAGTTCGAAGGGAGTATCAGCAGAACAAAATGAGTCGACACGCGATGATTTCATTCGTCTTTGAAATACGAGGGCTGGTGAAGAAAAAACAGAACAAAATGCGTCGCTTTCTTCTTCAGCAATCGCGAGGTTGTTAAACAGCATACATTTATTTCCATAGAAAAACACGATTATTTAGTCAATCGATTTTGGACGCGCAGAGCTGAAATAGAAAGCATTCATTGCTTTAGCACAAAATGAATCTTACTCGATACCTTTCAGGTGTTTCTTGTCAATGTTCTTACGAAACCCCTATAATTTGGCGAACCATCGAAGAACTCAAGAAGGCACCATCAAAATCTCCAGTCCGTTCTGCAGAGCATTGGAACTAAAGAATGGGGCAGCTGTCACCAATGGCACGAACAGCACCATACTTTTCCAACGAAGTTCTTCATTTCTATTGGATCTGATTAAGAATATGACTCAAAAGCAACGAGCACAGCACTTCTGTAAGCATTTATCTTCCCGGAAATATCGGGGAAAGCGTAGAAAACAATGGAAAATTCACTTTCATGAACATCAAATTTCATAGCGAGAACACTGAAAGTAAAGCAGATTTGTATTCTCCGTGATGCATATCGCTTTAGTTAGACCGAGCTATGACAGAAATTGTTGCCGTACCCTTCTATCAACCACGTGACTCATAAAGCACCAGATTTTTAGGTGACCTACATAAAGATTTATTCATTAGGTCGCAATGAGGCGTCATTGATAACAAGTAGGAGTACTCTGATGTCTTGAGGAAAACCCTAAATGAAAGAGTACTTGCAACTTGCAAGGCTTCCTGCTCAAGCTCATAAGTATGCTTCCAGTTTCGCACATTTAAGTGATTTTAGCATCAATGGAACACTTGGATACACGAGCTGAAAAGAAAGACTTTTATTCCCAGATTTTTGGTCCTGTTAACTGAATGGAGTAGGCAAACCGAGCATTTAAGGATTTTCAGACGTATCCATGGTTTGTTAGAGTTTGAAAACATGAGTGAGGCCAAGCCATTTCAGGTCAGTTACAAACACTACCGTAGGAGGGCCGCATTAGGACAATTCCAGTGTCAATCTGTAAAGTGATAGCTACTCTGCGATTTCCAGGAATAAAAAAAATTGGGTGACTGGAACATGAAACAAAACACAATATTTCAAAGAAATTTCACAAGGATCGCCTACATAGGAAAGCAAGAAAACATTTTTAAAAAAGGAGTCAACTTGAAGTGATATCACGTTTCACATTTTTAAAGAGCATAAATTCCTAAAACAGCTTACTTGCCGAGATAGCAAAGGATAATGAACATATGCTTTAAATGGCCAACAGTAATGATGCTGAGATATTTGCAAAAACTCCGGACCGCAGCTGTCTCTAGTGGGGAACGAACGTGCTATTACCCTTTCCGGGGCTAACGCCTTCACCACCACACTATGTGGGTTCTTCGTTTCACTTCTATTTCACATAATACCCTGCCATGAAAAATTGTAATAGGTAGCAAATAAAAAGTTAACATTACGCCAACAGTCACAATGTATTTACTTTAGGAAGGCTTAATGTTTCATAATCCTCTTATGAATTATATTTATTATAACTATTACAGTCAATTCATTACTGTGAAGTATGTTATAAATAACTTTATTATAGCATACAAAAGACGAAAAATCGTAGAGCTAAAAAGGCATGGTCTTCCTTGAGCTGCTTGAAGGGCTTGCTGGAAGCATTGAAATGGAACGGAAACTTTCTGGATGTGTAATGCTAAGTAAAGGAGGGTGAGATAGCAAATGAACGGCAAGCTGACTGCTTTTATCTATGCAAATACTTTCATTACACCGAAATGTTAGCTTCTAGAGAGTTTATGAAATTCCGAAGCAGGAATAGCTGGGAATTGACAACAGTGAGTAGTAGAAAAGGATGAAAATACTTTACAGTTCGTGGATAGGAGCACTGCAAAACCCGATGTAATTTCTGAAATCATAAGGCAAATAATAGCCCACCAATCCAGTTTTACCCTCATCGTGAATATGTTCATTATGTGGACATATCCTTAATGTGGTAGTAACGAGGTTGAAGCGACTCCTATTCGTAGCCGTCATCCTCGAGACGAGACAGCCGATTTTCCACTTTCAAGTCGTGTCGACCCCCCACATGTCGATTCAGAAGCTGAGGAAGTGACAGCGCTTCTTGTCTGTTCCTCCGTTTTACTTTCTTGTGATATCTGAAAACTCAACAGATCTCAGCATATTTTCTGCTACTTAGCCAGTCTGATGCCATCTATAGATAATACTACGTTATGGCCTACGCTTTCACATACACATATTCTAGCTCACAGAAGATTTCGTTATTTAACTTGTCTTGAGGATAGAATAAAAGTACTCAGAAAATATCCTCATTATTACTAACGAATAGCAACACTACATCTTACCTTACCTTTTTTAACCTTTATCCTAAGGGAGTGCACATTATACCATTTCAAAGCCGCTGAATAAACTGCTTGCGCACCAACCAGTTAAGTGAAGAAGGACTATGAAGGAGCTATTAGCGGGCAAAAACAGTCAAGCGGAGACTGTGTGTACTTAAATTGCTGCTCGTTATCTAACAGTCTGTCTAGTTAGAGTACAAAAATAAAGTTTTACACCTATCATGCTCTATATTTCCTTTCCATAGACTTAACAGCACCTTGAACTACTTTACCACTTTAAGTGCTATTTCGAGATTGAGGATTTACCAAATGTTGATATATCGAGCGTATAAGCACATAAATAAATCAAATCTGGCATAGGAATAAAAAGAAATCCTGCGTAAATGTCCAGTCTCTTTAACTACGGTCGATACCTTAAACGAAACTCTAATCTGTTCCCTACGTCTTCTGCAACTTTTTCAAAGTTGTGTCAAAATCGATACACACACTCTTTGTCTATAAATGAAAAAACTATTGAGGACAAAGAAAAACTTTGCAATAATCACCACGGACTCCACTTGCAGCTGTCAAACCATTACTCCTAGCCCATTGTTGACAAATGCATTCCTGCTGGAAACTAATTACAACATACCGCAGGGGCTTTATGTAGAGCAAATAGTAGCCGATCTCGAAGATGAGCTCGATGATTTCGCAGATTGTGATTACAGAAAATCCAATCCACAGGCCGATGTTACCGCCGAAATCGGAGAACAAATTCACCATCTGAAATACTTGGGAACGTGGTCGCGTACTATCTGGTTGTGTAATACTAGTGAATTTGTTTTTAATATCACTAGTGAAAGATGTCCTCGTTTGTTTCAGTCGAAGTCAAATTAAGATTTCCAATCAAAACTATCTGATGCAATTCACAGCACAGGGTAGTAGGATTTGTCAGCCCTCGCCTTAAATCGTTTCGGTGCTCACAGAACAAGTATATTCTCGATTCCATGGTACTCATAAGAAATCTCTAAATATGCTTTATCTGCTCGAAAACACCGGACCCTGTCTGAAGTCGTAACGGAATTTCAATGAAAACTCAAGGGCATTATTCAATCAATGGCGAGGTTAATAGAAAGTTGGACGTTGGAGTTACTACACGAGCCAAAATTTATACTCTAAAGGAAAAGTGGACAAAATTATAGAGTTCGAAATTTGGAAGTCGGTTTGCGAAATATGGGCTTCGAATATTGCTTTTTTTACATGGACCATCTTCATACATTTTTGCCAATCCCAGCACATGTTTCTTTCGATTTGTTCCTTTGCATATATCATTCACGAAAAACCTCAGATCATGAATATCGTTAAATACTAGTCTAGTCTTGCTACACGAAAGCAGATCCTAGGGTAGCCGTGTTAGGGCGTTCCTAGGAGTAATGCAAGAAAGGGAGCATCCTATACAACTCTGGTGCGAATCTCAACCTCGAAGAGATGAGAGGCTCGGCTGGCTTAGGGTGATGTTGAAATAAAGTCTTGCGGACCCAGAAACAACCGCTGATTTTAGTTGCTAGAATGTCTGGTAAATATTTCTTTAGAAAAACACCACTACAGCGGAAAAGTTTAGTACAATGATTCCAGAAAAATTTCTGCACTGATTTGAAAATATGTGCTAGTTCGAAAAACTACACTTATTATAGATATGATATTTGGTTTCCAACCAACATGAAAAGCTTAATGAAAAGCTAATAATCAAGAAGTTCCATACCGTATAGCCAGCAGTCTCCCTCAACGTTTCGAAATTCAGCTGCTCGTAATAAATCTCAATATAGGCGGTGTTCACTCGATAGTATTCAGTACAGGCTTCGGTGTCATTAAATATGTTCAGGACGGCTGGACAGTCGACTCCTGGAAAAAATGAATATATACGGCAATCATTGTTCTTTACTCGTTGAAAGAAGTTCGAGCCTTGCAAAACCATCACTTCTTTCGATAGCAAAGACAACTAATGTAGCTTACCATTTCTATGATCGAGCTTGCACCAAAGCAATAAAGAAAAATGGTTTTAGCAATGAAAAAGGCCCACAAAAAAGCTACCATAAATTGTATTTGTAAAGAAAGCTAGAAGGTAAGACTGAAAGACTTAAGCCTTTTAAAACAACGCCCTCTACACAGTAGTGTTTACTGGATGCGAGAAAGTCAAACCTGGCACATCTAAGCAGCGAATGGTTAGTATTCATCAACTTGTTTCTTCTCCTTGAAAAAGTCTTATCCGCCACTAATATTTTCTCGGATTGTCTCTTCTTTTCTGTCACTATTTTAGTATTGTCACGGAATCCGAAGAGACCAATAGTTTCAAAACGAAATGCACACGTCTATTGGTTACACTGTATCATGTGCGATGAGTTTACCGGATCCACCTAGCCCAACAGGAATTGGTCGAAATTCACGACTCTCAGCATATTACGAAGAAATCAGTATTTTAAAGACTAAAAAACCCAGAAGGTTTGAGGATTATCCTTTCCAGATTCTTCGAAGTTCGTCAATGAAAAACTAAATAGCTTTCCGATGTGTGAGCTAAGAGCTCTTCGTTGGCATGGGCAATCCGTAGCGCACCTAATTTCTTTATTAGTTTTCCTCAACGACACAAAGAGTTTCTTTCGAATCTTTTCGAGAACGACCAATAACACTTGAGACTGGAAAATTCATTGTGTTAACAAAAATATAAATAACGAAGTCTTATTTAGTGAAGTTATGTGAAGTTATACAAGGCAAAAATATCCAATCCTCCTAATAGCATGTCGCCTCATTGTGGTTATGAGATGTTCCTGAATGCCTAACTACGGTGAGTGCGTGCCGGTAAGGATGGTCCAACCACATTTCATGGTACCTCAAGCTAGGAATTAGCCCAATATTTCCATCGGAAGGTCTAATTAAAGAGAACGTAAACCATGCCAGACCTCGGCGAGCCGTTCGTGACTTAAAAACAATCTGGTTAAAACAATTTTAAGAACACATCGTAGTAGTGTGACGCCTTCAGTGTCATTCTGCCAAACAGAGCTCACTGACCACCTAGGTGGGTGACAAGGACGAGCGTAAAGTATGACTCGCGAGAGTATCTGAGTGGTAGAAAGAATTACAGATGTCAGCTGAATAACCAGCCCAAACTTTTGGTAAGTGGACATCATAGAATTTCTATCCAAAGTCCGATTTCATATTTCGGGCCACAAATTGTTCGTGCTTGACAATTGCGAAACGAACTCAGAACCCCATAGAGTCTCAAATGCCTCCATTATTCCCCCATTCTCACGCGTGGTATCCTGTAGCTCCACTAATGAAATAAGGTTTCTTCTGGCATATTAACTACAGCGTTAGGTGTTCATCAATGAACTCTTCTGAACACAGTTGACAATTTGCTCAACCAGAAGCAGTCATTGGGAAACAGTGCAGCTATCTCGAAAGTACGGAATTAGACGTCTCGAAAGTTTCTTAATGAAGTGGACCTGCGAGATTAAATATGCGGCCGTGTTCTTATCACTAATGAAGTTCATAGTGTGTTCCTGGTGAACGAAAAGAAATGATTAAGCAAATATTATGAATGACAATAAAATGGCAATAAATCAGTGGGTTGAGGTATTAAGAATGACCTTACACACCTATCTTAAAGTTGACCGATGGCCAAGCTGCGGCAGAGTAAGCAGTTTCGAAGACATTTTCCGTACATGGCTGACGACATTCACACTCGAGGTGAACGTGATGGTACCCACCGGAAAGGCTGGTCAAGTTCGAGAGACATTGCCCTAAAACTACATAGACTAGACAAATTTTCAATATTTTGAGATGCACTGAACTGCTTGCTGCGTTTTTAAGATGTCAATGCCAAAACCTAAACAGCGCGATAAAAACAGACAGCTAGCCTTTTTTAGACCACATTAAATAATACCAATACGATAAGTAGTTCTTATCACGCCAATTTAAAGAGAAAAACGGAGTGCTAACTATCGGTAACGCTTTTAGCACTACAGTAGCGTTTTTCATCCGGCGGTAAAGGGAAGCGCGGATCTCCACATCCGCATTCGTCCAGTACCTTCAATTGGAAGCAATTACGATGACATCCCTGAAAAAGAATCACTACATCCGTGTAAGGAAGAGCAAAACGCTAGCTAAATAAAACTGCTACCTACTTGCACACAGGTACTAGCTCCACAAAGCGTACAAGAAAAAAATTACTGGAGGACAAGATAGAGATACACATTGTCGTTGTTTTTAATGTTATTGATCGATGGCTGACGTTTCGGCGACTTCGCCTTCCTCAGAGCCTGGACGTACTTTATGTTAGAACACTTTTTGTAAAAAAAAAGATTAAAGTACTAATGAAGATCAAACTTTCAAATAGACGCCATATTGAACAGAAAGGCCACTCACCGTGATGTTACGTGCGGGACTGGCCCACACGTAGTTCACGTGGAGTCGCGAGCAAGACACGCCCCGGGTCAAATTATCATTTTGAAATAGGGCGCCAGGTCACGCATGATAGTGAGGCATTCGTCCTTCCGGTTCATCTTTGGATTTTTAAAATTTATCCAAAACGCCTCAAGAGTTTTGCGCGTTGATGTTTTTGATTCCTGCGCTGGGATCCGCACATCCACTTCAAAATCATCGCCGTTATCCTTTTGTGCCCTATGCGTACCTTGAAGGGTGTTTAAACGGATTTTAGCTTTTTCATTTAGAGTTTTTGTAGTTCTTTCTAGTCAGTTGGATATTAGGATAACAGAGGAGCACCTCAATGATGATTCTCTCTATCGAACAGCCTCTGAAAAGGAATACAGAAATCAATACCGAAAATTAAATCAAGAATGGGTGAGCACGGCAAAGGCCGCGGGTTCAGAGCCTTCAGTTGTTTCTCGACTTAAGAACGATCACCCGATTTGTCCTGTCCTTTACTTGCTTGTTAAAACACATAAGCTTACTTTAACTGATGGTATTACGTCAACGAACCCATCATCATATAAAGTTGGACCTTTCATCAGTTGTATAAGCGAGCCAACGGATAGAATAACGTGGTTCCTAAACCTTATTCTAACCCAGATGCTAAAATTCATTCCAACCCATCTACCTAACACGAAAATATTTCTAGATCACCTAAGGCGCGCGCAACCAAACAGCACGCATATAATGGAGTCATTCGATGCTACTTCACTTTATATCAACGTGTCCAATGACTCCCCAATGCAAGCCATTCTCGAGTTGCTCGTAGAGCACGAAAAGAAAATAAAAATGCACGGCTTGTCGATTGTGCAACTAATGACCCTCTTAAAACAGTGTCTTAGTTGTTCAATCTTTAGGTGGTCTGGAGAATATTTTGCACCAATTAGAGGGTTGGCGATGGGGCAGCGTTTAGCACCAAGCCTTGCCATCGCTTTCATGTCTAAGGTGGAAGCTCCAGTTCTCGATCACCGACCCTTACTCTACTGTCGTTACATAGACGACTGCTTCATCGTCTGTTCCACACAAGAACAGATGGATGAGTGCTTTGAATTATTAAACCGACAGTCAGAGTATATAAAATTTACACGAGAAAAACCTACCGAGAACTGGCTTCCATTCTTAAACATCCAAATAAAGCTCTCAGTAAGTGGCTATTTAACAAAATGGTATCGCAAGCCAAGTAGTAAAAACATTCTAGTCCACTGCCTCTCCTCTCATCCTTCACACATGAAAAAAGCACTTATCAAAAATATGTATCGTACGGCTAAAAATGTGTGTACAGGAGAAGAGGAAAGGAAGGAATCGCAAAACCTGGCACGAAAAATTGCCATTTCCAATGGCTACGAAGTAGGAGCCACTCGGATTAGACAAAAACGTAGAGTAGTTCTCCAAAATAATGTGTCGGACCTAAGTGAGATCTCCTTTAAGCTACCCTTCATATCAAATGAAGTAAGTCACGTCTTTAAAAAGTGGTCTTGAAAATTGTGTGGTTTATTATTGACCTCCTACAAATACCCTACGCCGCCAGTTAGTTCGAAACAGTCTCTATGATCGTTTGTGCAGCTCAGAAAACTGTATGATCTGTCCCAACGGGAGAGACGGGGATTGCATGAGTTTAGGTATAATATACTTGATCTCATGTAATGCATGCGGCGAGGAATATATCGGGGAAACGGGTAGACCACTTTGTGTCCGCATAAAAGAACATCTAGATGGGAAAGCTAAAATCCGTTTAAACACCCCTCTAGGTACGCATAGGGCACAAAAGCACAACGGCGATGATTTCGAAGTGAATGTGCGGATCCCAGCGCAGGAATCAAAAACATCAACGCGCAAAACTCTTAAGGCGTTTTGGATAAATTTTAAAAATCCAAAGATGAACCGGAAGGACGAATGCCTCACTATCACGCGTGACCTGGCGCCCTATTTCAAAATGATATTTTGACCCCGGGGCGTGTCTTGCTTGCGACTCCACGTGAACTACGTGTGGGCCAGTCCCGCATGTAACATCACGGTGAGTGGCCTTTCTGTTCAATATGGCGTCTATTTGAAAGTTTGATCTTCGTTAACACTTTAACCTTTCTTTTCCACCGAATAATAAAAACTATTCTAACATTAAATACGTCCAGGCTCTAAGGAAGGCGAAGTCGCCGAAACGTCAGCCATCGATCGATAACATCAAAAACAGCGACAACGACAACGACAACGAAGATCTGTACCAACCTCGCTTCAGCTTAAGAAGATCAGTTTATAAGATCACATAAATAAATATATCAACTATCTATGCCAAGGTTTATAGAAAGTCGGTCTTTCGAGTTATTATAGAGATACACAGTTTGGCAACGAAATCCTCAAGGAGTCGTAAGGTTAAATTTGGAGGGTCAACTTGCAAAATTTAGAGCAGTGACTTTTCTCTCGAAATAATGCAAAGGTCAACCTAAACTTCCACCCAGTAATCTCTCCAAGATCCGCATCACAAGCGCTGTTTACCTCACTCCGTAAATTCAAATTCAAAAAAGGAAAGAATAAACGATAACATTGCAGGCGTTAATCAGTCGCTGAGAGATGCGCCATGTACTCGAATTCATTCAGCATTGTTGAAGGTGACTGAATGCATATTTGGCTTACACAACGAATTTTGGTGGCCAGCCGATGTATTGGATCAGTGCTGTTATCCTCACACACAATTATAGTGACAAATTGCCTGCTGACCCAGCACACATTAAAAGCTTAGCAAGCCTGGGATGTGCGATCGAACCAATGACCATGTGCATTGCAGGGCACCACTAACCACCTTTGTACTACACGCACTATTAGAAAAAGAGATTCAAATTTCCTCTCTTCATTATCGTGCTCAAAAGTGGGTCTGCATGGATAGAATATTTTCTCACTACGATTTTCTTAGACCAGCATTTCTTGCTCATCCTCTAAACTGAGTATAGTAAAATACACTGTTAAACTTACATATCCTTTTATGTCTCTTCAACAAAAAAAAAACAATATTTCCGGAACATTGATTTATTCCTAAACTAACAGTATGCGCACAGGATCCGTGTACTGTATTCGTTGGAGGTGTTTTAAATGGTCACTATTTCAGCACCACTTAAAGGAACCAGCCCGCCGACGTCAGCAAATTAGTAGTATAACTTCTCTTCTGGGACAAAAACTATGAATTTATACATTGGTAGTTTTCTACAAGTCGCCGTATGGGTCAACCTTATTCATTCATCTCAGTAATGCTTAATGCAATCGAATTCATGTCTCTCAAGAATTGATCAAAGCCGAAAGCTTCATATTTTATCCTTGTTGCCCTTGCAAAAAGTTAAAGTGTTTGTTGAATAATTTTTAGTGTAATCAGTAGTAAATTCACAAAAGTTTGTCATATTTTTAGGGAGTACAACAGTGGAGAGGTAGAGAATATTGTATGCAGGCATTGTGAAAGGAAAGCTCACCTCAGGCGAATAGTGCTCGTCGTAAATATATCGCTCAGGACGGAACGTGTCGCTACATGACCCATATGGGGCATCCATGCGGTGGAGAACTTTCTTGAAAATTCGTACGCTAAGGATTTGCAAATTTAAAACTCATGTGAAGTTATTTTATACCTTTTGGTATTCTTCATTAACTATGAGAACACGAAACCGTCTGCTCAGCAAAACTAAGTGAAAAAAAGTAAAAGTGGTAACTGGACACACTCGTTGGATAAAGAATAACGAAGATATTTGAAAACGATCGATTAAGATAGGATGAATCAGCCATTAAACCACTCTTAGACATGGTCCACGAGCCGTCGCAGTAGCAGTGACATTGGTAATGGTAACGGTGGTAAAAATAGCAGTAATATTTTCCTACATTATGGCCTAGCACATCTACTGTGCGGATATTAGCAAACCTTGCAGTGGATTCGTCCTCCTAGGATTCATCGTTCACAAAGGTCTTGGAATACGGCACGCTTTGTTTCGGCTGCTGCTTGAGAATTTCTTTTTCTTTATGAAAGTCATAGAGCAGTGGTCGAGTCGATTCTCTTTGAGATCTTAGAGATTGCCGAGTAAGGGCATTAGTTATGCCATCTGGATTGAAGGAAAATGTTGGGAGAACGCCGAATCAACGCTTTTGCAACCCGATCGACAGCATCGCTAACCACTAAGCTACCTCCTCTCCACTGTCACTTATCGATTGAGATTTTGATTGTGACGTTGATACATTGCTCGTTAAGGATCTTTATGCACTGAAAGCAGAGATTCCTAGACATTTTCTGTCTCAACGAAGTCAAATTGCATCTTCAATCCATGAAAATGGAACAGAGTGGTCTCTTATACAAGGCATATTTCGATAAACCTCATAATCGCGTGGATGTGGTCAAGCGTACTGAATCCTTTTCAAAATCGTGCTCTTCCAATGGCTGCCCTTCGTCCAGTCTCAATCTCTGTCACTTTTGTTGAGGATAACCCGAGTGAAGAGTTTGTGGACAACAGACACTATGCAGATTGGGACTGCCAATAATGTGGTCTCCTTTTTTTAAACACGTTACTGCTGATCTTCCATTGCATAGAGACCTTGCATTCTGACAGGTAACCGAGTTGAACCAGTGTGCTGATGAGAACATATGCAGTGTTCTTCAGATATTCGTTCTAATTCAATTCGGAGCTAACGTTGCATGGTTTATTACTGACAGGGTAAACATCTCATCAATCTTTCCCAGAGTAGAAAAGGATTTAGACCTATACATTTAAGGCAACTTCTCGTAATCACTTTTCATGCCCATTCCACTCGATTGTGGGCTTGTGGCCGACACAAGCATCGCTACAACTCATGTATCAACGAGGTTATGTAAATAAAAAGGACATATGTCTACCTGGTTTAGGAAAGACAAGAATTGCGTTTTCTGTCTCAAAGGGTCACAAGGTTTCTCTTGGTCCGCTTTAACACCCTACTCGCATGTGGGAACCGGTCAAGCTTACTTTCAGGGCTAACAGACTGAGGATTTCTGAACGAAAGGGGTTCGTAGAAAAAGGTTTTTTCTATAATCATCGAATAGCTTTCTCACTGAGCTCTGCTTCGTCTAAAGATTTAAAGAGTATCACAACTTTCAATGAGCCCTTATTTTTAGAGACTCATAGCGATAATGCGGAAACCGATGGTCTCATTGGGCTCGTTGCAATGTGGAATTCGTTTACACCAGGTTTCCAAAAACAAATCCCGATTTGCTGCTTATTATGCGAGACCTTCTCGAACCTCCGACCTTCATTGGTAATAATATTAATACCATGAAAGCAAAAACATAACATTAATAAGAAAGGTGGATAAATACAAACGGCTTGAGTAAGCTAATGTAGAAATGAAGTCACAAGTGGCTAATGACAAAGATCCCGCTTTTTCCCTCCAAGGAATCAAAACCTAATGACTTTTCCAGAACATCGTGCTCCAACAAAACAAAGATGAGTTAGAGGTGATGAAAATCATAATAGCGAAACAAATCACCGTTTTTAAACCAAACGATGACACAAAACCAGTGGGAGCGCTGTAGCCGAACGTGTCTGGGAACGGTTCTTTATCCTGAAATTTTCAGATAAGAAACCTGACCGACGAACAGATGTGGATAGCTCACTGGTTTTTTGCTACGCCCAAAGCCGATTTTTAAATGTTTATTTTTCTAGTGTTTTTAATATATATACATACATATGTATATATACTTGATACTTGAGTGGCCTGTTCTTATTGGCTGTGTGTACCCCAGCGTAATCTCTATTTTTCGGAGGTTTGCTGGTTAAATCATTGTGGTTCCCTAGAATCCCGAAGTCAGTTTGGCCAAAGTTTGCCCCAGGCCTTCACCATCACAGGCAATCGCAGGCCTTGTGGATCAGAGAGAGATTTGCCACCATACGGCTTTGATACCAGTACGATGGTGGATCCTGGTATTGGTTACTCTTAGCTAGGCTTCCTGAGGGAAACGCCGGACTTCTCAGCTTGGGAGACACTGCTAGGGGATGAATCCCCTGCTGTACATTGCAGTCCGACACCCAGGAATACCTCCCAGCCAGGATGAGGCGGTGAACCGTTGAGATGATATATATATATATATATATATATATATATAATATGGAGGCGGGGTCTGGGTAGCGGATAAACGGGCAAGGGAATCACTAAATACTCGGTTGGAACGAGAAAAATCGAAAAAACCGAGGAATTTCGGAAGCGCGACAGCAGTCGCGTCGCGGTCTCCGGGAATACGACAGAGGGAGGGACGCAAGCATCCGCGTCGCCTTAAATTGCCCGTAACTCCCCGGAAAACGTGAATTGAACAGCGCGAACACAACGTTAAGTATGTATAAGTATATTAATATTAAGAAGATGAGTTACTGTATCGCGAACGAAGTGTCCGGAAAAATGTCTGAAAACGCGAATTTGGGCGCACAAGCGCCATATTGAATGTGTATATTGTGGCAGTACTAGCGGATGAGTTTTCCGCGAAAAAATCCGAAATGCGCCGAAACGACGGAAAAACGCCTGTGTGACGTCGGAGGCAGCTAAACCTCAGCCTCGCGTAGGGAGAGCAAGCCGCACGTGCCTCTGAAGACTTGCAATTCGATCTACTCGCCGAAAACTCCCGAAAGTCGCCGAAACGCGAATTTAAGCGCGGGGCGTGCCTCGGTGGCGTTATACCGTAACCCCGAACGCGCGTGCATTAGCGTCGCTGCGTGAAAACCGTGCAATTTGACTTACCTGCCGAAAGACCCGAAAGTCCCTGAAACCTCGAAAAATCGCCTAAGCTTAAACCTATAGTGTTCGCAAACAAGTATATATATGTATGTATGATATATTAATATGTGTTGTATAGCAATGTAGAACCACCATATATCGAGGTGCAACTAATAAGATTAACTACAACTTGTTACTGCAAGAAATCATAGGGTGAATAGAGTTGATCGCAGACGATCTCGTCAGTTATTCACTATGCATATTTTAGCATAACCATTAACACATAACACCCAAAGCTAGTTTTTCGAAAAAAAGACGAAAGTTTCTCGATCATCGAAGTATTTGTTTTATCACCCATATATATATATATATATGTATATATATATATGTATATATATACATACACACATATATATATACTACGCGATATCCTCTATATTTTAAACATGTTTAAAATTAAATTTCTCATAAAAATTGAGAGCTTAATTTGAAGTCTTCCAGTTTCCGATTGAACACCGGCAGCCACAAAAATAAAGGATGCAATCGAGAACACCATCATGTCCCACCAGGCGAAATCCACTTCGATTCATTTTTGGATTTTTGAAATCTAACCAAAATTCCTGAAGAGTCTTGCGCGTTGACGTTCTTGATTCACGTGCTAGGATCCTGATAGTCACTTTGAAAACATCACAGCTGTGCTTTGTGTCCTATTTGCACCTGGAAGGGTACTCCGACGACTATTAAGTTCTCCATCTAGATGCTTTTTTATGCGAACAGAAAGTGGTCTAACCGTTTGTCCAATGTGTTCGTTACTGCATGCCTTGCACAAGAATAAGTATATTGCACGTGAACTCATACAATCGCTCTCTCTCTCTCCGCCGTTAGGCTTAGTATATTTTTAGAGCTTGCTTTTCGATGCTGTTTTATTACGTAGCCACTTTCTGAAAGCTTTATTTGGATGTTTAAAGTGGAAACCAGATCTCGGTTGGTTTTCCCTGCGTAAATTTTACACACTCCCACGGTCTATTCAAAAGTCGTCTATGTATCGACAGTAGAGTAAGGACCGGCGATCGAAAACTGGAGCTTCCACTTTAGACACAAAGACGAAGGTAAGGCTTGCTGGTAAACACACTGTTCGATGGTTAACTCTCCAATCTGTGAGAAATATTTTACTCATCACCTAACGGTTGGAGAACTAAGACACTGGGTTGATAAAGATGTCAATTCGGCTAACATTTCGGCGTCTTCATCTTCATCAGAGCCGATGCTCCGAGTCAATGGGCCGCAGTTGCTCGCCTTCTCGATGTGATGTCTTCGCCTTTGTTTCGAGTCGGACCTTGCTCAGTGGAGCATCTCACGAATCAGTGCATACTCACCCAGCGACGCTCTTTTAGAAAAGATCTTAGAATCTAGATCGGTTCGAGGAAGATACGACTCGATACGAAGAAGAAGATGCAACATCGCGAAGACGAAGAACTGTAGACCGTCGACTCGGATGTTCGACTCTGAAGATGAGGACGTCGAAAGCTCAGCGAAACAAATATCTTTATCAACCTCGTGTAAGGCCGACAATTTAAACATGTGTTGATCGTCAAAAACAACTATCACCATTTTAGAGCTCATTTTCATCACATTACGGACTTCAGTATTTGACGCGGTTACACGGGATGTTTATCACTCTATCTGTTCGTGATCGCCATTAAAATTGCTCCGTACACTACCGGTAGAGCTGCTTCAATTAAAAGCTGTGGGTAAAAGACGTTGAAGCAATCAAGCACTAAAATAAAGGCGATATTTCAGAGGGAAATGTATAGCAAAACCACGTTCTAGGAAAATCACTTCAACATGACGCATAGGTAAACAAATGCTTTGAGTAAAACGCACGAAAACCAATCTCTATTATTTTCTTCTAATAGAAAGCCTTGCTGCCGAAATACGTGACAAGTCGTCTAATTCGGAAACTACCGATGTCTTCGTTCTGCTGAATATTCAACCTAGCAATCTCGGGGTCCCAGGAAGTTAACCGGCACAATCGGTAAAGACGTGATGGGAAGTACATGACACATTGAGATAGGGCAAAAAAGAAGTTCACCTGTTCATGAACAACTATGCGAACACCAGCAGCCTCTGTGGTCGGCATGTAGTCGTCCTGGTGCACATCCAAAAGAAGTCGTAAACCTATGTTGATGCAATTACGATAACAATTGTGCGAACAATAAGAGAATGCTAGATGTCTTATTTGTCGCCATCTAATACTGACCATACATTGGACCCGCGCGGCTATTCTTCAATTCTACGGAGTCATTGAAGTTGAACGTGTAGCAGTTACCGTATTCAGGATCAACATGTAGCTTGAAATCACTGGAAGAGATTAACTTCGCATTAAGAGCTGCGGATTACTAACAGTGCAGGGCAAAAGTGGACTTAGAAAATGCCACAAACTCAGCATGCGAACGAAAAGTAAAGGGCATTAAATTTTCTATGATCTATGCCTTCATATATTCCGCGGATCTCTGCATTTCTCTAATTCGGTTCGTCGCTGGACTTCTACGCGGCTACAGCTGAGGATTTTTTATCTCCTTAATTAATACCCCTTAATGCCTGCTGATTATGGCTCTCACTGAATCCCGAGACAACTCTGCTGGAGAGTTTATAAATCCTTCCTACTTAGATTACCCAAGGCTGAGTGTTTCTTTCGTCCAATTTTGGTAACTGGTGATTTTCGGCTTCTACATTGTCCTTAGCAGGTCGGTCATTTTTCATGTCTACTTCCGTTTCTGATTTTGGTTTTAATATAGGCTCCAAATCAACTAGCAAAAAGATTGAGCGAAGGAATCGTTGCCGACTGGATACTTTCCTGGGATCCATATCGTGATGAAGACCTCGACACACCCTTCCAAGATTAAGGTGAGACTCCAAACATAATCAAATTACTTAACCAGCAATAAAACAGACCTAGCACCCCTCTATGACGTCAAATGGTGAGACAACCGGTGAGAGGCTACAAAATCTCGGGTTACACAGGACGTCACCGGGACGCGTCTAACGAACACACGCACGGCACACGGACACTGCTTCTTGCTGTGTACCTATAACGCCAGAGCAATCTCTTCAGACGCCGACCTTCGCGCTGTTCTTGGGGTCGCCGTTCATATATAATTTCATGTGATTGTTCTACAAGAAATAAAAAGAAAACTGATAAATGTCAAATAAACAATGGGACCCTTGTCATTCGTGAAGAAAAGGTCCCGTCACGAAATGTCGGGGACGTAGACTTTCTTGTACACCCGTCTATTGTCCATCTCAACGACTCAAACGATGCATGACCATCCTCCGTCTTCAACTCATAAGAAGATCATAATCATCAATTCCTACTCACCGACCAATACAGTTGATGAGTACAAATTAGTTGCGCTTTAAAATCAATTGGAGGAAGTTACCCGCGATAATAAAGTATACTATAAATTTGTTTTCGGAAACTTCTACCCCAGTCTAGGAAAGGCCAACGACAGCGAATACAGGATGGGAAATTTATGATCAGGAAAAAGAAATAAGAATAGAAACCGTCTTGCAGGGCTCCTGTCTGCTGCACGCTTCTTTCAAGGAAACTCATTTTTCCAAAAGAAAGAAAGATGCAGCTGGACATGGTCCTCTCCTGACGGTGCGACTCATGCGGAGATTGATCATGCTCAGACAAACAGAAGATGGTGCCTACTTGATACAGGTAGTCCCGTCATTTTCTACTAGTTCCGATCACCGCCTACTTCGTGCAAAGATTCGATACAGGCGTAAGCTGGAAAAGAATTTATGTCATCGATCACAAAGAAAGGGCTCGAGCGAAGACTACGAGGTGTTTGTCGAATAACTTCAAAGTTGTGCCGAATTTACGTAAGTTCCTCAAACAAGAAGATCAGACCTCTACTACCACTAAGTAGTTGCCCAAGAAGGAAGAAAATGAAGCCTGATCCTACTGCAACACGTTTAACACGGCTAGTAATAAATGCCAGCTAGAGAAGAACTTTGCAGAAGATCTACATCGGCACAGGCAGAAGAAACTACTAGAAGCGGCAGAGAAAAGAACCAGTTTGAAAAAATGTGGTCGAGGCTACTGCGAAAATAATGTTCCCCTTTAGCCTTGACGAGTGAAGATAGAATCACTAAAACTTCCCGCCATGATATGGAATTGACGACGAAAAAACTTTACACCATCCTTTCCTTTCCAAAATCTCCGTCCCATACGACAAAATTTCCGCTGGCGAAAAACCACCTGGGATTCCTCCGTCGGAGCATCGATTTACGATGGAAAACATGAAAAGAGGCACAGCTCCAGGAGCCGTTGATATCACTGCCGACTTCGTTAAAGCTGGAATCCAAAATTTATGTACATTTCACGCAAACCATGTAGCAGCCTACCTTCAAAACGAAAAATTTCTCGACCAATGGAGGACGTTGGGCATGGTCATCCTGCCCAAGGAATGTGGCCGAAACTTTTTCGTAACTATCGCCCGATGTGCTTGTTGAGTGTGCTCTACAAGTTCTTCACAAAGATTTCATGTCACACATATTAAGGACATTAGAGGAAAAGCAACCAGTTGAGCAAGCAGGATTTCGACAAAAATTTTGTTGCATAGAACACATCCAAACTGTGTCGAGAGTCATTGAGGTTTGTCGGGAATACCACCTGCCCCTAGTCCTAACCTTTGTCGACTATGAAAAACCGTTTGACAGTGTCGAAACCAAAGGCAACATAATATCGCCAAAGCTGTTTAATGCCGCACTGCATTGGATAACAAAGTTACTCGATTGGGATGAGAAGACCATGCGTATTAATGGAAAATTCCCATCAAACCTTCGTTTCACTGATAATATTGTCATCTTTTCAAGAAGTAAAAACGAAGAAGAGACGATTATCAATGAGTCAACGAAGGGAGAAAAAAGATCATACTACGCATAAATCGGAGGAAGAACTAATTCATGAAGAACTCATAGTGCGGAGGCTTGTAGATCAAACTGTATGGTTCTCTGATTGCAGAGACCAGCCCAAGGTATACCTTGGGCGATAAATGAACATGGAGAGCAAGATGTAGAAGGAGGTAGACTGAGGAAGGAAAGTAGCTTGGACCACATTGGGACCTGTCAAAGATGATCATCTTTTCGATTCTACGGTCCTTCCAGCGCTCTGTTATGCAGCAGAGACATGGGTTGGTACTACAACCGCGTCAGGAATACTCTGCACTGCTCACAGAACGCTTGAATGATGTTTTCTGAAATATAACTGACACAGTCAATATCTAACTGGAATTCGAAGCTCTGATCTTTGAAATTTATTTCTTGGAATCTAGGCGAATATAAATCGAAAGCGAAACACAGATGGCTATGTCACATAATGAGAAGAATAGACGACAGATGCACGAAAAGAACTGTAGATTAGTCCCTGAGGACGCAGGCGTCCCCTTGAACAGCGAGCTGCACGTTGGACGGACGTGTTTGTAGCCAAGGTTAATCAACTGTACTCTCAGCTACAGTTACCTTACAGGTAACGGTATGAGACTCGCACCCGCCAGCATGCTTGAATAAAACCACTGCCGTGGACTACGACTACGAGGGAAAGAAACGAATGGCAAATTTGCTGCTACTCGCATAACTCGTGAAGACGGACCGTCCAAGTATTGGATAACAAAGTGTCCACATGAGTGTCCCTAAAGGCAATAGCCAACCTTTATGGACCGGTTGGAACCTTTTCCAAACGATGCTTAGTATCAATATGCACATCTGGAAGCAGTGGAAGGGAGGACTTGACTGAGGTCACATTGCAACCATGGGTGCATTGCATAATAACTCTTACTACTGCGCTACCACATGCCCTCAATGAGGTCGACAGGGAAGGTTTCCCAAAAAGTAAGGACCTTTTAAGTGAGAAACTACTTCCCGCTCTTTTTGCGCTTTAGATCGAAGTGGTCACATTTGTTGCGCTCCCTGGCTGCATTATCGATATTACGTCCGTCACATGTGGAAGGTTATTTATTGCTAACGATAAACAAAACTGCGAATCTGGTCGTCTATTCCTCGTAGATTCCAAAATAATCGCCGACCTGATTCTAGGAATAAGCTCTAAGTCTATTTTCTTTTGATACGAATCATCGTCTTAGTTTCACCTAATTTTGGGACTTCTGCTTTGACTTTAAACTTCTATTTTGTCCATGCATCATACTGGTGTTACCACTGCCATGTGCTGACAGCCCCTCCAAATCGACAAGTGAGGTCTGGAGTGATCCCCAATGCGATTCATAGCCGTTTTCTAACACAATTTCAAGTGTTACAAGCGGTATAGATTGAGTATAAAACGCATTAGGTACATAAACCGTAGTGGACGAAACACACTACCGCCTATATTAATTCACTTCGGATTAACGAAAACAAGCACTAGTTCTGTTAACATCAAAACTCAGATAAGTGTCGGCATGTGGTGCGCGTCGTATAACTAACTACCAATTTCTTGGGAAGAAAAGAATATAATGCAAAGGAGGGGATGAAGGGACCATGAAATAAGAAGAACCAACGGTCGGTTTTGCCCAACATAGAGCTTTAGGTAATGTTCACAGTCCATCTGGATATGAATCCCCAGTGCAGTATAGTAAAGCTCAAAAACCCACCGCTCCATGTTGCAGTCTTTGCTATTGAACGAGCAACGTAGTACGAACTCGTTAAGTGTGTACGAGAGATTTCTACGAGTTTCGCGAGGCAAAGCAGCCACTAGGAAAATCAGATTCTCTTTCGTTTGGGTCGTGATCGCACCCTTATCCCGTAGTTCCTGAAACAGTCAATGTAAATGGGTCCTGAAACTGAGGAACATAGCAGAATCAAAAGACTTTAGCACTGACGAAGTGACAGACTTCAATAAATGATTGTTATTGTTCTGGTTTATTGATAAAAATACACGACATTATTTACAAATCTTTGTTGTACTTAACATTTCGGCAGAACCTCTTTCTTTGGCGGACACTTGACTTGAACCATCGCGACTCTGAAGAAGGCCAAACCACAGAAACGTTAGCCATAATGAGGATTTACACAACCTCGTGTAGGCTTGCCAACAAACGAAGATTTTTTTATTCACACAGAGATTCAGTGAAGGTACGAATTGAAGATGACTGCTGTCTCACCTGCTGATAACAAAAAATCAGGAAGCCGCAGTAGAAAGCTTCGAACACTGGATGCTTTCTATTTCGAAAACCTTGCTTTATTTGTAATATGGCGTGTTGTAAGAAATCTTTAACAGGGATGAAAAAGAAGAAGAAAAACGAGATTCACACACAGTCCGAAGGGATAAAGTAAAAATAGTTCGGACAGCACTCGTAGCCCTAAGTATTGAGATCGGTGAGACTGATGGAGTGTCTTGTTTAAAATGAAAGCCTCGGTTAAAACGCAGAATGTTTTGCAAAGCAGGAAAAGCCTATCAGAATATGTAAGGAGCCTACCAAAAGTCCAAACGCCTGCTCAGTTTCCGTGGCGTACACAGCTGGTGGATCTGTCGCTGGAAATGTCGTGTAATTATTCGGGTTCCACCACTTTATTTCGCCCTAAAGTCAAAATAACAGTAGAAAATGGAATGTGGAATCGGAACATTGGTTGGCAACCATGAAAGAGACTATGCGGCGACCATCGCCTTACACTTGTAAATAATTAGAACAATTTTAAAGGATGAGTGTCGTAATAACAAGAGGAAAATGCCGCACAACAGGCTCTTCAATAAGGTTTTAATGAACGAAAATTGCCAGAAGTTTTCATAACAGCAATAAAAGCAGATCACAATTTGCGAAGTCGGCTAGCCAAGTGTGAAAATCGTTTAAAAGAAAAAAGATAATGAGTGATCAAAACATGAAAGAAAGCTGGCTGAATAGACCTTTAATGAGGTTAGACAGACAGTGACTGAAAAATTATACCTTAGGATGAATCATACAATGATGAGAGATGCTCTGGCAGAGACATTCCACCGCCTCTCCACTTACGTTATGATGGTCGGGATCGGGACACGTGTTCGAGATTGACGAGCACCCAGAGCACTTCTGAAAAACATGACATCCACCGATATATAAAAAGGAGAAAGGATAAAACTCTCCGCGCTGATCAATCTCTGAGGGATGCGCCATGCATTCGACTTCATTAAGTATCGTTTGAAGGTGATTGAATGCATATCTGGTCTTTACAATGACTCGCGGTGTCCTACCGATGTATCGAGCCAGTGTTATTATCCTCTCAGACAAGTTTGGTAGCAAGTTGCCGACTCCGGAAGGACGGAAGGCTTGGTGGGCCCTGGAAGCCGGGATTGACTCAACGTCTGTGTTGCAGAGCACCTCTGACCACTACACCATACGCACCCTTACCAATATATATATCTGATCGACAAGGGTAAATCTCCCTCCGATCCACAAGGGCTGCGACTGCCTGTTGGTGAAGAGCTGGGGCAAATTTTGACCAGGTTGACCTGGGGATTCAAGGAAACCACAATGGTTTAGCCACCAAATCTCCGAAAAATGAACATTATGCTGGAGCCCACATAGCCAATGAGGACAGGCCATTCAAGTGTCAAGTAATTAAGTATACATGGATAGATATATACGTGTGTTGATATACACGTATACATATATATGCATATATAAGCGGCGCCGGTAGCACACTGGTAGTGATACCATTTAATAAAGGTAATAACTTGGCTCCACCTCTCCACGAGTCAACGAAACCTCTGATTCTTCCCGGATCAGGAAGTTGGTATCAGACATATATGGAGTCAGTTCGTTCCCTCTAGTTCACAAAAGAGGGCGCATGCCTATGATAAAGAACTGATTATGCCCCAATACGACTATCTTAGGATTTAATAAAAAATTGACTCGAACAGTATTCAACGACATTTACAACAAGAACAAAAATCCTCTAGTAGCAGCCGATCCACACGTGAATTTGGAAGACATTGGTGCAACATGGATTCGAGGGAACGAATCGAGAAGGCAAGGTGCCGGGATCCACACGTTTGATATCGTATTGCTCTAATTTTCGTCAACCATCGAATTTATTGAAGGCAGCTAAAGTAGTAAAATATAATTATGCCACACATATGTAGAAATATAGAGAGAAATGAATTAATATTGCGAAGATCGTCGTCGATTGATGTATAGAATGTGCTTCTCCCGCATCCTACAAAATATCCAAGGAAGCTGCCGCTGCTACCAAATTTTCTCGACTCCAAAGTCAGTTGAAGTGCTTCAAAATTGGTTTTCCATACCGCTATATCTTTCGTAAACCTCAGAATCACATTTCTGCATGGATCTGCCTCCATTAACGTTTAAACAACAGGGGGCGTACTTAACTCTTTACAACCCCGTGGTTCCCATCTCTATCAGGAAATTTTGCAGTCAGCGCTGTACCACTACAAAGTGCGCCTTGACAAAATTCAACTTTTGTATTAAGAAACTCTTCAGTGTTTTCATGTTCATGTTGCAAACGATCTCGGGACCGAAAGGGAAAAAATCCTACCGAACCGGGGCACACCATTCAAATGGAAATTGCCTGGAAACCATTCGATTGATCAAAACGAGCTATTTAAGTGGGAAATCCATTTTCGTCAATATGTGGTGTAACAGTTGACTAGTACTCATTCGAGGAAAAAGGAGTGCGTTCTTGCCCACTACCTTTTCGTAAAACAGCGACAAAGTATAATAGCCCGCCAAGCTCTGTTGTCAAGAAATGCTGCAACATTAAGCATTTCCGCAGATAACGTTTAGTTTACTTACCAGATGCAATCTCGAACCAGAAGCCATCATATAGCTCCTAGTCAATTCATTACAAGCTACCAGCTAAGAAGGACACAACGCGCAAGCGCACGACCAGATCCATTAAGATCCATATGTAGGGATAAAGAGACAAATAAAAAAAGCTTTATAATGGCCAATTTATTAATGATTAATAGCTCTTTAATGACAATAAAAGTTCAGTTTACAAAAACAATAAAATTAGGAAAAAATGAGAAACTATTTTTCCTCTTTCGCTCTTCTAAATTTGTCCATACAAACCAAAGAAAATACAAATCACCTTAACTGTCCAAACATTGGTTGGATAACACGGCCAGATAAGACCCTTGGTGACGTCTTCAAAGCACATGCACACCGATGCACGCCACTGAAATACGGTCGTCACAAAAGAGACGATCCACAGGATGGACGAAAATTATGGGCTTTTCACTTGCCTGTACCAAATACCGTTTCATAATAATCTACTTTAGCAGTTAACTAGTTTTGTCTCAGGTTATCATAGCCACTAGATCGCGTACAAATCGTCAAACTATCGCACAATTTACGAAAAATGGAAAGTCTGTCGCATTCATTGTACGAAAGCTTAAAACTCAAAGCATAAGTGTCGAGAGATTATCAAGCTACGTAGAGACGAAGGAATTGTTGAAGGGATGTGGAGCTCTGATCATCCTTATACGTTAAAAAACTAATAGATTCGTGGAACTGTCCAGAAGAGGGCTAGCAGAAATGATTTAGTGGCATTGCTCACTCAATTATCCACTTATCTCCCTAGGTTTGGATTGAACTCCAGAGTTCTCGTCTGCCCCAATGGACAATCGTTAAACGAAGGAGGAAAGAAAGTCAACTGGAGAAATCTGAGAAACTGCTAACTAGTGTGAGATGCGTCGCAAATGTATTATGTAATCAGATGAGATTTTCACAGCTGAAGTTGTCCACAATTCTCAAAACCACAGTCAGCTGGTTCTCTCGATGCCAAAGCAATCTCAGGGATGAAAAGTTGTAGAGCGTTCCAGCCTTTTAAAGAACTGATGGTCCGGGAGAGATGAATTCATCGGAATCGGGAAAACAGCTCTGGATTTTATTGATAAAAATGTCGCAAGGAACTAAGTTTAGCTAACTGATATATCAAGAATGTGGCGCCTCACTGGAAACAGAGAAGGCCCTAACGGGATCATGCAAAATATGGTTGATGACAAATTCCACTAGACTCTGTTGAACCTGTGAAGCCAACATGTAGGAGAGGAAGCAAAAAAAGCTAAGGCAAATTGGCACAAGTTACGGGTATTGTTTCCTACGTTGCTTTAGTCTTTAAAACTAATGAATCTCGAAAATGATGTCCACTTAGATTTTGACGAACTACGCATACTCGATGTAAACGAGGATTTTCTAAAAAAGATATTGTAAAAAAATGTTCACGACTGAGTAAAGTCAGGTAGAGCTCTGTACCAACAACACTTTGAAAGCCGATTTGAGGCACTGCAAAAGACGACGTTTTCGTTAAAACTTCATGATCGCCTACGCTCCAAGATAATCCTTCTAAACTCACTAAGATGGAGTGTGCTCAAGTATTTGAAATAAAAGAAGATCAGAGATGACAAAAGTAGCGCACCTCAAGAGGGTTCCTATTTGGAACGCACTGCTCCGTATTGAGGCATGTACAACGGACGAAAACCGGTTGGTAGACGGCTCCCTGCAGCTCATGCTCTTCTATTGGGAAGTTCAGTACAGCTCGTTCTCTGAAACAAAGTGATCCTGCCAAATTTCTGTAAAAAAAATTTTGCTAAACTCTGCTTCTTCGCTCTCTTTTTCACTTCCTTGTTCCCTATCCGAAGACAGAGATCAAGCAAAACTTCATCAAGCTGTTATCGTCTAGGAAATTAACCCTCTCTGGAGCAATGGAGAAAGTGAGTGGCACTCTGCCTAGCTACTAAATACGCCAATTCTTTTACGTTGCAAAAGTACCCCAGAACAAAAGCAATGAGTACTCTGAAAAAGTAGGCACCTAAATGTAGAGGTACTAAATTTAAGCTTCTAGACGAGGGAATTTGGACATAAATCTCCGCTGACCCGGCGTCTGAGAGTCGACGAGGAGCGCGCAAACTATTCGGAATCGATGTAGAATTTCTGAACTATTGAAGCATATACGTTATAAAAGAACATCAATACCAAAGTTTTTCCAAGCATTTGTGAAGTCTACATCTCCCTGAATTCGTGGAAACCGTTGGCGAAGAAAATGCTCTGACCTTATGACGATTCGCTTTTCTTCCAACCTTTTTCTTTATAGTGGCAATACTCACGTATTGCGAGACTTTCAACAAAGTAATCTCGCTTATTGGGAAAAATTTAGTGAAGGGTCGCTTCTTCTGCTTTAAGAGCACCGTAAAACGAGAGTGTTTCCATCCAGAGAGCCCATTCTTTCTATGAGATCTTTCGTTCATGTAAAGCAGTCGGCGTTTCATAAAGAATACGTGAATTGAATGTGAAAACGCAGGTCTGTCACTGACAGCACGAAATTCCTTTATTTATGTTGTCTATTCTGATTATCGTATTCTGCAAATTAATCCGGCCAAAAGGCTGCAATCAAGTTACAGAAAAGTATATGGGAGACGGTTAGGAGTCGCCTCCAACAAATAAGCTCCATGTCCACTCTGGGAGAGCCTGGCAATCCACCCGTGAGTATACCGAGCCCCCACGTTCAGAGCCCAACAAGCTATACGTGAGTGTCAAAATGTTAAGCACAGTAGAAAAAAAAACGAACCTCATTTTCCTAACCTCGAAAGAGACCCTAAACCCTAATTTCGCAGCGTTGGGTAGGACGAGTACGGAGAGGCTGCTAAAATCTCAGGGCCAACGGAAGCTGCCTCGATTACAAAGAACTAACGTGACAATCTGTACCTACAATGCACGTACACTTGCATCCGAGTGACTTCCTCATGTAAGCAAAAAGGATAAGGTACGACGTCATCGGCCTAGCCGAGACGAGACGACGCCACCCATTCAACGCCGTCTATGACACCGGAGAAGAACTGTTCCTCGGAGCATGCGACAGTAGAGGAGTCCGCGGCGTCGGCGTTCTCGTCAACATGAGTTTGTCCATGAACATCGATATATTCGAACAACTTACGACCCGAATCGGACGTTTACGATCAAAAAGATGTGGATCAATACCAGCTTTGTCAATCTTCGTCGCTTACGCGCCGACAGCAAACTATGACAAAGAAGAAGTCGAAGCGTTCTATATGGACTTCGAGAAGTTCTACAGAGAAGACCATACACTCCCGAAGTCATCACTGGAGATTCTAACGCTAATATTGGGCCAAAAAAAAACGTCTGAAGAACGTCACATAGGGACCCACAGTTTAGAATGGAACGAACACGGTGAGTGGCCGTCTGAGTTTATCATGGCGACCAAGACCATCCATGGTAACTCGCAATTCCAGAAGCCCACCCTCAACGGTGGACATGGGAGTCTCCCAAAGGAGAGTACCATAACGAAATAGACCACATTATAGTAAATAGGTTCTGCCTAACCGATGTCGCTGTTGTCCCAAAATTCTACACGGGATCAGACCATCGTCTCCTTCGTGCCAGATTCTATTTCTAGGGCAAAGGAGAAAAAGCCGCTGAATCATAAAACGGAAGTCCCAGAACCACCGTAAACTGGGACTTATTCAATTCATTAGTCGGCTGTTGGGAGGATGCCGTTCTCGATAACATCGACGAAGAATACGATCGGCTCATTCAACATCTTCACGCTACCACTGTGAAAGCTGAAAGTTCGAAAGTCACCAAGAGACGACTATCTCCAGAAACACTCCAGCTGATACGTCAGTGTGGAACCGCACAAGCTGCACGCACCCGAGAACTAACGTCCGAACTTGCAAAGCAATGCAGAGAGGCGATGAAAAAAATCTTAGAGAGAGAAGAGTAGCAGTAGTGGTCGAAGCTGCAAAGGCTGGGAAAAGCATTCGCAAATCCCACCGATGCTCTACCAATTACAAGACCAAGATGATTGCACTACGACGCCCAGACCGAATACTTACAGCGTTCAGAAAGGCAATGGTGAAAATCATTCACGAATACTACTCAGATCTTTTCGATAACCACGTCCACCTTCCGCCATACGAAATAAAGAAGGATGGATATGTCGTACCAACGGTTCTCTCCTTCCGAAATCCGACATGCCATTTCGTCGGTGAAAAATTGAACAGCACCAGGTCCGAACAACATAAGACCAGAACACTTGAAGAACCTTCCACCAGTCCTCGTAAACACACTGGTTCGGCTCCTCACACGTTACCTGTCTGAATGCAAAGTCCCTACTCAGTGGAAGACTAGAAAGACCGTGTTATTGTTCAAGAATGGCGACCTGCACGATATCGGCAACCGTCGCCCAATCTGCTTGGTGTCTGTTGTCTACAAACTATTCACTCGAGTAATCCTAAACAGGATTGACAGAACACTAGACGAAGCACAGCCATGTGAGCAAGCAGGGTTTCGAAGAGGATTTAGTCCGATGGACCACATCCAAACGGTAACACGGCTCATTGAAGTATCGCGAGAGTACAAAAGACCGCTCTGTCTCACTTTCATCGATTTACAGAAGGCCTTTGATTCAGTTGAAATGGAAGCAGTCTGGGAAGCCCTTGATAGTCAAGGAGTCCCTACTCAGTAAATAGAAATTCTTCATGAGCTGTACAAAATTTCACAACCAAGATATCACCATTCTACAACGATATTAACATTGACGTCAAAAGAGGAGTTAGGCAAGACGATACCACCTCCTTAAAATTGTTTACCGCCACCCTCCAGAACGTTACGCGAACATTGAAATGGGATTATATGGTACTGAAAATCGATGGTCGACAATTACATCATCTTCGCTTTGCCGATGATATCTTTCTTATGCTATCAAATATTAGCCAATCGGATCGTATGCTTGCCGACTTTGATTAAGCCTGTGGAAAGATTGGTCTTCGACTAAATCTTACAAAAACGATGTTCATGAGGAACGGATCGGTTTCGTATGCGTCGTTCACGCTCAACGGAAAGAATATTTCCGAATGCTCCAGTTATGCCTATCTAGGTCGGAAAATCAACATGTTGGACGACTTAGCTCCAGAGTTGAGCAGAAGGAAACGAGCGATTTGGGGAGCTTTCAAGAGCATCGAGGATGTAGTGAAGAGAACAAAGAACACCCGACTCCGTGCCTACCATTACTACTCAACGGTACTTCCTGCCTTAACGCAAGCGTCAGAAACCTGGTCGCTGCGTAAACACAGTAAAAGATCACTCAGCGCTGGTGAACGAGCAGTCGAAAGGACGATGCCAAGAGTATCCTGTTTCACACAAGTAAAAAATGGGATCCGAAGCTCTGACCTGCGTCAACGATGAAAAATCAAAGATGCCGCTCTGTACGCCAAACAGTCGAAGATAAGATGGCCAGACACGTAATGCATATAAACGGCAGCCAATGCACAAGAGCCGTTAGTGACTGGATTGCTCGGGATGTCAAACGTACTGTAGGAAGACCACCGACCCAATGGTCAGAGTTCTTCGCGAAGAGGCTGGAAGAAAGATATGATGCTCGACGAGTCCCTAGAGCGAGCAGAACCCACTTGGCTATTCTTGCACGCGATAGGGAAAAATGGAGGATTTATTGGCAGCTGCCCGAGTTACTCGACGATCAAGGACTACAGGTGATACAGGAGATTCTGATTATAAGGAAGAGCTTCTTCCCGAAAGTTCCTCTTTGTAACAGCTTCTCCGTAATCTGACAAACATTCTTTTTCGCTACAATTATGGCATGAAAAGGTTTCCTTCTCCATGCCCTATTGTGCTATGATATTTTTTGTATATATGGATAGCTTAACAGTTTAAAGCTTAACCTGACGAGCACTTTCGTTCTACATAAGGACATAAAATCAACGCAACCTAGCGTGACAACGTGAATATAACACATTAAGGAAGGTATGTATTGGCAAATGACAACGCTAATCTAAATAACGAGCAGAATCAAGAAGCTCGCCGTCTGGGTGAAATTCCGTCGTGGAGAATACAAATGGTTGTTGCCGGTCAGCAGTGCACAGAACTGGTTCGTCTTGATGAACACTGCTGAAGCCATTCAAATGAGATACATCTATGGATGCCGTTATTTGTGATACGATGGTATTCTGCTGAATTACAACACACATTGTACAAATTTGCGGAATAATGAGTCACTTACTGCCTTAAGTCAAGCGGTAGCGTTCCTTCGTTGCCTTTTCGTAGTATTTCGTTCATTTCCCTCGCGTTAATCACTCGTTCCCAGTAGTCAAACTGCAATTTTTCTGTGCGTAAGCAGACATTCCGCATTACTTCGTTAATTCTGACAATTGTAATAGAATAGGGCATAAAAGGATAAAGGTGAAACTCTCGGCGTTGATGAATCGCTGAGGGATGCGCCATGTATTAGACTTCTTTAAGCATCGTTTGGAGGTGTTTGAAAACATGTCTGGCCATTACAACGACCAGTGGTAGTCTACCGATGTATAGAGCCAGTGTTGCTATCCTCCCAGACAAATCGGGCACCAATTCGCCAAACTCGGAGGAATAGAGGGCTTGGTGGGCTGCGGGCGCGAGAATCGATCCCATGTGTATTGCAGGGCACCTCCGACCACTACGCCACATGCGCCCTTGGAATAGCGAATAGTGTGGGAGAATTTGAAAAACTTCGTGAAATCATTTAAAATCAATCATTAACGCATCAACGAATTATCGCTTAGGCCACTGAGCCACAGAAATTTATAGACAAGAACTCTTTTCTTTTTCCTTAATTGACAAACTATAATAAGTGAAAACCTTACCACTTCTTTGATGTCAGCATACTGAGTGAGCTCACTGTATTTGAATGCATTCAAATTGCACACGGTGGCAGCTGGGAATGGTGCTAAAATAAAGCGCAGATCTGATTTGTAGTTCTGGAATTCTCCAGAAACTTCTCTGAATATTCGCTTGGCACCATAGAAAATCAGCTTTGCTGATTCGAAAACAGAATACTGCAATAGAGAAGCTCAGCCTTCATTGCATCATTTGGGTTACTGGTAATTTGAAAACTGAGCGTTTAACCACCAATGCGTGAAGCTCCTTTTTTGATAACGAACGGCTACGCCTTGATCACAGGAGGATTTAAAAAGTTGAAAACTACTGGGAAAATATAACTTGTCCTTTTCTTGTTCAGCAATCGCGAGGTTTCTAAACAGCATACATTTACTTCCATAGAGAAACACAATACAATACAACAGTGGCTGACGTTTCGGCAGTATCGCCTTCTTCTGAGCCGCTTTTTACGTGACTTCCAATGAGAAAGTTTAGAACAGCTGACTATATAGTCGCATATGGTTGATGACTGCGCCATCCCACATCAGAAATCGATGCGAACATACGGGGTCAAATCGCGTATGACCTCCGGGCATTCATCCTTGCTATTCATTGTAGGGTTTCTGGCATTTATCCAAAAAGCTTCAAGATGTTTTCGCGCTGGTGTTTTAGACTCCTGTGCAATGATATTGACTTTACTTCAAAATTGTCTCCGCTATGCTTTTGGATTCTATGCCTGCCTAGTGGGGTACTGGGGTACTTTATCTTAGCTTTCGTTTGCCATCTAGGTGTTTTTTTATACGGATACACAAAGGTCTGCCCGTTTCGCCAATATACTCATCTTCGCAATTATTACAAGAGATCAGTTATATCGTACCTGAACTCATGCAATCACCGTCCCTGCCCTAGGGGCAAATTACACAATTTGTTGTTTCACATAGACGGTCATACAGACAGTTACGAACTAAGTGACGACGTAGAGTAGCCGGTGGCATTTCAACTATCGCTACCGATTCCTCTAGAACTGCCCTTCTTAAGCGTCGTTTTATAGCTACGCTTACTTCATCGCTTATAAAAGGCAACATAAACGGGATTTTCTTTTGGCCAAGTGCTTCGCATGGGCGCGTCGCTCTCCTTCTAAACTTATCTCGTGAAGTTACTATTTCGTAATCATTGGAGATGGCTATTTGCCGAGCCAAGTCGCGCGACACGACTCTTCCTTTAGTTCCCTGGTAGTGCACACAGAGGTGTCTGTTCGAGACGTGTTTCTCACAATAGCCCGCATTGTGTGCGAAGAGTGGGAAGAAGAGAAATGAACGAGGATGTTCTTGTTACTTGGCTTTCGGTACCACTTTATCAGGTAACTGCTACTTGATAGGTTTATTTGAATGTTCAAAAACGGAAGCCAGTTTTTTCTCGGTTTCTCCCGGGTGAACTTTATGTACTCGGATTGCTCGTTTAATAATTCAAAGCATTTGTCCATCTCCTCCTGCGTAGAGAAGACGACAAAACAATCATCTACATATCTGCAGCAGAGTAGTGGCCGGAGATCGAGAACAGGGGCTTCTATCTTAGACATAAACACAATGGCAAGGCTTGGTGCCAATCGCTGTCCCATTGCCAAGCCCCTTATTTGCGCGAAATATTTCCCAGACCATCTGAAAATCGCGCAGGTTAGGCGCTCGTTTAAGAGAGCCATTAGCTGCTGGATGGACAAGCCATGTATATTTATTCTTCCTTCATGTTCAACAAGAAGTTCGAAGATGGCTTGCATTGCGGAGCCATTCGAAACGTTGGTAACGTCGAAAGGCTCTATCACGTACGCGTTACTAGGAGACGCGTTACGTAGACGTGCTAGGAACATTTGGGTGTTTGTGAGGTGAGCTGGAATGTGGTTAAGCAACTGGGTAAGTATCAGGCTTAAAAACCAGGTTACTTTATCCGTTGGCCCGTCTACACAGCTGATAATCGGTCTAACCTTAAATGATGACGGATTGGCTGACGGATGATTATCAGGTGATACCAACTTATGTGTTTTAATAAGTAGGTATAGGACGGAACATGTTGGTCTATCGATTTTAAAGTACGAAATAAGCGATGATTTTAAACCTGCAGCCTTTGCCACACTGACCCATTGATTGTTTAGCTTTCTGTATTGACTTTTATATTCCTTTNACTAGGAGACGCGTTACGTAGACGTGCTAGGAACATTTGGGTGTTTGTGAGGTGAGCTGGAATGTGGTTAAGCAACTGGGTAAGTATCAGGCTTAAAAACCAGGTTACTTTATCCGTTGGCCCGTCTACACAGCTGATAATCGGTCTAACCTTAAATGATGACGGATTGGCTGACGGATGATTATCAGGTGATACCAACTTATGTGTTTTAATAAGTAGGTATAGGACGGAACATGTTGGTCTATCGATTTTAAAGTACGAAATAAGCGATGATTTTAAACCTGCAGCCTTTGCCACACTGACCCATTGATTGTTTAGCTTTCTGTATTGACTTTTATATTCCTTTTCAGAGGATGGGCAATAGAGGGTAGAATCACTAAGATGTTCCTCTGTTATCTCAACATCCAGCTGGCGAGGGATAACTACGAACTCTCCCCCCTTATCACTAACAGACAATTTTATTGTTTTCGAGTTTATCAATTCTCTAATTTCCCGCATGACACATTTTTGTGTGGCTTTAAGGTTAGAGATAAACTTTCTATCGCGGTAGTGATCAAGGGTCTTGGGAACGCCGTCCGAAAACACGCGGAATTCTATGTCAACTCCATTGTTAGGGTCCTGCTGTCTAAAAAAACGTTTTAGGGAAAGGAGATGGTGGTAGTGTCGCCGCCTCTTGATTTTTATCTCTATTTGATGTAGCGGAGACGATTTTGAAGTAAAAGTCAATATCCCTGCACAGAAAACTAAAACACCAGCGCGAAAAGTTCAGGAGGCCTTTTGGATAAATGCCAAAAACCCCACAATGAATAGCAGGGAAGAATGCTCAGAGGTCATACGCGACCTGACCCCGTATGCTCACATCAATTTCTCGTGTGGGATGGTGCAGTCATCAACCATATGCGACTATAATCAACTGTTCTAAACTTCCTCATTGGAAGTCACGAAAAAGCGGTGAGTGTTTCGAGAAGCTGTTGATCATGTAATTACCAAAGAGTTTTTCGTCTTTTTGTAGGTGTTATTGAAGCGTTTGGCCTAGTAGATTGTTTCGAAACCGACCTTCCCTAAACCTCGGTGTGACAAATCAATATGTATTCTTTCTTGATAAGCTTGCACGAGGTTGAGATAGTAGATTGTATATCAGCATACCCTTCCAGGCTCTGAAGAAGGCGATACTGCCGAAACGTCAGCTACCGTTGTAACGGATTGTGTTTTTCTATGGAAGTAAATGTACGCTGTTTAACAACCTCGCAATTGCTGAACAAGAAAACGACACATTCATATTCCAATGCCGAGGTCAATAGAAAGTCGATCCTGGAAAATAACTTGTATTTTATAGGCAGAGATTTATATGTCTTGAAAGTTCTTATTTAAAGTAGAAGTGTTCAACATGAGCTGACATACACTGGTTTAAACTTGTAAGCAGGAAGCATTTTCGCCGATAATGTATTGTGTTCAATGCATACAGGAATTATGTGTTAACGGAATCTATATCACTTCAGACACTGATCCATTACCACTGGTGATTGCTCAACTTGACTCAATGATCAGATGAAACTCAGATTGGCGGAGAATTTGGGAGGAGGTGGGACTAATTCAAACAGCTTTGGAATTAAATATTTGATTGCACTTTTTCGTTAAGAACAGTTCTAGACGGATAAGGGACTCACCGGCTTCAAATCTCAACTGCATTTCGATGATGGTTCGATATTGAAAGTATTCTGAGAGAGTCCAATACGTTTGGAATAGGAATAACGTTGCCGCACAGAAACAAACGACCATCCACACGCGCCATCCAAAAAACGACGGAGACCTGGAATACTTCTGCAGCAGATTAATACAGGAAACGATAGAAACCACTGCAATCACCCAAGTTTTTCTTAATACACAAATATTTGGAGTCGTATTATTCTGCTATCAAACCATCAAAAGAAAACTTAAAAATAACGTATAAGCCAATACACTTACACTTATTAAAGGACTAGCGGGAGGGTAGCACAGTAGCAGTGGTGCAGATCATCACAAGCACAGTGCTGATTTGATCCCGTTCCACGATCAATAAGCCTCTCATTCCTCCGGGGTCGGGAAATTGGTATCGGACTTGTCTGGGAAAAACTCACTCTCTGCTATACAAATGAGGAACGTTCTAGCCCGGCTATCTAAGCACTGCAGGGAAAATCGCCTCGACCAACATTAAACGACATTAACGATGAAAGAAAAATTCTCAAGCAGCAACCAAAGTCATACGTAGGAAGTTGGAAAACCTACGTAAATGATGGATGGAGGAAACGCATCAGATGCAAGAAGTGCTGAGATCCACACAGTAGATGTGAAGGACGTGTCTGTGGAAGTAAAAAACCCACAACCAAGGCAGACTAATACCTTCCGACCTGGGCTGGTCACCGTTTGAAAGACCAAGTGCAACAAAAACGAGGTCTCCGTCACGATAAATCACCAAGGCATTGTCATTCACCAGTCTTTTTCCGCCATATCGATTCAAAAGTCAAAAAAGTGACAGTGTCAATCATCAGCCGATATTCACTAAGTCTTGGAAATGATGATGAAGGCGATCTTTTCCTCCTATTATTAATCGCATTGGTAAAGGCAGAAATTCTTCTTGAGGACCTTAACATCAGGAAAAAAAGCTAGTGAAAATGGGCATAGGAAAGGGAAATCCGAAATAGAAACGATATGAATCTGAGTAATCATCGTTGGACATGAAAATTGCCTAGTGGCACACATACTGATATTAATCGTATGCTCACAAATGGGAAATGTTAGGTTGGTGACATCGCCGTGACTTCATCATTCTGCTTGAACTTGACCACATCCTTTTCCGTATGAACATCCGACTCAGTTGAAGTTAGAAACAGTTTCTGCTCAAGATCAGAAGAAGAAACCATTCGCGACGCAGACATTCATTCTGATCCTCTCCTTATTGACTGGCAAGCTAAAGGAATATCCGATTGAAGTCTACAAGCTGCCCATCGAAAGACTTAAAATGTGTGCTGAACACGCTTCAGTTACCCAATCAGGAAGTTTGCATCGCTTCTTCACTGTTATTAGAAATAGTTGCCTGCCAAGAGAAGAAAACAGAGCTCGGTGACACTGCATTACATAATGGCACTGTTGGTAATAAGTGCCAAGTGCAGAAGATCTTTTCAAGCGGGTTTGCGCTAACAGAGGCAAAAAAAGTGAATTGCAGACTAAAAAGTAGCAACAATATAAAGGAATGCACGGACGCATCCGTATATAATATGCTCTATCATACTTAACCAAATATAACGGGAAAGTAGAATACCAGTGCTTTATGTTCCTCATTCCCCATTGAAGACTTCAAAATTCCACTGACGAAGGGCCACCTCCGATTTCGCACCCTATAGTACAAGTTGGAATGAAGAAAATGAAGAAAGGCACAGCTACAGGAAATTACAACATCACCGTAAGCCTCATTCGAGATGAAAGCCCCAAACAACGTGCACTTTTCAGAATACTTATGACATTCTAACTTCGAAAGGGAGAACGCTGACCATTTGGGGGCCTCACGGTCGTCGCGTATGAGATGGACGAGAGAATAGAGCACAATGGCAAACCTTGATGTTATTATAGCTTTTACTATCTACTACTTCTATTTTTTATTCTTCTAGATACTGCTTCGAGCTTTGACTGCACTTTAAAACTTTTTACGGAGATTATTCCATCGCGCATTTGGACGACTTGCATAACGCCAACTAGTCGAGTAACCAGCATTCAGAAGCAGACACTGTTGCACAGATGACATCCAAACTGTGACCAAGGTCATGGAGATCTGTCGAGATCCTCTTTACCTTTACGAACCGCGAAAAAGCGTTCGAAAGCGAAATGAATGTAACTCGGTTAGCGTTCGTTGACCAAGGGTTAGACTGCGATAAGTTGAAATCATCTCGGCAAAACCGTCATTTGCGACGCTTGAGTGGATAACGATGTCGCTTCAAACAGAAAAATCCGCATCAAATCCTCATTTTACCAATGACGTCGTCATCTTTTCGGCGAACGCCAGCCAATGCAATCATGCAGTTAGGAAGCAAATTGGAGAGGTCAAGTTCATGTTGAAAGAAATTGAACGTATACTCTGAGAAGGAACGACAGCTACCCATAAGCAGACCGAATTCACAGTGTAATAACCTTAATGGTGTACAAAGAGTCCAATGAAGGAGAAAAATGATAGCGTTACGCACAAACTGGTGAAAACTATGAAAAATCCACGACGTGGAAAAAACAAATAGAAGGAATTCAACAAGGCCGCAAATGCTTCCATAGAGTATTTCGCACACAAAAACAATACAAAGAAAAATGATGAAAAAGAAAAACAACGCCACATGATTACTAGAGAAACGACAGCATAGGATTCCTAGAGAAGTCACAACCATTCATTGCGGACACCGAATAAACCATGCTCGCTTTTTCATCCAGCCGCAGTGCTTCACTATCCAGATGATACTTGGAATGACAACTCGGCCAAATTAAGAAATTTATGAAGCATCTGTAGATCTTCAAAGATGCTGAGATATTTGCAAAACTTCTGACCGCAGCGGCTTGCGGTGGAGAACGAACACGTTGCTGCCATTTCCGGGGAGTAACGCCTTCACCACCACACTATGCGGGTCCTTCGTTTCGCCTGTCTCTCAGCTAGTTCTATCGATCCCTGCCATCAGCAATCAACCGTCGGTGGGATTGATCTGAGGAGGAGGAGCACAAATCGACAATGAACCCGGTTAAGCTGAGACTTTAGTTATGATCAGAGCCTAACTGGGTTCATTGCCGATTTGTGCTCCCCAGATCAATCCTGCTGACGAGTCATTGCTGATAGCAGAGATCTATAGAACTAGCTGAAAGACAGGCGAAACGAGGGACCCGCATGGTGTGGTGGTGAACACGTTACTCGCCTGGAAGGACAATAGCGCGTTCGTTCCCCACCACAGACACATGAGGTCCGGAGTTTTGCAAATATCTCAGCATCATCGAAGTTATATTTCGCAATATACCCTGCAATTAAAAAGAGTAGGCAGTAAATAAGACAGTTAAGATTGTGATTACACCTATAGATTGCTTGAATAAAGTTTTTTCAATTTTAATAGCAGATCACGACATAATGTCGGACTACGCAGTTCGGACCTTTCTAGGAAACCTTGTTTTAACATCTAGGGAAATTTGCATCGAAATCTAAACATCTGGAAGGCTGAACACCTAATAAAAGGAGTTGACGATAAATGATCGAAAGGAATAATGGAATGAATCCCAAGTGGCCGAAAATCACGAGGAATGGGACCGGACGTGCATCATGACGATGACTATCAGCGATACGAGAAGCCACGTTAATAAATGACGTTAGGCTACTAAACAATTTAAGTTAACCAAAATGCAGACTATGTCAGAAAAATTTATTGGTTGGCAGGAAAATCGTTCACAGGAAGGAATTGAGTACCCAGTCCTTTGCTATCACGATTAAAAAACGTGTTCATAGTACGGACTGGTTTAAATTGATGGGTGTAATGATTCTGACTTCAAGTCTGGTTTTTTTGGCTTGTAACACTGTAGAAAGCAAACTTATGACTTAACTTGTATATATGATCTAGGCGAAGTATGTTATCTTTACACTTTGTGGCATTTTATCTAAGGAACTGTTGATTAGTTCCATCTTCCTCCCTCAAAGTCCTTGTATTTCGTCACAACACAGCTGCAGAACATAACGGTGTCATTTAACTTCCTCGTATTTTTTGGTGTAGTAACCTTTAGCACGTGAAAAAAATCTGTGGTGCAAATTATAGTATGTAACAAGATAAACCCAAAGAAAACTGGTAAACCAACACACGGATTTCTTTGTGAAATGGCAACTCACCCCAGGAATGGTACGCCGTGTGAGCTTGTCCTGTTGCAGAAATCTTTAAATAGTGTTTTAATGCTGGTGTATCGAACATCTTCCGAAGAAGAAGAGTGTCCAGACCGGCGTGCCGAGTGGCGACCACTCGAGAACAATGCAGGCACATACAATGTCTATAACGGTACTAATGTGAAATTCCTGGATGCAGTGAAAGGGTGGAAAAGTAGCTAACGCACTCTCAAATTTCATGATGAACCAAGCAACTCAAGTGACTGGGACGATTGTTACGCACCTTTAAATTTTCATCAAACTCCTGGTTTCCGTTCTCCACTTTATCATCCATCGGCGCGTGGGCCGCCGCAACTAGATCACCGCGCTTCTGGAATGAAATTGACACTTTGCAAAGAGAATGACCATGAAGTCATAAATACTTCCACTTCAAAGGTTTATAGAATGTAAATGAAAAACAGCACAGAGTTGCAAACAAACCAATTAAAGATAGATCCAAAGAAATAGTGCATATGAAAGGTTAGGTTTAACAAATATTGCATCTCAAAAGCTACGACTCCTGTTCATGTCACGGCGCTTAGACTCATTAGCTGCTTTGCTTCGTGGCGATTCTCTATATGCTGCTCGACCTTGTGTTGCCCTGACAGTAATCGAAATCACAATATGGACTACTTACCCCTGGTCTACTGAAATGACTTTTTGCCTTCTATTAGCACATCCACACTTAAGTGCATGCGTATGTTCCATGAATCAAAATTGCATTATCACATTGATCCACTCAAATACGTGAAACAAATTGACTAACAAGCGCAGGGAAGCGTCTTGGTGTCACTTCCAGCATGCGAAAAATTCACTTTTGGTAGCATCCGATAAACTACGCGTGAAAAAATCCGGCATTTGCGGCTATGACTATCAAGCTGCACGTAACTGTATCCTCCTCAAAGATAGCAGAGGGTCCCATTTAAAACGTATGAGGCCTTTCGTATTCCTTGAGTGAAGGGAGCAAATTGTGGAGCTTCGACAAGCAACAAAGACCAATGGAAACTTTTCTAACACACGTTGAAATCACTTAGTGATTAATGACGATTAGGAGCGGCGCACATATTTCAGAGCAGCTTGTGGTATAATGTTGTGGTTCTGATAAAAGATTGACTTTGAAAACCGACTAGCCGACGAATACCATGGAAGTATAAAAAACCAATAGAGTTAGAAATCTGAAAATAGAGAGCAGTTCTAATGAGATATGCTACGGAACATTGGAAATCTAGTGCTAAACTTGGTGTGAATCGATTCTAGATAAATTTAGCCCATTTTATCGCTTTGTTGTAGAAGAATTTATACTAATACAACAAAAAATCAAAAACAGAAGTTGTCCTAATTAAGGAGTCGAGTCGAACTGTTCCACTACTTGACGCCATTGTCTAGCTCCAGTAGAAAAGTGGTATAACTATGGAATGATCAGTCTCTTTCAGATTTGTGGAGTAGTAAGACCGCACAGATGGGGAAAAAATTCAAAGTGAACTTCAGAAGGGAAGTTGGAATTCTGAAGTGCAAATGAGTGTTTGAAAACTTACACAACCCAAGTTGAAGCGTGCGTTCTTCAGCTTGCCGACGTACGGAGCCGCCAACGTGCGGCCACTTCGCGATGTATTCTCGCCAATTTTCTCCGCCTTGCACATGCTGTCGTATTACGCAGCGGCTCCTCTGGGACACCATGAGACCCGGGGTTGACAACTTATATAGTACCCGAGTCCACTAGACACACTTCATATACGGACTAACAAAACCCTCACGCTCCAACCCTCCACACTCCTTCGTATTCAAATATGGAGCCATGCACTTATAGCAGCTTTACTCTAACCACTAAAAATACTCTTCCGTCCAAGGAAGTGAAGCTTACTTCTCAGAAAATAGGAGATCTTTGAGAAACTCGTAAAAAATAGGAATAGTTATCGTCATATGGAAATTTCTGCTTTAAAAGCAGAAACAAGGAGATATATTGCTCTCATTTTTCTGAACTCCAAAAGTTAAAAAAATCACAATTGTAAAGCAAATGTTCACTATTTAGTGGTCATTTTTAGGTCTGCACAAGGTTTGGAGATAAAGCGAATTACAATGAGGCAAGAAATTAGAGGATTCTAGTCCAATGACGTCTACGAACAAAGTTCGGATCATTTTCGATGGTAGATAAGACGTTAATAGTCATTGAAATCCTACCACAATTCTGTACACATACGACAAGCGGATTTTTAAATAAAAATCACAAAAAGTTCACAACATCGTTATTCAGCATAAGAAAGATTCCATCAAGGAAACGTCAAACCCTAATATTTCGATCATGAATGAACAAAACATCATCATCGCTGAGCTCCATCTTGTCACCGAAGCTCTATAAAAGCCGTAAATTCTGAACCCTATTCCACCCTTATATATTTTTCTGCTCAAAAAATCTATCGTTCTTTCGATCATTTCAACCATTCTGGAATTCGTTCCAATAAGTTTGGTGTTAATTTACAGGCAGTATGAAATGACCGTAGTAATTCCAAATTCACAAATTCCCTAATAGCGATAGTCTCGAGAACCGAAGGTAAGAAATTTTGAACTCATCAAATTTAAAATGGACATCTGACAAGTGCACAAAACCAGATAGATAGATTTGTAGAGTCAGCGATCCGATGGAACGACGATGGAAATGTACGTGACCACGACACAGTAAAATTGAAGAATAATGGAGTCAGATTCCACGGACACTATATATCACCTTGTTTAACTTCATTGTCTCTATATCTCTATATGTCTCTATTGGCTTCTCCTTTCTAATACTATTACAACGGACTGAAAATTTGATGTCAGCAGCTTCAAAAGTTCCGAACTTTTTGAAGATAATTTATGTGATCCCACCTTTCTGATTTCACGAACATCTCACTTCAACAATTACAACACACATGATCCTATTAATATAATGTTGAAAAGGCGCATTAACTGCAAATCGCAAAAAGAAGTGCAACGGCATGAGCAGACTTGAATGAACCCTATTTTTTGAGGATTATTTTGCCAAAATGGGTTTCTTGCTATAATTTCTGCAATCACTTTAAAGCGTTTCTACCACAGATTTTTGCCATACATAACCTGAGAAATCTACCTTCTACAGAAAATGATTTATAAAACACGCGGGCGAAGCGCAGTGGTGAAGAAGCCATTCTAATACGCGCAGAGTCCATTAGGCCAATGCGCGGGCAGGAACAGCCTTCCATCTCCACGGGGCTGGAAAATTAGTACTAGATGAGAAAAACTCTTCTCTTCTCTCTCCGATGCACAAAGGTTATAAAATGCCTGTGCTGAAACCCTTGGAGTGCCGTAGGAAGAGCGTCCCAGGATTCGAGGAAGAACATGTTCGACTAACATTAGACAGCATTCATCAAGAAGACGAAGATCCTCAGGCTGTAGTCAAACTAGCATGCAAATCCGAAGGTTTTCATGGGTGACCGTTCGAAAACAAATTATACTACGAAATAAAGAAATAAGTAAAGTGACCCATAAAAAACTCCTCGGCAATTTTGCTTGCCAAGCCACGGTTGGTTTTGCTGACAACGAGGATGTAAAGTCAACTACACTAAACCAGCGGCGAATAGCCGTCTTTTACATGAACAGAGTCACTGCAATTGTTGAGAAAGAAGAGAGCAAATCATGATTTGGACTTATTCGGTAAGAAGCACGGCGGGCAGTCCCACTGGTTTCAATTGAACACGAAATCGACGAAAAATTAGGCATCATGTCATGCAGTGAACCAACAACGTGAACGCGATGAACCGAGCACCGGCAATGTTTCCACTTGTTCTCCTCCAGTTATGCGGCAGGATAACGATCGTTAGAGAGACACGAAGGTCATATAACTCTCCATGTAAAGCACCTTATTGCAATTCCATTCTCGACAATTTATCCACGAGCAGGTTCCCTACGAACGATGATGTTCAGCACCAGCGACTGAGCTGTGGCTAGAAATATTGAGTACACCGATTGTTAACATTTAGTCCATAAATTCCAATATTGGCTTTTCGATAGTTACCAGTTTTGTAATAGGCCATATACCTGAGAGAAGGGCCCGTGTGGCGCATTGGTCAGAAATGGTCGGGAGCGCCCTGCAACACATACATGGGATTGACTCCCGTGCTCTAGTCCACCAAGACTTCCATCTCTCCGGCGTCGGCAAATTGATACCAGACTTGTCTGGGAGTATAGCAGAACTGGCTCGATACAACGGTAGACTACAACGAGTCATCCTAAAGGCCAGTGGCGCATCTCTGAGGATTGATTAACACCAGGAGCTTCACCCTTTTTCTATACCTGAGGGATTGGGAACTGAAAAAGCTAATAGAAGAGACTTTGTCTCAACGCTCCAAGGATTTTAATGATTTTACTAGGCTCGAATCGGTAATTTATCTTCAAATCTGCTTAAAATTCAACCTCTCGAAAAAATCAAAAACCATCACAGAAGTCAATTTCTGTTGTTTCAGTGAAATGTTAGAAACGAAAAAGGCTCGAAAAAAAGCTTTGTGAGAAGCAAAATGTGCAAAGCTTAGCATATCATAGTAATTAAGAATGTTGCTTGTAGGCAAAAGCGTGTACATTTCAATGTTTTTATCCTAATCTATATAATTGATATGATCTGAGTTACGTTGAGTTCTTCAATTTCAGACGTGGGCTGTCGTCTATACTAACATACTGCTTAAAGAACATGGGTCTCTATAATATAAAGAAGCAATAGAGTGGCTTAATGGCAGAGGTCGGACAATAAAAGTGTTTTCTATTGCAATGAAACTGGCGCGTTGTCGTTTATAACCACTGAAAGCGATTTACCTATGGTAAAGCTTTTTTAAGTTATATATCTTTACAGAACCCGGCAAGTATTTAGCACCTTTGATCATAGCGACGCATAAAACGATACCTCACGATACAATACAAAGCAATTCCATGAGGTGTAAGCATTTGACCGAAAAATAAGCTAAAATAGAAGTGGAACAAGTACTCGGAAGTTTATACCATGATGGAAGGGTGGTCATATTTAATGAATAACAGCTAAAAACATAAAGGCGTGTAGCGCCATCTGTTCGAGCACTTCTTACTCCCATTAAAATGACTTATGGTGTCCGATTTTTCATAAATCAAGCAATCCTACCACAATATTTCATGAAAATTCAAGACAAGCTAACATAAATAAACCTAAAATGGAGAGTAGCTATCTTTTTTTTAAAAATCCTAAAGCGACGACGTAACTTCTATAGGAGCCATACGATGCGAAAATAATGACCGCTTTCAGCATTGAATCGACATATCTCAGTTAATAGTGGTTGCTAGTGATTTCAATAAAACCTATTAAAATCGGAAGGTAATTACCTACAGTATGAATGTTCTCCTGTTTTATTACGACGAAGATCTGTTTCTTTGGAGCCCATGATATATATTCCTTCCGACCATAATGGTAGAAAACTGGTAGATAGAAAACTAACTCAGAGACACAAAAAGGTAACGAACGTTTGGTAACGTTTTAAATGATAACTCTAAGACAGAGTGCGCACCAAAAGCATCCAGTTACTGTGTTAGGAGGCATAGCACTTCCGGAAAGTACGCGTTCAGTGTTAGAATTGGGTGCGAGTTTTCCGCGTAGTCAACCCTTCTAAAGCAATCCTGAGTAGGATCACGTGCAGTCTACATGAACTTCAAGAACAACTGCATTATAAGGTTAGGATAAAAAGGTTAGGTATTGAAAGACAAGGACGGGCATTATCACCAATACCTTTTCCCCCGAACTTTCTATGGACAAGAACAACCAAATAGCGAAATTGATCCTGCTTTCCGATTATTTTTGGACGAAGTTCTCCAAATACTTAATCACTATCGGCACAGAAAATTAAGCTCCAACCATACACGCGTACAAAAACGTGGTATGTGCCAGGTTAGAGCTTATAAACTCAAAATCTAACCGACTATCATTAATGAAGAAGGTGGGGAATTTGTAGTTATTGCCAGTTACTTCGATGTTAGAATAAAAGAGAAGCATCTCAACGATGTTTTTCTCTAACGACCATCCTCTGAAAAAGGAGTATAGAACTCAATCCCAAAATTTAAACAGGGAGTGGTTAACACGGCAACAGCGGTGCGCTTAGAGACTACAGCTATTTCTCGGCTTGAGAACGACCATCCGAATTGTCCTGTCCTGTAATTGGTTATTAAGACACACAAGCTTGCTTCTACTGATGATCCTGTATCCACCGACCTATTATAATTTAAGGTTAGACCAATCATCAGTTGTATAGGTGGGCGAACGGATAGAACAACATGGTTCCTAAGTCTTACTTTTTTCGTTCCTTATCCTAACCCAGTTACTGAAATTCACACCAACCTATCCGCCCAATGCCAAACATTCCTAGATCGGCAACGGTGCGCACAGCCAAACAGCAGGTATGCAATGGAGTTATTCGATGTTACCTCACTTTATAACAATGTATCGAATGACTCCTCAATGGAAGCCATTCTCGAGCTACTCGTAGAACATGAAAGAAATGTAGATATGTAAAACTTGTCGATCCAACAACTAATGACTCTCTTAAAACAGTGTTTTAGTTGTTCAATTATTATGTGGTGAGAAGATATTTTGTACCTATTAGTGTGTTGGCCATGGGACAGCGATTAGCACCAAGCCTAGCTATCGCTTTCATGTATAATGTGGAAGCTCCAGTTCTCGATCGCCGACCCTTTTTTTACCGTCTTTGTGTCCGTATAAAAGAACATCTGGATGGAAAAGTTAAAGTTCGACAAACTACTCCTCTGAGTGCATATAGAGCATAAAAGCACAATGGTGATGATTTTAAAGTGAATGTCCGGATCCTAGCACAGGAATCTCAAACACTATTGCGCCGCGCAAGACTCTTGAGGCGCTTTGGATAAATTTTAAAAGTTCAAAAATAAACCGGAAAGACAAACACATCACTATCACACGTGATATCTCACCTTAGCTCGGGATGATTTTTTGATCCACATATCCCAACTTGTAGGTCTCACTCATCATCTCCCGTGAACAACACACGGGTAGTTCAACTACAGGGTGGCTGGTTTTACAAAAAATGGCGTCTTTTCATATGCTGGACCTTCATCAATACTATGTAATTAACCGAATTGTGTAGCCACTGTTACACATGATACTTCCGTCCAGGCTCAGGAAACTGAAGTCGCGCAAACGTCGGCCATAGAATAAAGATAGCAACAGCAATAAGAACAGCTATATCAGCCTCGCCTCGGCTAAAAGAGGGCAGTTCGTAAGAACATATATACAGATGTAGCTCGGATACAGAAGAAACGAAGGACCAGCATGCTGTGGTGGTGAACGCGTTAGCCCTTGGAAACAAGGGTACTAGTGTGTTCGATCCCCATCGCAGACACCTGCGGTCTGGAGTTTTGCGAATATCTCAGCCTCGTTATGGTTTTATTTCACATAATACCTTGGATGCGAAAAAGTGTACTAGGCATGGAATAAAAAATTAACATATTTCTTTCACTTCTTTGCTTCACAGCTCGTATCTAAAGCAAGACTGCAAAAGAACAAACAGGATCTCGTCTAGTTGTATATGGTAGGCATTGTCCAATCCATCGTTTACGTGCAGATGCCGCTCTTGCGTTAGAAGTTTTAAAATTTCTAAATTTCACTTTTAATTTTCGAATCCTCATTTAAATATATTTAAACTCGAAATACGCCGTGTAAAAACTATGCATACGATTAGTGCGATAGGGAGACGTTTCCTCTAGGAATCTACAAAGTTCTGATCCCCTGAAATACCCTGGTGATCAAGAAATTACCGACAGTTATCGACAACCAGTTTCGTCGCGAAAGGCTTAATGTCACTTTGATGACTACCATTCAAGTATAAAATTAATTGAAACTGGCGAATATCGCTACAACATGTGTACACGATTGAGGTCACCCTGAATTCACTCCTCGAGCTTCTTAGGAGCTGCTAAATAAGAAACACTCATTTCTAGATGTTCTATAGGATAACTTTTGGATTCCACGATGTTAAGAGGAATATGAAATACAACCACAAGAATATCAACAAAACTTGAGACTTATGTGGCTTCATGCTCACGTTTACCCTTTCCGCACGATCACGTGCTATCCACGGCACTAACCGAGGCCATTGTTTCGCCTTTCTTTCAGCCATGTTTTTACACTAACGGTGCTGTTACCAATCACCCTTCAACGGGAATGATCTGTGGAGTACAAATCAGCGTTGAATCCAGTTAACTTCAGCAACCTTGTGGTAGTATTTCACATCACACCCTGCCATGAGAAAAAAATAAGCAGAAAATAAAGCAAAACATTGTGATTATGAATGAAGTTTAGACCGACTTGTGCTCACCTGATCATTCCCGTTGACGGGCGATTTCGATAACATTAGTTGAATTAAAACATGGCTCAGAGAGAGGCAAAGCAAGGGGGTCGGTTGATGTGGAGCAACGCATTTGAGCCCCCACTGAAGGTAGTCGTGGTTTTGACACCCCCATGAAGTTCTGAATTCTGCTCATATTTCAACATCCTTTAAGAGAAATAGTTCTTCCCATAACTGTTGTCCGAGCCGTGGAACTCCTTCTAGATTAAAAAGTACTCAATAGGCAGAGCAGAGGGAAATGTGAGGGATAAGAGAGAAAATGACCTCGCTCCACAATTCCTCTACACATGCCTGCAGTCCTCTATAACCGGATAAAAGTACGTGCTTTCCGTTCCTTGCATGGAATAATGACAGCCTATTTAATCGAATCACCATTAATAGCCCAAATACTTAAATAAAAGCGAGCTTGTTGTAATTGTCGAAGCACTTTTTCATGGCGAACAACTGATCGAAATTAAGCTTCACAGGTTCATCCAGGTCTTATGAACATCCCGACACCACGTGGATTTCAACGGGAATTTGAGAAAAATTACTATTATCATACTAAGGCAACGCTGTCCAATAATCTCTTCTCGAATAGTAAAGATTGAAAGTTAAAGCAATGCATCAACTCTTTTCCAATTACTGAACACTTTTTTCATCTGTTTTCAAAGACGTTCTTTTTTCTCGCGGGTTCTTTTTCGGCAGAAATGGTCTTCGAATTTCCTGGAAACTACCTTTCGAAATCCATTTTCAGTCAGGTTAATCTCTTCGCATAATAGATAGAAGACGAAAGCAGGCAAATTTGAGAACGACAACGGTTGGTCTGCAAAAAACATCAACATATCCTTTTCAACTCAGTCGTACTGAACTACGTAAGGCATAGAATTCTGAGCAAACGGTTGTAGGCGCGCTCGTAAGCGCATGTACAAACGAAAAGCGAAGTTAAAATCGTGAAGAATACGATTCTGAGATTGGCACTAAATGCAGAGATGTGCGACAACAGATAACAAATCGATTAGGCGGATGTTCCTTGCTAAGAAATCCCTAGAGGAAATACTAAACTCTTGGATATGGACGAATTGTTCCTCTCCTTCTTATCAGTGGTCCACAAAAGGAACGATTACCAGTAATATTCATTTTCGACAAAGCATTTTAATTCCAAAACATGCCTGGAGGAAGCAAAACCAGCGAAGGATTCACTTGACACTTGACACTTGAATGGCCCGTCCTCACTGGTTGTGCGGACCCTGGCAGAATCTCCATTTTTCGGAGATTTGCTGGTTAAGCCAATGTGGTTCCATGTAATCCCGAGGCCAGCCTGGCCAAAGTCTGCTCCAGGTCTTCACCACCACTGGCAGTAGCAGTCCCCGTGGATCAGAGGGAGATTTGCCACCATGCGACAAGTGAACGATTCTGGGACTGTAATTCTAGAAACAGACATGTGAAATGACTAGGTTGTGAAACTTTCTAAGAAATACAATTCCCTCGGTTGTCGGAGCATGGGACCGCACACAGAAAACAGAAAAGCATTGATTGGACGGTAACCTTTTTTTGGAGAGATATGAACCATTCTCATTATTTCAGCAGATTTTGTCGTTTGACTAGCTTAGCTCTTGACTTATGATTTCAACTCTCTACGTGAGTTCTTCACAGGCTCGACGTCTGGTTTGCACTTCAGGTTTTCGTTCTCCGAGATGAGCACAATTTACGCACTTCGAGGGCTTTTCTGTGACCAAATAACCAGTAAATTGGAAACAACTCCATAGGATTGCTTCCTCCGATATATGGGAGAACACCTCCTCAACTGACCTACAAAAGAATTCCACAATAAAATTCCACACTCCCTATTGCCCAGAAATATACTTGCCGACACTTCATGACCAAGCATACGCAAATGTTGATTGACAGCAATCTGGATGCAAATTATAAGAGCCCTGATCGTAATGGACCTCACCAGCCTTGCTCACATTGGCATTGAAACGGCACGCACTGCTAGTGAGACGGAATATACCAAATGGAGGTGAGAATGCAACACTATGAAAATGAGATGCACGACTTTCTGAATCTAGTCAAGTGGAGTTTTTGAAAAAAAAATGACAACGATAACCAAATTTCCGGATACCGCATTTGGTAAAGTCAGAAACCTAGAGAACAAAAATTGCAGAAAAGAAAGAAAGAGAAAAAGCCGATCGCACTGGCGTAAAGATATATTTTAAAGTGCCGGAATATATATGTAGCCATAGAAACAGATGGTCACCACTGTATTCCTAAATTGCTTTTCTTCCATTTCACAGCGCAATAACTATTAGAGAAATTAGCAAGTAGTGTTTAATTAACCACAAGTCTTCAAATAGGCAATAATGAAATCATTACATCCGTAAGTTGGTTCTTTTCAATAATTTGGTACTCATACATAACGGTGTCCTAGAAAACCACCTACGAATTCTAGTGAGAAATCAATGGGAATAAACTGAACACATTAAAACTACAGTTTCCAACCACACTAGATTACCTAATAGCTGTGAAAAGATGAAAGATAACATTTACGTGATCAAGTAAAGTCAGAAGTAAGCAACATGTGAGGTAAAGTGGTATTTGGTATTCTATCTACTCTTAAATTGGTCGATTTGATCCATAAACCATGGTCGACCGCTCCCACGAACGGTCAAAACTTCACAACCATTCTCAGTCACTAGAAGGGTATGTTCAAACTGAGCTGATCGTTTTCCATCAGTCTGTAAAAAATAACAGTGAAGAGTTCTAGCCGTACCTTTTCTACTTATAATATTTGGAGAAAAATTGCAGCTTACTGTAACAGCAGTCCAATTATCGGGCCAACGATCATCATGATAACTGCCTGCGTTGATCATTGGCTCAATAGTGAAGGAATTTCCCGGCTTCATAACACCCGTTGCTGTGTTTTCTAAAAAGGAACACATGGCATTCACTTAGGATAAAAAAAACCCAGAGAAGAGAACTACGCAGAAAAATCCTGCGAATCCTGCGAATTAGCCTTGTAAGAAGTACAAAAATATTACAGTTCAATCAGGCGTCTATTATGTATTAACTTCATTGTTCGCTTTGGCTTCTAGTCCTCAATAATCTGCCACATATTTCCATCATTTCCTCCTATTAATGACATTGTACTTCCATACCAACGACTCCCAGACACGATAGCGTATTCCACGCAAAAAGCTCCGCGTATGACACTGAGAGAGATGCTACTTATACATAAGCTTTAGAGCATCTTCATAGTACCTTTCAGGCAATTCAAACATCCAACATTACACAACGTTAAATATACAGAACTGCGAAGTATGCCAATACCATTGGTCACATAGAAATTTTAAATTATAGGTTGATTCAAAAACAACTGGAAGTTTCGGATCACAAGTTTTCTTTGCCAGAACTAACTTAAACACAACGTTATTAATCAATCATTACAGCTCTATCCGTACAACTCCTGAAATATCAGCTGTGAAACGTGTACGCCTACGCTGTTGTACGCAAAGATCAAAAGTTTTTTATGATCAATTCTCGATACATCGTTAACCTTCTATTTTCTGCCGATTAGAATTCTTTACGGCAGGGTCTGATGTGAATTACAACCACAATGATTTTACGACATTCGCAAAACTTGGACCCTGGGCCAGATCGAACCACGATTTTCCTTTCCGGGGGTTCGCACATTACACACCGCGCCACGGCCCTTGCTCTGCGTTTCTCTCAGCTAGTTTTCTATCTACCAGTGTCACCAGCAATCACCCGTCAACGGGATTCAGGTGGTGAGCACAAATTGGCATTAAACCCTGTTAAGCTGAGGTTGTATCCAAAATCACGAGACCTCGTAAAGGGAAATCGTGGCTTGATCTGGCTCGTGGTCCAAGTTTTGCGAATATCTCAGCATCGTTGTGGTTGTAATTCACATCACACCCTGCCGTAAATAATTATAGTAGACAGAAAATAAAAGGTTGACATTATAAATCTACGTGTGAGCCTACGCTCTTAATCTTAATATGAAGTGAATTCTGAGAGAAAATCGGCAAGGACTAAAAAAGAGTAAATAAAACTTACTTGCATAATGAGGCACGTTAGGAGCGGTATGAAACAGCCTAGAAGGAGAACATTGGAAAATATAGTAAAAAAAGTGACATTACGTTTACCTATGAATTCCATGTCCACAATAGGATTTCACTACGGAGAATCCGTTAGCATTTGCGTGCTTCTGAATGACACCACCAATTTCGCGAAATTTCACTCCTGGTCTCACTAAAAACACACGTTTTCTCGTTGCATTCAATGCTAACGTTGTTATATTTCTGAAATATTCATTCTTTTTTCAATAAACAGTTAGTCCTTAATTTCAATTTCAAAACGCTCTACTTTTTTATCCCTTTGTTTATTTTTATCCTTTCTTTTATTTATTTTTCGTTTAACTTCTCATCACCCTTTCATCCTTTGCTTTTTTGTCGATGTTCACGACTTCAGCGTCGTTGCTACGATAATCATTAACTGCAACTTCATTATTTTGTCCCTACGAACTGTTATTGATGGGAAGCTTATTAAAATATATTTTGATTATTTTAATGGCTGTTTCGACGACTTCGCCTTCTTCACAGCATGGCGGTTTCTTGTACAAGCTTCGAAGTAATTGGATGTAAACAGAGAAGAGATTAAGAGCACAAGTCAAGAAATAGTAAGAATAACTTCAAAACCACAGTCATAAATCTAATACGGAAATCAGATATATAAACGCCTACAACTATTGAGGCATTTAAAAATCCAATATTGAATTGAAAAGACAGCTGCCTCACTATGACAAGTAAAATGGTGCCAAATGTCAGGCTATTTTTCAGTCTGAACGAGCTTCAAATCATAAGACTGACTTCCTTTAACGTCAGCATTCATCAGTAATTCACTGTTTTTCCTGATGAATAAACGCGAGGCTGATATAAGAGGATCTATTAATTCACAACAGCTGACGTTTCGGCGGTTTCGGCTTCTTCTGAGCCTGGGAAGGTCAAATTGAGATGCGATCTACTCAGCCAAACACTTTCATAACCCTAACAGATAAAACTTAACAAATAAATTTGTATTCGCATAAGAAACAGCTTCATTTAAACGGCTACCGTTTATTTGTTGTATTTAAGTTAGTTGGTGGATAACAACCGCACAGAATTACACGGGTGAGGAATGTGCTTGATTCACTTCAAGGAAACAGTCTGAAGTAAGGCGATAGATCACGCCATGTCACAAAACCTCCTCTTTGTGGTTCGCCTTTGGATTTTTGGCATTTGTGCAAAACGCTTCAGGAGTTTTAAGCGCTGAAGTTTAAGATTTCTGTGCGGAGATGGTCGGGTCGGAACCGTGAAAGACATACTGCGGAAATGATTCTATATGGTATTATCCCTTCCTGACGGCTTACCGCCTCATTGTGACTGAGTGCGTTCGTTGGTAATTCGGTCACTGTTCCCGAATTCTCTAGAGCGGTCTTTCTTAAACAACGGTTTTTAATTGCACTTATTTCGTTTGAAATAAAGAGCACAATAAACGGGACTCCTTAAGCAACACGAAGGAACAATAAACATATATGACTTCACGATTGAAGATCTCATGGCCCTAGAGCGCCTGAACTGCTCAATCTCCAGATGACCTGGAAAACACTACACATAAATTGGAAGGTTGCTAATGGAACAGCCACCCGTACCAAACTTTGTCATTAAGTTCATGTAAAAAGTTAAAGCCATCGCACTTGATCCCCGGCCACTACTTTACTGTAGGTGCATCTACATAATTTTTACTCGCGAGAGACCGAAGAAAGACTAACTTCCGGTTTTGAACGTTAAAATCAACCGGTGCAGAGGCTGATACATCACCAAACAGTTTAGAAAGCTTAGTCACAAAAACAAATACTCGTTCACATTATTCTCTTCTCTCACCCTTCAGAGGTAAAAACGGCGCTTATGAAGAATAGGTTTCGAATACCTAGCAGTGTATGTATAGAAGAAGAGTGGAAAGATTTCCTGAATTTGGTGCGAAAAATAGCCTTTTATAATGGAAATGAAGTTGTGGGTGCTCGGGATAGGTTTAGAGGAGAAGCCACCCTTCAAAACGATAAGTCGAGTGAGAATAAACTTTCATTTCACGTTCACTTTACTCTGTCCCTCATTTCCAAAGAAATAATTACGGCTATAAAACGTTGCTTAAAGGAGTTGGTTTAGAGAATTCGGTAGCAGTGACTGAAATAGCACCGAACACTCTAAGACGCCAGCTAATTACTAACCGTTTGTACGACCGTCCATGCGAACCCCACAGTTGTATAGTATGCTCTAACGGTAGAGATGTTGATTGCATGAGTTCCGGTACGATGTACCTCATCTTTTGCACAGTGTATAGGTACGATCAATTTGGCGAAATGGGTAGACGACTGTGTTTCCGCATAAAAGAACACTTATTCGGAAAACTCAAGGTGAAACCAAATTCTCCGCTAGGCGCATGCTGGACTTACATACATATTTCTTTCATATTTTTATACGACCTGTCTTCCACATCTGTAGGAACCCCAGCAACTCTTCCAATCGATTCGATTCCTCGTATCCATCATCCATAAACGCCTTCAGAGTTTCTGTGTGGCTTAGGTTACTGACTGAGGAATTTCTTTTCATTGTGAACGTCGTAGACTGCTGGTTGAGTCAACTCTCCCTGGAGCCCTGTGAAGGCCGAGATAGTGCGTTCTTTTCCCAGAGAAGTCTGGTAGAAATTTTCACACCACAGAAAGATGAGAGGCTTGGTGAACTTGGAGCGGGATCGAACAGCTCCATGCTTCTGATGACCGGCATAATTAACACTGTGCTCTTCGCTCCTGGAAACGAAGATATAACGAGGATTTTAACGTAAAAGTCACTATCCTCACACAGAAATCTAACACCCAAAAATACAAAATGAACTATAAGGAGGAGTAGGCCTTGTGAATACGCGTGACCCCGCGCCATACCGCTCGCTAATTTTGTTACCTGAGCCAGGCACATTCCTCGCCCATGTAGGTAAGACTCAGTGTAGCTATTCCCCACCAAATAACTGGAAGGCTTACAAAAAACAGAACAACGAATGTATGAAAAAAGCTGTTTATTATGCGAATGAACATCTACGTATTAAGTTTTATCTGCTGAGGTTACGAAAGTATTTGAATGACTAGATCGCTAGTCAAGTTGACCTCTCAAGCACCTGACGAATGCGTAACCGTTAACCAATGTGAACAAGTACTACAATAAAAACCTCGTATTTGATCATCAGAAAAACAGAGAATCAGATGTTAATTGTGTTCGCATCTACGAAGTCGTGCGCTCATTACCTCACTTGGGGAAGAAATGAACCTCGTGCAATGAAATGCCTCTCGATTGCCTCAAAGCGTACATCTATACTTTTTGTATTGAATCGTTAGCACATCCAACACAGACGTTATGACAAACGTTATCCTCAAAGGTTACACGAGGACGAGTAATTTTGCTTGACTACCGCAATGGACGACTAACAATTTCATGACTTTACGCACCTGCTAGTTCTCCAAAAATCGACGATTGAAATAACAGTTAACTTCCAGTAAATTGTGGTAAATAAACTCCTTTTGGAAAAGACTTTTTGTACATTTCTAAGTGCAAAGTAGAGATTTCCTTTGCCTATGTCCGCCACAACAACCATTCGACAGGCAATCAACTGGTTACGAGAATTATGGGAAAACTGGTCTCTGTGTGAAAATAAACCACTGAAAACAAAAACACTTCCATGAAAGCCATACCGGCCACTGTGTCCACTAATGAAGGACTCCTACAGAGGTCACGCCGTTGCGTAAGTGTTTGAAACTATTCCCTACACTAAAAAGTTTGAAAAAAATAACCCTTCGGACAAATTATCTGATGCATTTGTTGAAGAGGTTTCTGACGTCAACATTTATGATCAAAACTGTTTTTTGAATAGAACCAAGACTTGATCTTGACTAGCACAATTTACATAGTTCAAGATCCGCGCTAACCACATTTTCGTAAACCGACCACTTGCGTGGAATGGTCTCTAGCCCTAATAGCTGTAAGCTCTAATGTTCTCAACAATTATATCTGCTATTATCTAAGAATAATAGACTACATAGTAAATAATAAAGTAGAATAATAGACTATTTTTCAATTGATAAGCTAACACGAAGTTAATTTGAAAGAAAAACTTCATCCGGATAACGCTTCGACACTGAAATGTTCACTAGTCATACCGAAGTTAAAGGAAAGTTATTTGAAAGAATAAATTTTGTCAGTCTCCACAAGGGCCTATCTTGTTGAAGACTTCTCTAGTAAACCGTTGGACAAGCTAGATCACATAATGCTGCGCTTAGCAATTGATGCAAAGGTTCCTCACAAATAGAAAAAGACTCAAGACAAAACAAAGGCAGAAATTTCGCAAATCGAATAGATGTGCGTTTTTTATCATTGAATAAACGAAGTAAATGTGTTGAATAGGCCAATTCTAAGAATCTTCTGATGATGCAGGACAAAGTAACTATAATAATCGTTTGCATGTACACGGAATGCACATCTAGCTTTATACCTAGCATGGCACAGAAAAACGTTCAGTAGGTAGTACAGTAATGTGTTAGTGTACAACATGATGGTGCTAGCAACTGCCAAGAGGTGTATAGAATCGATAGAACTTCCTTCCGATAACTTTCAAGAATCGAAATTACGTGAAATCTAAAGTCAGAAGTGGACTGATAGGATAATATGCAAGAACGTACTAATGCATCCGAAAACGTAACTGAGCCTAGATCATCAAAATGCTCCAGCAAAGATGTTTTCTACATTAATGATAGCAGCACTGTAGCCAAATAAAACACAGAAGGCAAAAATAATATTTCACTTTACCGATAGATATGGCCTGCTGTAAGCATTCATAAGTAACCGAGACGAGTCTCCTCGATTCCTCGTCCACCTTATCGCCAACAAGAAACGTTTCATTCAAGTCCCCATGAAACCCTCTATGATATACCGTAACGTCGACTGAAACGTTCAGTGCTAATACGAGGATTACCTCAAATAAAAAAAAAGGAAAAAGAAAAAAAACCCACCATTACATAAGTCTCCATTCTCCAATACACGTAGATCTGGTATTCCGTGACATATAACTTCATTGACAGAGGTACAACAACTTTTAGGAAAATTATAGTATCTGAATTACAAGGTGCTTACATCGGTTAACAATCAATATGCGCGAGATTTGAGAACAGAAGAGATCAGAACCCACTTATCTATGGAAATATAGGATATTTTGGAGATTACAACTGCACCAAAAGAATAAGAATGGAAAGCAACCACTATACCCACCCTAATGGGCTCGGATAGCAATTCTTTTCAATGCAAGCCTCGTGAACTACGCGGTCAATCTCATCGGTGGTCACGCCAGGAACGCATGCTTTAGCTGCTTCATCCAGAACTTCGCGCCCTAGTCGACAAGCCACGCGTAGACCTTCTTTCTCCTCGTCATCCAGTACCTGAACACAATTAAGCCACAGTTGCTGCTTGTACTAAAAGTTCTGGGTAGTCAGTAATGCTGCTGGTCACCATGACATGTTGGCTCACAATTCAGTTCATGAACCACAGCGACAACGAAATTCATGTTTTCAGAGTAGAGGAGAGCTTGACGAAGTGACTGTGTTAAACAAAGAAGATTGAAACCAATGCCTATTCTCGAGCATATATTAGTACCTGCACCAAATTTCTTTCTGGAATCAAGTTGAAGAGACCTCTACTTTAAAATTTAGGGTTCTCAGAGCTCCTGAAGTTTAAAAAAGGATGATGAATAGAACTGGCGGCGTTGATCAACCCATGAGAGATACGCCATACATTCGACTACATCAAGCATCGTTAAAGGTGACTGAATGCATATTTGGCACGTACATTAACTCGCGATGACCTACTGATGTGTCCAGCTAGTACTGCTATTCTCCCAGACTAGTCTGGTAGTAAACTACCGATTCCGGAGGAATGGAAAGCCTGGTGAGCCTGTGGAGCGGGATCGGACCTATGTGCATTGCAGGGCGTCTCGGACAGGGATACAATCGCCCTGTTGCAATTTAATTCAGAAAAACACCTACCTTGACTTCCTTATTCTTTTTAGCTTGTCGTTCTTCGAAGGACACACCTTCAGGGTGAAGAGCATAGTCAGGACGTGGTATTGATTGCGGTACTGATCTCTTTGGTGTAACCTTGGCTGGACGAAGGGAACCCGTGAACTAAAGTAGCTGGAAGGGATAAACTGCGCAATCACAATAAATATTTCAACTTCTAACGCATGTGAAAAGATAAACAAATAAAGAACAACTGTAGGCAAGATGCTACACGATAATTCGGCCAAGGATTGTACGGCGTATCTGGGTCCGTATGTTGGTTCTTATGAGTTGGCCAGTTTGCTTTGAAGCATGTCTGAAAGTTGACTGGCAATGAGTACCCAGTGTACACGTAAACTAATGTGGTCATACCTGACCTGATCGCAGAAGAACGAGTCCTTCAGGCCCAGCTTGATGCAGGTAGGACAACGTAGTTTCGCCGGTTTCTCACATTCGAAACCCTCACATCTGCGCACTGTCACATCCGCCATTACCTTATGAATAGGTCTAAAACACATAAAACTCGGTTAATGCAACGCTCTTACATGAACACATTCACTGAAACTCCCAACTTCCTATGTTCTAGAAACCCGACAGCTGAGTAATTCAGAACACGAATCAAAGAGGGTTTGAAAAGAAGGGTTAAAGTAACCAGTCCGCTTAGTTCAACCAAAGAAAAGCCCTTGAGAGTGCTTACCTAGGGGAAGGATCTATGAAAGACGAGTACCAAACGCGAAAACTGTGTTGACCTCAAGTGCATACGGAAATCTACACAACATTCACCATTCACAAGTTACCGTTAACGGGAGTTCTTAAAATGTGGAAGTCTTCGTTCATTGTGTAGCCTCGGACCATCAGGTTGTGACATCTGGATTTGTCTATTGGTTCTTCTAAAGGATCCCACATGAGCAACATGATTTTCTTTCCAGAGCTTTTATTAACACATTATCGATCGATTGCTTTCGTGACTGTCATAGGACGTTTTCTTCGCGTAGTGTTACCTAATTCACCTTCTGATATTCGATAGCTTGAATCATAAAAATATGGAATACAGAGGGGCAATGTTGTGTAGGAAGCTACAGTGTGCTGTATTGTATGAAAGGCCATCAGTTGTATAGGAAAGTCGGTACCAGACTTGCTCTCAACAGAGCACTATCTTTCGAGTGAACAAAATCCGCCTGCTAAGTTTTCGCGGGAGGGATGATGAATGGAAATTTCACAACCGCCCACTACCAATTCGTTCACGCAGTGATGAAAGGTGCAACAAAGTTTATTTCTCATACACAATGTGGACTGGCACAAATAATAGTCGAACTTTTGTCCGACAGTCGTCAACCACAAGTAGGCTAGTAGGTTACTCGTGTATATCGGCTCTTAACAAACTTGTCCACTGGATTTAGGAGCCGATTTATGCACCAACGAGTCTCTGTGGTTAATACCTTCTTGGATTATTAAGCTAACATGAGGTCGATAAGAAGGCTCTGGCGTTCTGACGCCTTCGCCGTCCTCAGAGCTGATGTTTGACCGTTGATCTCTATGCTCAATTCCATTGTCATGCACAGGATGGGATCCACTGGTAATGAAGGATTTTTCGAATTTTTGCGAACCGGACAGCTGTCGTGTTTTTCTTCTGGACAAAATCTACTCTCGCTAAACTGAAATTGTTGTAATCGCGTGTTCGAAGTCCTGCCTAGGTTCTGAGTTTTGCTCATATCGCAGCATCCTTGTGGTTGTATTTCACTTCGTACCCTGGTGGCGTGTGCAGCGCAGGTGCAGGTGCCCTGTAATACGCTTGGGATCGATCCCCGCGCGCCAGGCTCACTAGGTATTCCGTCCCTCCGGGGTTAGTAAATTGGTGCCGTACTTGTCTGGGAGGATAGCATCACTCGCTCAATACATAAACCATCACGAGTCATTATAAAGACCACATATGCATTCAGTCACTTTCAAAAATGCTTAATGAACCCGAGTGCATGACGCGTCTCAGGGATTGATCAATGGCGAAAGCTTTTTTCTGTACTAGTATTAAAAGAAAACGGGTAGTAAGTAAAACCCAAAATATTGGAATCATCATCTCGTACTTTTCATTTGAACTCGAGAAATACCTCCTAGTTGACACAACTCTGCGTTGTCATTTCTGTGTGTTTCTTTACAGGATGTGCACTCAAATCCATAATACTAGTCAACGATGAGTGGAAAACTAACATCCTATCACGATCATCAATGCCTAACTTGTGGGCGTTTATTTCATCACGAAGGCAATTTGTTATTGCACATTGATAGAATGCACAGTGGAACTCGAGCATTCCTATGTACACAGTCAGAATGCCACAAAACCTTCCCATCAGCAGAACTGCTGCGGAAGCACATTCGAAACACCCATCAAACCGACAGGTTTGCCTTCTTTGCTGAACCATATTGACCACAATATGAAGGATACTTGTGTTCTAGAATTCCATTTTAGACTAAAGTGCTCAACTTGTGACATGGTCTACTCCACTAGTTCGGCTCTTCGACGGCATGAACGAACACACTCAAACACAAGAAGGTATTATTTGGGCTTTCCTAACTCTGTTGAATAGAAACACTTCTCAGATAACCGCAACGATGCCGAGATATTCGCAAAACTTGGACCCCAGGCCAAAACGAACTACAGTTATCCTCTCTGGGGACTCGCGTATTACACACTTTGCTTTGCGTTTCTCTCAGCTAGTTTTCTTCCTAACGCTGGCATCAGCAATAGCTGAGAGATTCGCAAAGCAATGGGCTCAGTGGTACAGTGTGTAATACGCGACCTCCGGAAAGGGTAATCGTGATTCGATCTGGCCCGAGGTCCAAGTTTTGCGAATGTCTCAGCATCGTTGCAGTTGGATTTGACATCATACCCTGCCACAAAAAATTATGGTAGGCGGCAAATAAAAGGTTAACTATGTGACTTCTCAGATACGTATGTTCGCGTTGTGGTGCCGGTTTCGACTTAAGTGAACCGTACAAAATACACCTGCGTCAGCATGATGGAATTCAGCCATATTCTTGCTCGATTTGTTCAAAGAGATTCACATCAAGGGCTGTATGCCGAAGACATCGAATGAGTAGTCACAAATCCTGATCAAAATGAAGCAGGTAGGCAGAGATTTATTTCAAAATAATATGAAAGAATTATATCGTGATATCAGAAAGGCACAAAAATATTTTACTTGAGAGATCTCTGAAACAATGTCTCGAACATTTCGACCAGTCGTCTCATTTCTTTTCTGAAAACACAAATGTGGAGAATTGCACAAATAAGATGAAGCTGATAGTACTGCTAACTTACATTTGTTTTGCTAAAGTTGACACCTTTTGCATGGCGTGATTAACCTCTTCAAATTTGGCTAACATCTGAAAGTAATTCCGTCGATTCTTGCCAACTTTGGCTAAGTACATTTAACAGCTCTTACTGCGTAAGTAGACTTAATATTGATATCTGCCACATCGCAGGCATTTGCGATTGCAACGTTATAACACTGGATGGATTCTAGGGTTAGGTCACTAATTCCATGCATTGAACCCCTAAACCTCTATAACTCACAATCATCAATAGCCTTTAAAAATATGACAATAGTAACTTACCTCAGATCACGTAACATCATGTCCATGCTTGCGGCTAAGTCCCTTGCATGGACTTCCAGGTCATCCAAAATCTAAACGAATTTTCTTCCAGTGCTGGAGGACTATGCGTCAACTAAATGGTCAGAAGACCGAAAACGTGTATGAACCCTCGGATCTGGATGAGGAGCCGTTTCTACGTCCATCGCTATTCTCTCAGGATTATCTGACAAACGACAGCTCTCGCGTATTCTCCCATCTAAGTCCGTTGATTTGCGATTCTCATCATTTGTTTCCTCTTCTCGACTTGAAGACGTTGATGCTTCAGTAGACGACATAGAACTGTCCAAATCTAAACTAACGTTTACGAAATATTGACTTGAAAGGACATATTTACTTCTTAGACTTCAAGTTGGTCCTTCGTGTGTGTGCGCTGCTCTCTATGATTAAAACACTGAGTTCTTCTATTGATGAGAAACTCATATGAACATGCACCCGTTTTGCTTCGTTACACTACATATATGATAACTTTGTTCATCGAACAATGGATGGAGCACTAGTTAATTTAGTGTCGACAAAGTGCTGTATCATCTTAGTAATACAAAGCATCTGCCCATAAAGACCAAACCTACACGAACTGAGAGAACCCGTAGTTCAACAAGTATGTAAAATTACTTGGATACTTGGATGGGCTGTCCTCACTGGTTGTACGGGCCCCGGCATAACCGCCATTTTTCCGGTTTTACTGGTTTTTTGCCATTATGGTTCCCTGAAATCTTGTGGTCACTCAGGCCAAAGTCTGCTCCAGGTCGTCACCACGACAGACCTTCGCCGCACTTGTGGATCAGAGGGAGATTGACCACCATGCGACTAGTTTGATGTCAGGAAGGTGGTGGATGCTGGTACTAGTTTTCTCCTAGATGAGCTTCCTGATGGAAACGCTAGACTACTTCCTGGCTTGGGAAGCTCTGCTGGGATGTGAATCTCCCGCTGTACATCGCAGCCCGACACCCAGGAACACCTCTCAGCCACGATGAGGCGGTAAACCGTTGGAAGGAGTCTGTAAAATTTGATTAATCGATAGCATTAACGAAATGGGATTATGCAAAACTGGGACTTCACGGCAGTCGACTGAATTAATCGTTATGACAACACTTTCAATGCAAATGTGGGCCTTCCACTATACCGTTGTTTGCATTAAGGATTTCTTGTCGAGATACAACACAGTACTCTTCTATACCAAACCACGTGTGCACCTGTTCATAAAAGATATTTGGACGCAACCGTTTAGACTTTCACTTTCCGATTATTGTAGACATTTTAATAGACAACAGTTCGGTTATCAATGTTCGATGAAGATTCCGATGGGATACGAAAACAAATATACAAGTTGAAAAAAGAACCATTAAAAAGCGGATCTGACCTAAGAAGAAAATAGTTTTCACTCCATATTACAACCTAGTGCAAAAATATTTAGATTAAACCCATAAACTTGATGGATTAATAACACAATGAACTACACGTATATCATACCCGATTAGAAATGCATTATGTTCTCTAGTACACAACCATATCTATTGTAACATATCTATATCTTCGTTGAATGATCTAGATTCAGGAGAAGGTGGCTGTTCTCCATCCAAAACTTCATTATGCCAACCAAGTGTGTTCGATCCACCGTCGCACTGACGTCTTTTGGCTCGCTGATGACCAGAAATTATCGCGGGACCTCCTTTAACAAAAGGTGCGCTCATGCCGTACAGGGAGAAAAAGAGATCCAGTAGCAAGAGCCTTATACGGGTTTCCTGAAAATAAATTTGAAGATAAAACCCCGAAGAAAAATGTATGAAACTAACCAAAGATGTTCTGCTTATGAGCATCCATAACTCTTCGGCAATTTGAACAGTGTTGCAAGGATTTGTCGGCCCCGTATCTGTGCTAGAAATCAATCTTTTCTAAATATCCCATTAGAAAACGTTGGAAAGAAAATGATCCACAGGGCATACCATTCATGTGCACTAAATGGTGGCATTAGTGCAAGAGATGTAGCGATGTGAAGTCTAATGGTAGGATCTTGGTCCTGTGCCAACATTGTGAGCAGCTTCATCAGATCATTGGTAGATTGCTTTTTTCGAGTAAGCGACAGCTTTTCGACGATTATGTGAATAGCAGCCTTACGCATCTGAATACAAATATGCTGCAGAATTTGTTTAACATGTAGGATCTGCTAGGTTCAGAACAACAATAAGAACTTACGTTCACACAAAGTTTTGGTTCTGCAAAAAGCCAGAATATTTTTGAATCAGAAGGTATGTGACCATTTCGTTGTAACTAAAATACAGATCATACAAGGTACTAAATAGCCGCCCGCAAGAAAAAGCCATAAGCAGCGTACCTGATGGATTACAGACAAAGCAGCTACGCCTACAACATGATGATATGTCGGTTTAATAGTATCCAAATTTAGCGCATGCGTTGTCTCCTGAAAATAATCTTGTGAATATCTAATGAATATTCTGTGGACTTGATTGAATGGTGAATATCATAAGAAAGTTATTACACTATCCCACTTCTACAACTTCGCTCATTTCCCAGCTCAACGTCTCAGGTACGTAATTCCCTCCGCCCAACGTGTTGGCTGGGGCTACACATGCTGCCAACGCACTCAAGAGAGATGCACGATAATGGTCATCCGAATATCTAGAGCACAATTTATGTTATAGATGTGCAAGTTGCCGCACTAAATACGAAAGAAATCTACCTATTTATGGAATTGTCATTATACCGAATGTAGTCAACAATGAAACATTGCACTTCTTGCAAAGGCATGCCATTTGTTCGCATACGAGCCAATGCTTGTGGGAGAGCCTAAACGATATCACAATTAACTGAAAATAGTAGTGATACCTACAGTACAACGCGGGTGGTCATCCACTTATACGTTTGGGGCTGGTGTCTTTCTGGGCATTTATTAAGACTTCTTAAGATTAAGATTAAGATTAAGAATTTCTTTGCTGTACATTTTGTACTCAACCGATACCCTGTCCACAGTCTTCCGCCGCCCACGCCAAGTCTTAAATTCGACCCATGTTAGCTAAATTGCCACACAGCAACCCTCCTCCCTATCAAATAATGCTGCCTCTTCTGCTGCGCTTTTCGCTTTATAATTCGGTATTTCTCCATAACCTTACACTACTTTCGGTGGTTTTTGCTTATACGTGTCATTCAACTGCTTTTGTGTATTTTCATATTCTCCCACGGTCTTTAAACATTTCGAACTCTTGCTTGTCCGCTATACAAATTCGTTGCTGTTACTGTCTGATAATTGGTTTCACAACGCATATGAATAGTATGTCTTTTTGAACCCACCATTTCTGTAAGAAAACCACAATCCACCGCTGTAATTAGAACTAAGATAACAATAAAGTAGAGGTATAAATCCATTTCCTCCTGCTTGGCACAGTAAATGATACTGATTTCTCGACAACTGGCGTTAATTTTTAGATAAACAAAGTGCTTGAGGAGTTGAGAACTTACCTCTCTTGTGGAAGAGAATTTACTCTATCGCTCTAGAGGTATGTATGTTGTGCAACTTTTCCAAAGTATTGTTATATTTTAAATCTCCCATAGAAGTCAACTCTTCAAAAAACTGAGAAATGACTTCAAAATTTCAAACCTTGAAGTTTCTAATCAAGTGCGACATCATCAAACATCTATATATTGTGACACATTAGTATCCTACTTGACGAAATCTCGTTTGTTCAGTCGCTTCAGTGTTTGAAATGCCAACTTAGATAAAAGAATTAGATTCTCTGAACTCTACAAATCAGAGTTTCTTTTTCTAGAACGATAAAAGTATCAGTACATTGTTTGCTGAGATCTATACATCCTATTGATTTCTCCACAAGGTTCAACATACATTGAAATATTTCTTCAAAGTTCAAAGCTTCTATTTCTAGGCGTGTAGCAACAGTCCTAGGTATGATGAAGCGCTAAGTCGTGAAACGAATGTAAACTATATCTAAAGAGTCCTTGCTACTCATAGTCCTTTAGATTCGATACATCGGTAGGCCACTGCGAGTCATTGTAAAAGACAGATATACAATCAGTCACCACCAACAATGTTTAATGAAGTTTAATGCATGGCGCATCCCTCAGGGATGGATCAACGCCGGGAGCTCTATCCTTCATCCTCTATAGTTTGCTGTTCTCCATACACCATTTCCTATGTGATCCACACCATTGTAAAAGTATTGAAAGAAAACCTTCGTACTCACCTGTTGAATGAAATATTGTTGAAGATTCTGCGATGTAACCACAAAATTGTTTGACTTCGGAAGTGATGGACACGATTTAGCACCATAGGTTTTCCTGAAAACAGCTATCTAACTACGTTATGAAAAGGAACAAAAGAAAATATAACCTGTACAAGCTTAACAAAGCTGGAACACCCGACCATGTTTCAGGCATTTTATTTAGCACTTCTGTAAGCGCATATGCAGCATGACAACGCACGCTAAATTTTTACGTAAAGTAGAAATGAAATTGATACGCTAATGCTGGAAGTAACTCAACCAGAATTTGCTCAATAACTGTAAAGCACGTAATAACGCTGTCATCAGTGAGGGATTCCTATTGTTAAAAGCTCAAAACAAACGATTACCGATAAAAGAAAACTTCATTAGAAATAGTTTCGAGTAGTACATCACGACTTTGCGGGTTGGGACAAAGTTGCAATCGCTCCAAAGCCTAAAAAACCAACCTCATAGTTATGAAAAAAATGATATGAGAAATGATACGATGCTGAATGAAAACGATACTTGCAATACTTTTGCTAAGGATGAAAATGACATCTTGGAAAACGAACCTGAAGTTGAGCCAAAACGTTACGTTCATATCGCAACATGTATTCCCATTGATAATCTGGCTGGTTAATTATCATATTCCGAATAAGATGAAGTTCTGGATCAAGGCTAAACTTAACCACGTCAAATACATTGTGGAAGAACAGGTTGCAAACTACTTGAAATGACTGACCGGATCCATAAAACTGGGGAATCGGGATCCATATTGCTTAGGTCAACCTCGACCTCATCACCTGAGTAGAGTGGGACACGTTTCTAAAAAAGACAAACCGAAGAATATGTGCAATGTCCTATCGTGTAAGTTAAAAAACCATAGTTTTTCGTCAAAAGAAATTATGTGGTATTTATGTTCGCCTTAAGCAATTTAATGAAGAATAGGTAATCCTACAAGACAATTGGTTAAGGAGAAATATAAGGCAGTTATTGGTAACACTAGCAGTAAGTCTTACTGCACCGTTCCAACAATACAGCGCATGAACAGCAACCTTTTTCTGTCGGCGACCCTTTGAATGGCACTGAAGATCCGCTCTCGAGATATCTCCATCGATTTGAACAGTATGGGAAAATGAACCGTCCAATTCTTGCACTACAACCGTCAAAGGACCAACATATCTGTGAAAAAATAACGTGCAACTCACAAATATCCAACTTAAATTGCATGCACATCAACGAAAACCTTAATCGACCATTTCCCGGTTCAACTTTTTGTTTCACTTCCAATTCAATCATATTACGTTTGCGATTAAAGACATACTGCACCTAAACAGAGACCTGAACAGGGCAATCAATATGAACAGTCAAGGATTACCTCAGGAAAAGAAAACTTGCTCACTTACCCTGAAAGAAGCATGTCCTCCGTTATAAATCCATTGCTCCATAAAAGTGGGAATCTCTTGTCCCGTCACATTTGTTACTGTCCGGAAAAAAGTCTCTGTGGTGACCACTAAGTGAGTCCAAGAGGCAGGTCGGTCTCGTCGCTCAGCCATTTGCTGGCCAACAGAAAGAATTTTATGAAGGACCTCAAGAATTTCAGTAATTACATTTTACAACCTGGTTACAAGTAGACTGAAGAATAATTTGAAATTCCGTTATAGTAGACAAAAGACAATTTTTTAAAAACCCTGACTATAAAAGAATTCACGAACATGCAGACCTGGAAATATGGTTCGTGACCCAGTCGCTTACTGAGCATTCGCATCGCTAGATGACCTTTTTTTACCATGATTTCCGCATAAAGTGGAGAACAAGTATGTTCACATCTTGGTTCACAATGTAGGTTGAGTCTCGCTGGAGCGTCACTGTGGGGTCGCAAAATTACCTAGAGAGTTCCCACTATTTACCAACATGAGACATTCTAATAGAAGAACAGCTTTAATCGACTTGACTAACCTTTCCCCATTGCGACTCGTAATCGCAGACCGTGTTAAGTAGCTTCTTTATTTGAAAAAGGTACTCACTCGATCCAAACACTTTTTCAACATACAGCAAGGTAATAAACCTGAAAATACCAGAATTTTCGAAATTTTTGTAAAAAAAAGCTCCCAACTTTGATCAATCCCTATGGAATGCGCTATGCATTCGAGCTGATTAAGCATTGTTGGAGGTGACTGAATGCATATCTGGCTTTTATGGCTCGCGGTAGCCTATCGATGTATAGAACCAGTGCTGCTATTCTCCCAGAAAAGTCTGGTACCAATTTGCTGACCGCGAAAGGATGGAAGGCTGGGTGAGTCTCGGGCGTGGGGATCGATCCCATGTGCACTGCAGGGTGCCACCGACCTCTGCGACTACACGCGCTTGTTATTGCGGTAATAGACCAGTTACTGGGAATAAATCTTGTAAAAAAAAAATAAACTAATCTACCTAGATAATGACCGAACTAGCCACCAGTCTAAGAAATGTGCTGGAGAAATGAAACACCCAAAGAATTGTTGTGCGACACCCAAAGCAAGTAACTGACGACACTCCTTAGAAATAAATGAAATTATACCACTTATTGTCAAATAAAGTATAATGAGTTTTCAGGCTAATAAGTGAGTGAAAGAAAATTCTAATCAAACAACTTGCACTGCGTCGATAATTTTCTTATGATGAAGCATGTTGACGGAAAATATGGTCATGCTACTGTAGGACGTCACGTCATCAGGAACCCATAATAATATAAATTATTAACCCACTGGATTTTTTGCGTAAGTGAAATCTAGAAGAAACTGAAACTTACCATATCAACAAATACTTGCTTGTATGTGGAATACGGAAATCTACAAGACAGTAACTCTTCGAAGTACTCCAATATCTTATCCAAGGGGGCAACAGTATGTTTTAATAGAGAAAGCAATCCAACAGGAGCGAAGTTGGTCACCTTAAAATTGAATACTACAGCTTTATGTCGGAACTACCAAACTAGCATGGTCAAATAAACGAAAAGTGGAAAAATTTAGATACAACACTACCAGATAAAAATATATTGGTTTCATATGAGGACCTACTTCTGCCATGTCAGGTAATGCATATGTTGAAAATTGTCCAATAGCAAATCCGATATTACACGCTGCAGTAGGTATCAACTGTTGGTAGTTCCACGTCCTTAAGTGTTTATCGGCATCATTATCGAAACTCTAAAGTTAAAACATGAGTGTCTTTATACCGAAATAAAACCCTGACTGTGAATATTGATGGTTGAATATTACTACCTCTTAGCAATTCAGTACTAAATAAAGCCTCCGTAATCATGCCCTTTAGCTTACGGTTGATATATAGCTCAAACGTTGTCTGCTTAGTCATGCGGATCTATGCGGATCAAAACGCTTCTTCCATTCGATTCCTTGTATCCACCATCAAGGAATACCTTCGGATTCGCGTATGAGCTCGACTGATGCTTGATCTTCCATACGAACGTCGCTAATTAATACTAATTAATTAATAATTAATACTGCAGAAGATGGACAAACTAAGACGGGAAGCTGTGCATTAGCCAGCGCACCCGAAGATACAAGCAAATCCGAAAACCTTTGTCGATGATTTCAGTGAGACAACAAAACGAGTGGAAGAAACGTTTTCATTTGTTAGATTGGTCATACAAATAAAAGAAAAAAGTAGGTAGAGTTCAGTATGGATACAGATAAACGCATTTGGAGTTCTAGGTTAAAAAGCCAACATGACATTGCACGGCTTGAGAAAAAAATTGAGCAAAACTGAGGTATTGTAAGCACTGAATGAGCATCAAAAGTAGTGACTTCAAGTTTCGATGTGTTCGTGTAGTTGCATATAGGTAATTTACAAACCTACCTACCTAAGTGCTTACACGCTTATGGAGTAACAAATACAGCAAACCATGGGCTGCATGGACAGAACACAAACGTTCACCGTAATTCATCTACGTAAAAACAAAAAACAATAACAGAATAGGAACATCTTACCACTAAATCACCGCTTGCTACTGCAGTTAGCCAGGTGTCGCATGTGATATGTATACGCCATAGAGAGAGTTGATCAGATGCATCAACACAAGGAAGCCATTCTCGTGTACCTGTGGAAGGAACAACGACACCGCCCATTCACTACATCATTTGGGGACCTGCTTCTTCAACAAAAGACAAAGTCAACATACTTGCCAACAGCGTGCTTCGATACGTGAACAAATGAGCACCTCTCTCGATAGTCCCATCAGGTGCAAGGTTATATACAAATTTCACTCCCTTAAGAAATTCAAATTAAACACTAGTATAAAAAAAAGTTGGAATGACTTTTTTATGACTCTGCTTAGAACGCAGATATTTCAAGAGTGTTAAAAAGTGCTGACTGACAAGTTGAAGTTCTTGATGGACAGCATGTAGTAGACTTCTCAACAATTTCACTACATCACTGATATTAAATAGATGTACATAGATGTTTCTAAAACTCCGACGAAAGCACGTCCAAATTTCAACTCACTAAGTGAAGCAACACTTTGTTTTCGAAGCATCACTTTAACCATCCCAAAATCAAAGGATCAAAGAACATGCGGGTTTCAAAACCGCAGCTTTCAAGTTCCGTAGTGGAACAGAAACCTTTGAGTATGAGAACGATGGTGTACCGCCCCCTCTTATTGAGAATGACTATAACAAGACGTTAGTTGTCACATAATGGCATGACGTCTAAGTCCATATGCAGTGCACCGTGCGTTTGGTATGACGCCTATATGAGTCGTTTTCTTTGCAATGTTTATTGTGGCGCAGATAACGCTTTTGATACACTCTTGAAATGAAGCAATTCTTTATCCACCACGCATGTTGTGGCCGGCGTTGGTCGGAAAAAGCTCTACTTTTCAGTTAGAAGTATACAAAAAAGCTATCCTTAAACGAGTTCGAGAGGCGGAGGGGCTCGAAATTTTTTTTTTTTTGATCAAGTTCTTCACAATGGTTGGTGAAAAACGAAGCACGGAAACATTTGCCAAAGCCAAATTTCCATCAACGAAGAAGGTAGATTTTCGCATGAAGGTAGATCCATTACTGCATCTCGCAAAACCAAAGTTGTAAAAGTTTCAAAAATTTATATGCGAACCTATTCCGTGCCCAGATAGAATCTGTTCTAAGTGCTACCTTTTTAAGAATCCAAGAGCTATTTGCTAAGAAAAATCTTTAGTTGCCAACTAGTTGCAAAACTAGGCTTTAGAACGACAGAATATCACAGGGAGAGAATGAGTATGTAATGTTAGTAAACATGTGGAACAGACCCTAATGTTCCTTGTTTCGTTCCATAAAGTTTACTACTAGCTGAGAAATGTTGACTCTTGATTGGAAAATAAAGACGAAACTGTTCCCTGAACAATCTAGTACGAACAACTTAGGAAAGTCATCTCGTTGCACCATTTCTAAGTGACCTAGAACTGGAAGAGTAGAAAAACTGGATTTCCCTCAACTGCTAGCTATGACCACTTAACGAAAACGTTGGTTGTATAAAACTCAATGAAAACTTCCGTTTAATTTACAGATGATTACTTCCAAAACATTCAAAAAAGGTTGGCGTGAAATTGTTAGAATCAAGAAGAAAAGTTATGGAGATGTTTGGCCGTGTAGATTGCAGTCAACTTGACCTTTCCACGCTCTGAGGAAGGCGAAATTCGCCGAAACGTCAGCTTGTACGTAAATAAAGAAATAAAATAACACCTCGCGTTTGCTGAAGAGAAGTAGAAAGAATTATTCAAAAAGAAAAGTTACAATTGAGACTTATTCCATTAAATCTAACTCAAGAAATACCTTTTTAAGGTTTACAGTGGTTTTGACGAAAAATTGGAGACGAATGGGACTTTGTTGTAGTACTGTTGGTTTGACCTAAGCTTATCATAGCTAGCTTCGTATCACATGTCGTCATGGTCTTTCTCCATCCGTCTCGTTGTCTTAACATTATTATCCATACTGGTGACAGAATTCGTGTGAAGGTGTGGATGTGGATTGAGGATTTGTCACTTTCTTCTCTGATTGACACTATAAATGGTAACTGGTGGTTTCTTTAGAAACTCGAGACAGTTCTGCTAAGATGTTTTCTGATCTTGAACTTAGGCATTTGCAGGCCTTTGTGGATCGCAATGCTAGCAGCCTTGTGAAGACGATTTCTCCATGATTGCAACGGTTTCTACGATTAGTTGACTAATCCGATCGAAAACGAAGTAATAAGCCCAAATACTGTAGCCGGACTTGTGGTAGAAATCATGAATTCTTTACTACCTTTCGCAGCTTTTCTGGTGATAAGGTTCTCTTGTTATATCATATATTGGGGTTTGACTCTCAGAACAATAAACCGGGGTAAAAGTAATAATAAACGTTAAATATGAAGGCCACCTCTAAACAGACATTCCAGTGATTGTTCAAAGATACTTCAACACATACCTTTTACCATACCATCTACTATTTACCTTTTACACACATACCACATACCATAACCCATTGATATTTGAATAAAGCTTAAATATATGGTATAAACGTTATTGAAATATAAAAGAAATGACCTGTGTAGGCCGTCTAACAACAACATCGACAGCGATTGTAATACACTTCAGCAAATGAATAGTAGGTCCAAGCTCGTCAGGAATCGCGATTTCCATGAACGCTGTGGTCAAATAAACAGGGTTAGATATTGTTTGGGAAAAAGGTGTAAAATGAATCTACCATCTTTTTCATTGATGGAGCTGTAATAACGTGGTAACGTTTCCATTATTGAAAGATTAGCACTTTGGGCAGCAAGCTGAAAAGTAGTAATCATGAAGAAGACGACATACAACCTATAAAGAAACTGGAGAGAGATTAGCAAGATGAAATACTCACTGTAGGCTGCACCATTCGAGAATACTGACATTCCATACCATTTATTGTTACTCTTCCTGAATGACCCATCTCATTTGGAAGAAACGTAGCTAGAAAATGTCTTTTCACCACAGTAGTTCTAAAAGGTAACAGCAAAATGTTGAATTCTAAATTATGACTACCAACATAGTCCTAAATGCAGGTGTATTGTCTTCAAGTCTGTCGCAAGAGGCAATGCTGTAATTTCCGTGTGAATGTTGAATGACTCGGCAGTAAATGAAACATCAGAGATCACAACCTAAGAATAAAATTAATTTACTGCAACATTGTAAAGAAAATTCTACATCCCAGTCGCAAAGTATGGCAAGCTGTTCCTTTTTTTATCACACGGAAGAAATAAGCGACTAGAAGAAAAGAAAACATGACTAGGAATTACCGTTTGTGCCAAGACGCGGATTTCACCGCGTACTTCTATGCCAGGAGCGGCATGTAGGTCATCTTCTACTGCTGCATTCGTTGGGCCACCGCCTTCTCCGCCTTGTCCATGCTGTTGCCGATCACCCTATAGTTCGTTTTTGTCACTTACGACGTCATCAAAACCATCAATAAACCACATGAGGGAAACGTAAAATAGTAAGTCGGAACAATATAATTACTGCATTGAACTAGAAAGAATCTTAAATAGAAACCCACTCCCACATCGTTTCCATTGACTTGTGCTTGAACAGTGAACGGAGTAATACGGTCTAGCATGGGGACTTTGGCGTCTGCTCCATTCACAGATGACCAATCCATGGCTGACGCCTCACGCTTCATGGTATGACGACCCAAAAATTAAACACGAGAATACTTCGTCCCTCAGTTTAGGTACCAGAAAGAAAATAAGAAATTGGAAAAATACTATGCAGCAAGCGTTAAAACGAGGACTTAGTACGCTTTATTCGAGACAAATTTTTATTCACACGGCTAGAAACTGATATATCAACAGTCAACAATATAAAACAAGGATAAACGAACAACGAAAAAAACAGGATTCACTGGCTAAAAGATAAAGTGGTGAGTTCACATAGTTCACATCACCAATAGTTTTAAACGATGCGTGAAGTAATGTCTTTAACTATAGTAAAACTCACTGATCATCACAGTTAAACGAAAACTTGGGAGAACTCACTGCCGCCATTACATTGCTATATCTTGCACCATTTTTGTAATCTTCAACTTTAATATGAGTTAGCTTTGTGCTTGGGTATAAAGTTAAAACCAACTGGAGGAGGACCAAGCAACATACGACTGATCTCTATCCAATCAGCAACACGATTACTACTCAGTAATGTTTCCAGATCGCTTCGACCCCGATAAAGAGGTGGACGCTCATTCATTCGTTGTGGCAAACGTTCAAGAAGACCCACCGGGATGTACCTTAAAGGAAAGTTGCACTATTCAAATAGGTAAAATGTTATTAAAGTACATGAGCACAAATGCGTGTCATCGGAAAATTGAAGTACCTGCACTGGAATGACAGCCATTCAAGAAGGAAGCGTCGTGTCCTCTCCACGCCAACATCATCGCTTCCCCAGTAATCAAGGCCATATTTTACGAATCTAAATGGTTAAAAAATCATGATTATAACTACAAGTAACACAAACAGTATATGCAGTGGTATATGCATTACATCGAGATATAAAACTACGAGATAAAATAAGATAAATAGACGCAGTGAGATAGCTGGCGCATGTAGCGCAGTGGTCGAAGGCGCCTTGCAATACGCATAGGATCTATCCCAGCGCCCGTAGCACACGAAGCCTTCCATCTCACCGGGGTCAGCAAACTGGTGCCAGACTTGTCTATGAGGATAGCTGCACTGGCTCAACACGTCGACCGTGAGCCATTGTAAAGGCCAGGTATGCATTCGATCACCTCCAACGATGCTCGATGAAGTCGAATGCATGGTGCATCTCCCAGGAATTGATCAACGCCGAGAGCTTTATCCTTTTTTATTTTAACGAGACAGCCAGTCTAGTACGAACCAATATATTATGGCAGCTACGAGGACTATAGGGTTAGGGGTGCTGTGCAATGGGCGCACTATAACTACTGCCCCTACTCCGCCCCAGGGTGAATAGTGAATAGAATATTCTTTTCCAAGAGGTCCTGACGGGCGGCAATGAAGACCTGGAAACGCCTTAGTAAATATACAATCAAACCAACCAGCAATCAACGACATTCACAGAAGAAAACCACTCAAGTAGCAACCGAAATCAAACCCAAATTCAAAGACCATTCTGGATGATGAATGTACGACAGTGAAGCGAGAAGTAGTGCTGACTTCCGCACATTTTAGGAAGTCAGGGGGCATAAATAAACAACAGAACTAAAGTGCATGACTACTTCGCGACTATATGTTTACTCTTGCGGGTTACTCAAAAGAATCTACGGCATTTTAATCACAATACATGGGTCACCTTACCTACTTTCCTGTTCTATTAAGAACATATGGCCAAGATGAATTATAACAAATATACCTTAAAAGCTTACCCAATAGTTATCAGTGAAGAAACCAAACAGTACAACAATTCGTGAAACGTGAAGCGTTTCACATATTTGCAGCGCATTTCAGAAGCGCTAATTTTAAGATCGAAAAATATCAAAGACTTACCGTTTGAGCAAGTCCAACCGCTCGTTGGCTGAAATATCCCATGTCCTTCGCTCGTCAATTTCAGTAAAAATCCATGGCTTTATTAAAGCACCTCGGCCAATCATGATCCCTCCAACTGAGTACTCCTCAAGGCGCTAAAAATTGGACTAGAACTGTTCGTTGTACTAGAAAACAACAGAGATGGGAGAGCCACTTGCTCTCCCCGTGTTCCTTTTAAACTCCTTAGACATAATTGATTCAACGCCTAAACAGGCGATTTTGGAAGAAGGGGAAAAATCGAACATGGATAGATACTGTTACCAAGTACATAATTACTTCGGAATATTTAAAATCACGACATTTAATAAACAGGACAAAGTAAATAGGATGCAGCAAAAGTGACTGCGCATATATCTGCATCTCTCCATTTGTTTTGTTTATACGGCGAATAATAAATGGTTTGCATCATGTAGCAAACAAAGGATAGTTAGCACAGCGAACGCAACCAAAGGAGTTCAAATGGCCAGTTAAAAATGAAGCACAGATTTTCCGAAATAAACACTCAAATTTAAGCCAGCAAATGACCACTGTAAGGGCGCTTGTGTCGTAGTGGTCGAAGGCACCTTGCAGCACACACATGGGATCGATTCACGCACCCCTTGTCCACCAAGACTTTCATCCTTCCGGTGTCGGCAAATTGGTACCCGATTTGTCTGGGAGGATAGCAGCACTGGCTCGACAAGTCGGTGAGCCACCGCGAGTCATTGTAAAGGCCAGATATGCATTCAATCACCTCCAACGATTGCTCAATGAAGTCGAATACATGGCGCATCTCTCAGAGATTGATCAACGCTGACAGCCTTATCCTTTATCCTTTATAAATGACCACTGCACTAAGAGATGATATCCATTTCCAGCCTACATTTATTGTTACTTATAAAGAGTGTGCAAATTTTCTGCGTACGCCCTCAAAAGCAAGAGTACGTCCTAGCGCTTTGTGTTGCCGTTAACAGAAGAATTCGACTCCTTAGTCCTCTAGCTCGCACTACTTAGTGTGTATCTAAGAAGATATGAAAAACAATCAATGTTCATGCATCGGCTCCACTTCGTATTAATATATTCAGCATCAAACCAATTTTGATAACAATTTACTCTCCTTATGAAGGCAAGGAAATTACCGTGTAATAATCCTCCCAACTCAGAACGTCACCGCAAATCCACAAAGGCACGTCTGTGTAGGCTTCAAGACAAGGATTGACAAAACTCCAGTTTGCCAACTTTGTGTACCGCTGTTCCCTAAACTTAATTGGACGTTGTCGATTGAAATCACTTCACCATACTATGAATACCTCACTTGCTCCGTGGATGAAGTGTTATTAAGTCTGGTTTAGCACCTGCCATCATTGTTCTAATGGCAGTAAGGACACCCTTCAACCCAGAACGTAGCTTTACAGTTAATGGGATCTTTCCGATAACCAGGCTTAGTGCAGATAGTACTGTAAAATTCCTAATGTTAAAGAGCCTTGTGACGAATAAACATGTGCACCATACCTATTCTTCTCAAACTGAATAAACCTCCGAGCTCTTTAAAAGGATAAACTACCGCAAGTAACCAAAACACATACTCTACTTACAATTCCAAAGATACTAATTTCTAAATAGTCATAGGATTTTAATCACAATTTTAACTTATAATTTACTGCCTGCTCTTCTTAATGGCAGGGTATATTACGAAATATAACTTCACTGAATCTGAGATATTTGCAGAACTCCGGACCGCAGATGTATGCGATAGAGACGAACGCAGTTAAGTTATATTTCGCAATATACCTTGCCATTAAAAAAGAGTAGGCAGTAAATAATAAGTTAAAATTGTGATTATAACTACAACCTCAGCTTTACTGAGTTCGTTGCCGATTTGGGTCCACCAAATCAATCCCGCTGACGCGTGATTGCTGTGGCATAGATCGATAAAACTAGCTGAGAGACAGGCGAAACGAAGGACCCGCATGGTGTGGTGGTGAGTCCGTCACTCCCCGGAAAGGATAATAGCGCGTTCGTTTCCCACCGCATACACCTGCGGTCCGGAGTTTTGCAAATATCGCAGCATCACTGAAGTTATAGAATTGTTTAAAATTGAAGGTACAAGATATACCCAGGAGAAAATAGACCTGTAACAAGCCCATAATATAAAGACATGCCGTTACCCGACCTTCAATCATTTTATTCGGACGATTAGGAAGTGCGCAACCACCACCTTTCTCGTTCACAACATCTATTGGACAGCCCATGTTCACATCAATGAAATCTACCTGAAAACTTTAACATCTGAAGCAAAAAAAGATACTGGAACTTTGAAAAAATGGTCGCGAGCTCACATTCATCTCATCAACAACTATTTGAGCGGATTTAGTCATAGTATCGGGAAATCCACCTGCTAACTGAACGCCGAATATTTTCTCACAAGGGTGTCGTTTCAGCAGAGAGTACTCCGACGGGGCACCTAAATAGAATCCTGAGTGCATTTCCTGTCTTGTGCAGAACTCTTTTGCCTGTTTAAAACCAGTAATGAAGACGTATTCTCATCAAGAGAAATTTAAGAATGTTACTAAAATCAAGCCTTACCTGGATTATTCACTTATTTCATACTTCGATACTTGAATGGGCCATCTTCACTGGTTGTGCCGACCCCAGGAAAGGTTCCATTTTTCGAAGTTTTGCTAGTTTAGCTTTTGTGGTTCCCTGAAGGCCCGAGGTTAGACTAGCCAAAGACTGCCCCAGTTCGTCATCACTACAGGCAATCGTCGCCCTTGTGGATCAGAGAGAGGTTTGCCACCATGTGACTAGTTTGATAACAAGATGGCGGTAGATCTTGGTATTGGTCTACGGCGCAAAACAGACGAAACGGAAAAAACACTTCGTAAAAGCACCAAAGGTCAAAATTACAATATTGTAAGCACACGAAACTACCAATTTAATGAAGTTTTCATTTGCGACTTCGATTAAAAAACAGGTTTTTATAGGAACAAGTTTGAGAAAAATAGCAAAATAGCAGAAACTTCAATGAAAAAAATAGTTCTGCTAACCGGACAGCAAGTTTGTCGATAACGCCATTTCACTGCATGTTACGTCAGCGCCCAACTCAACGCAGAGACGTCGAAACGGCAGATTTCCCTAGAATGGCAGGTGATCTGTAATCTAGAACATAAATTTTTGATTTAAGAAGGAGTGCCACTTACAACAGTTGTCAGAGGTGCCAAATACTTCTTTCGTTTTAGGGTTTTCATATCCAGTATGGGTTTCTCTCTTTCCATCGCTCCAAGACAACCTTCTTTCAGCGCCTCAAGCACCTAAAAACGATTTCAATACTAGTACTGCAGTAGTTGCTGGTAAGCTAGTGCTTCTAAACACCTCAACTTAACTAACTTCTACAATTTTTCACAACTGAACATAAAATTCAAAAAGAATCATAGAAGCATATTAGCGAGTATTGTAAACGTATAAAGTTCCGTTAAACTCTGATCCGATTTCAAGTGAAAATGAGGTTTCACTTCTAGGAAGAGATCTATGAAACATCGACTAACGTGCCATATTTCAGCTTAGAACTTTCCCCTTGCTTTTACTTCACTATAGATAAGATTTAATATTAGTAACAGCCTCATAAGTCCACCCCTCATTTTCAAATCTTACTAATTTGGTAACTAGCCAAAATAAGATGTGATGTAAATTCTACAAAATACGCTGTGGAAATGTGGAAACTGTGAAATTGTGCAGAAACCAAGATTAACAATCCTCTTCTTTTTTGAGTACAGAAAAGTAATTTAACTAACCTTTTGTGATCGGCTAAAATCGAAAGTTCTCTTGCGAAGCGCAATCTGAATATGAACAGAGGAGCCATTGCTAACTTCTTGGTAAGGATTTACAGGTGTCTATAACACAAATCATAAACCACACACGGAAGTATTATTATGAGACTATGTCGGGAGAAGAAGAGAACCTTTGACATCTGGTTTCCTTGGAAATCCGTATGAGCACCGCCAAATCGACACGCATAGCTAAAAGGACAGGTGCCTCTAGCTTCGAAAACTGGACAGTTGTCGCCAATATCCGGTGGCTTGTTGGCAAGAAATGTTGCAAGATCGTGCTCGAGAGAGCACTTCTCTCCAAATCTGAGTCATTGAGTAGGAAATAGACATTTGTTAAACACTGAGTAAAGAAGAAAGACAAAGAGAAAACAAAACTACTTGCACTTGGTTTCACTGATGACAGAGGAGCACAATCGCATGTTATTGACACGAATGAGATTTTCGGAGCGTTTCATTTCTTTTCTGAACTGTTGTTCATCAAAGAATCAGTAAAGACTTGGGAAATATAATCAATGAAATACGAAGCAGCGTACATTCTGTTTTTATTGGTCCCTTTTTTATTCCCTCTATTATCGCTCTGTTTGCTCCGAACGTATGAGATGTCCCTCTTGCTATCATCTTCGTTAGCATTAGTAATTGCAGAATTAAGAAGAAGGGCTTCACTTGGGACTACGACTTTCTGTTGAAAAATAAAAGGATAAAAAAGGATAAAATTCTAAGCGTTGATCAATCCATAACGGTTGCACCATGAATTCAACTTCATTAAGCATCGTTGGAGGTGGTTGAATGCAAATCTGGCCTTTGTAATGACCAGTGCAACTGTCCTCCCAGACAAGTCTGGTATCAATTTGTTGAGCCCAGAGGGATGGAGAGCTTGGTGAGCCTGGGGCGCGGGGATCGACTCCACGTGTGTTGCAGGGTGCCTCAGACCACTGAGCCAAACGCGCTCCTTGTTGAAAAACACTGACTAAAATTAAACTGAAACTAACTAAACATACCTACTAAAGAAAGAAGTTGCGACATTTGTAAAGCAAATAAAAGCGAAAACGAAGAGAATAAAAAAAAGAAGCGAGTTGAACCTCAACTAGAAACTCCTTAATGGGAGCGACGCCTGCTGTTGAATAAGTGTTGACGACGTCCTCGAGAGTTTGACGACCATTTTCGAAAGCTTCCCTTGACATCTGTAAGCGACCATTAACAGCGGATTCTCTCACCAATGCCCAATTTCTCTGAATTCTGAACGGCAGGAAAACAGCGATAAGAAACACCTCCACGAAAATACACGATGATGTTTCTAAGATTTATTGAACAATGAGCTTGCACAATGGACATTTGCCGGTACTCTACAGAGATGGCCACAGGATATACAGAAATAATTGAAGGATGAAGAGAAATAACCGGAGGATGACTACATACACTCTCCTACGTTTGGTCGTTATCCAATTCAATCCAATGTTTTTGATTCCGGGATAGGTAGTCCGTCTTCCACTCGTAATTCCTCTTGTAGCCACAGAGGATACACTTACTTTGAATCACTTTGCATTGGACTAGTGTTAGCTCACATCGCTTTACCTAGACAAAGTTGGGTTAGAAGTGTAGAGAAGAAAGCTTAGAGAAAATAAATCAACAGACCTTGGCGACAAACATCTGCTTGCATTTTCTACAAAATGTCTGGACTATATCTGGCATCACTTTCACTCTCTCAGTCTTCAAGACGTCTCGAAAGAGTTTTGCATATCGTCGAGCCAGTTTGGCGTATCCATCATCAAGCCCGCAACCTAAGATACCAGCTGGTGACATTAAAACTACGAAATAGACGAAAAAGAACCGATTACTTTGATATGAAAGATGAATGCCCGCTTGGTGAAGATAATTGAGACGCATGTGCGAATCAGTGACGTGTAGACGTGACCCGACGTCCCGCTGAGCACCAGTTTTCCACTCTTTTCTCCTTGTATTCTGCCCTACATCGTTCTTACTGGCTACAGATGAGGAAGGAGAGGCAACGTTTTCCACAGAGTCACACATATATGAACGAAAGGTTGGTGAAAAGCGGAAGACGATCGATGTAGCTACAACAATCACTGTATGAACACTTGGGAGCGACCTGACCTTCCTGAGAAGAAGGAAGTCACTATTTCCACACCCAAACACTGTGTAAACTGATGAAGTAAATGGTATCCAGAGTTGAGAACAACCCTATTCAGATCGAGGAAATCGTAGCTACGGAGTAACGACACACTTGTTCTGGGCGATACGTAAGTGCACAAATATCTCTTATTTCACGACAACTGAAGTGGAACTGAACTTGGATAATTGGGTGGACCGCCTTCACCGTTTGTGCGAGCCCCAGTACAGTTTCAGTTTTTTCAGAGTTTTGAACCATTGCGGTTTCCTGGCGTCCCGAGATCAGCCTGGCCAATGGTTACCCCAGGTGGTCACCATCACAGGTAGTCGCCGCCCTTGTGGATCAGACGGGGGTTTGCCACCATGAACTAGTTTGATACCAGGACGGTGGTGGATCCTGGTACTGGTTTACTCTTAGATGGCCTTCCCGATAGAAACACCAGACTCCTTCTCAGCTAGGGAGACCTTGCCGGGTTGATGAATCTCTCTGCTGTACATCGCAGCCCGACACCGAGGGACACCTACCAGCCATGATGAGGTAAACCGTTGGAGGAAACTGAACTTAATAACTCGTTTACATGTGTCTTACAGTAATATATCGTTCTCATTTCAAGAGTAATGTGATTAGAAGATCGGGATAATCTATACTTTGTCCAGCTAAATTCAAAATGGCCATACTCTGAACTTTGCGTCTTGCAGTAACGACCGACTTTCTATTAACCTCGGCATTGATCAAGTAATTCTTCGTATTTTTGTTGAGCAAACGCGAGGTGTTACTATTCTTTATTCACGAATAAGCTGACGTTTCGGCGGATTTCGCCTTTGCGTCTTGTCTTTGCAGGTTTTTCTTTAGTGAATTAAATATGACCATACTCTGAAAATGTAAGTGGGGTGGGGCAGAAGTTTGAACAACACATGACAGATTTGGACAGGTATGGGTGCAATGTAAATGCAAAACGTTTGAGTTGAAAAACTGGCTGAGAGAAAAGCAAAGCAAGGGTCTCAGTGGTGAAGTGAGCAACACGTGAGTCCCGTGAAAGGGTTATCGCGGGTTTGAATTTGTCTTGGGATCCAAGAGCTTTGCAAATATCTGGGCATCGTAGTCGTTTTAGGATAGTTTATTCAATATCTGTGACTTGATACGAGCCTCTTTTTACTGGTACTATTTATCACAGGGCTCATCTGGGATTAGGTACTCAGCAGCTAAAGTGTGTACATGGAGCTAACGTATCGGCAACAAAAGCGGTCAGCAATTTGATAGCTAACCTTTATATTTCCTTCTTGATATTTATAACGGGGCAATTTATCACGTTTATCCCTACCATGGCGCTAACATGGAGGTTTTTTTAGTCCTGGTCACCCAAGTAAGTTTATTAGTGACCGTATTCCACAGCCGTAGGTGAATTCATCCATCCATTTGTAAGCAAGGGAATAGTAGACGGCGTTCTTCAGGTTTAAGGTTTACGCTGTACTTTTTTTTTACTGTCTCATCTGCGTTATAAGAACCAAGCGCTAATGTGTTGCCAAACTGGTGTTCTTTTTCATAAATCTGCAAATAATGCCCCAGACGGGTAATTTCGGGTTAGAAGCTGACATGAAGTTCCCGGTTTTGCAACTATCCCGGCATCTTTGCAGTTCTATTTGACTTAATACTTTGCCATGAAAAAAGGCAGCAATTAAGAGTTAAAAGTTGTGATCTCCAAGTATTTCTGACATATCAGAAAGGGCAGAGTGAAGATCTTCCTCTGTACGATAGGTGTGATGAGTCCACAAAATATCGACCACAACTTTGTTCCGGTGCTATCAGCAATCACCTGTCAATGGGAATGCTCTCGGATGCATAAATAATGGTCGAATCGAGTTGAGCTAAATCTACAGTCTAAATCACGTTTGATACCAGGACGGTGGTGGATCCTGGTATTGAATCCTGATCATGGTGATCCACAGGGGCTGCGATTGCCTGTAATAGTAAAGACCTGAGGCAGACTTTAGCCACGCTGTCCTCGGGACCCCAGGGAAACAGAATGGCTAAACTATCACCAGGCACTCCAGGTAATGGATGCTATGCTGGGGCCCACACAACCAAGGAAGACAGGTCATCCAAGTATCGAAGTATATATTAGTATATATTGAAGTGCTTCGACACTCTTTTTTCGATCGATCCGGTTCTGAAGGTGGAGCATACCACGAAGTGTTAGCCGAATAAAGTTCTCCTCATCAACCTCGAGTTGTCCTATCAGTGATTAAAAGCTGTTTTGACGTGTAGTTTAAATGCGTTTTATAATCACATGCATTCATCATTTTATTCCATAAGAACATTTTGTACAGTATAAGCTTGAAGATGTTTACGATTTTGAGAGCACATCTGATATGAAGATAGTGCAAAGTCGTACTTTAGTACTTTTAAGATCAATTTGAACATTCATAGAACAGAATTCCGGTCGCAAAGTCTTTCATAGAGAATCACAGGTACATTTACACAGGAAGAAAGTGATAATATGTGTACAAAAAGTGAAATAGTGAAAATACGATTAAAAAAAGCGAGACATTTTTTGACGAGAAGACTATTTGACTACTACGGTAGCGGACAAGAATAACAACAGAAACAAACGGACAAGTGAAACCCGACTAAAATTGTGCGTTCGAGAGTCAGCGAATTCAATTCGTGTACGGAATCGTGTCCGCGACTCAACCACTCCAACGGATTCAGGCGAATGGAGATTCTAACAGCAGCTATTATGCTCCTTTTAGTGTTATGGCTATCCGACCTGCGACCTACATGATATATAGTAAAAATGCAGCCCTATGTTATACAATATCGTTCAGAGTGAGCGCTGTGTGAACATCATCTACATCGTGCTATCATCTAAATTTCTTTCTCTTCTGACAGCAGAATTTTCTACAAATTGGCGCAAAACCATATTGCATACTAGTATTGCCAATGGGCCGAGCATCACTGATGCGCTCACTTCACGAGAAGTCATGAAAGAAACTGCGGATTTGTGTATGAGAAATTCAGGAATGCCTCTGGATCAATGGATGCTAGCAGTGACTTGTCGTGTACCGGCGTAAGTGCAACCCTCTCATTCGTGAAGTCCTCATCGAAGTTCGAGAAATCAGATGAAGATTTCTGAAGAAACAACAGATTATTTTATTAAAACGGAGGGTTTCTGAGATAGTTCTGACACTTCAGGTAAACAATATGGATTAAGCCCTCGGTGTTGATCACTCCCTGAAGGATGTGCTATGCATTCGACTTCATCAAGTATCGTTGGAGGTGATCGAATGCATATCTAACCTTTACAATGACTCGCGATAGCTTACCGACGCATCGAGCCAGTGCTGCTATCCTCCCAGACAAGTCTGGTACCAATTTGCCGAGCCCGGAGGATGGAATGCTTGGTGGGCTATGGGCGTGGGGATCTATTCCACGCTTATGTTGCAAGGCGCCTCCGACCACTGCGCCACACGCGCCCTAACATTTCAGGTAAATAGGGAAGAAAACTGGGCGTTTTCGCACCGGTTCTGTTTAGAAATATGACGTAAGCATTCCTCTTCCGAACATTAAAACCTTAAATTTCACTAATTTCCATCATTTGTGAAAACAACTGATCTTTCCAAAAAAAAGAATAACATTTCTGACGCTTCCTATTCGGACGTCGTTTTGATATTCGCAAAAAAGAACTATAAGGAAATCCACAAAGCCATCTAAAGCATTTTCAATTCTTCTTCTTCTATCATAATTTTTTTTTCGTCCACTGAAATTTTTTGCTCAAATACAAGAACGAAACCTTGGACCAATTTAAATTATATGGATAAAATAAATTTAGTAGAACATACGATGTTGGGTCTGAACGGAGGTGGGACTTGTCGAGTTTCAAACCGTTTCCAATCAACTCCACGGAAGAATGAATGCTGCCGAATCGGACCGTCCGGACACTCCGGCATTCCTAGTCGAGTATTTGGGTTGCGATCGAACAACTAAACATAGTAACATAGTTGTTTTATATTCGTCATAAGAATCTATTCCTCTGCAGATAGGTGAAAGATTGTGAAGTAGTGGACTTGTCAAAAAAACCCTTTATGACGTGTTAAACATTTCCACAGATCAACAATAAATGTACAGCAAACCAATGTTTTTATCTTCCAAGATAAGTCTGATATCAATCTACCGAGCTCGAACGAATGAAAGGATTGGTGAGCTACGGGGTCGGGACCGAAATAGCGATCGATCCAGGCTGCATTGTAGGACACCTCTAATCATTGCGCTACACAAACCAAAGACATTGAAAAACGTTATATTACCACATTTTCTGGCTTATTATGGGTACCGCGAAAATGACTAGCACTGAAGATTTTTTACTGAGTCTGCCGGAAGTTGATATGCACATTTCTCCATGCAGTTGTTATAAAAGAAACACATCACCAATAACTACAATGGATAGGCTAAATAAGCGACTTACAGCGCTAAGACATTTCGCCGCCTCTTTCGAGATCGTTTTCGGGAAGTACGGTCGCTCGTTGAGAATTGAATCGAATAACTCGTCTTCTCCTTCGCCATGAAACGGCGACTGCCCAACCAACATTTCATACATCTCAATAGCAAGTGAATATCGTAAACACTGTTGTTGTGAGAGAAACTGGTGATAACAACTGGTTTGTAGAATAAAATGTGTACTAATTCGGAGATTGAATATCGATCGTAATGCATAACAAAGGCATCATACTAAATTTTTGCTCCACTTAAGTTGTACCTGAGCACTTGAGTTAAGTCGACCTTCACGAAGGATCATGGGAAACCCACGACATTTTTATTCTATTCAAGTGTTATGTTATTGGCATGGAAAGATTTCCTCTTTCGCTAGTTCTCGGAGTCATTTTTAGCACTCATTTCTACTAGCACGACGAAAACTTCGATTTTCAGTGTTCATTCTCAGCTGGATCCCAGTTTAAAGCAAACAATAAAAAAAATCTGAAAGGGAGCGGAATCAAATCTATGTGCAACTGGACTTTTCCTTGATATCTGACACTGACCGAGATTTTAATGAATTTTGTCGTCTTCAGAACGTGGAAAGTTGCTGCCCTAGCAAAGTATTCCCATGCTTACAGCAGAACATCTAACTAGTCCATTTTGATGTGATGTACACGCCTGCTCATTCTTCACTCAAAGAACCAAGTCAGACCATGATGGGAATATCATAAAGTATTTGTCATATCATATAGGAATTTGGCGCTCGCCGAAAACCTTTAGTGTGATTTAACTCTCACTTCTACGTACCCATCGAAGACAAAAATTCATCCACCAGTTTGCACAATTGTTGTGACCTTCCATATAGCAAAATAGTTATACAATAAACGAACCATAAGCACTATTGATAAGTGGTTAAATCGACAAAGGAAAAGCTAAAGGAACACATCATTTTTCATTCTCTTGGTTAAGACCTTATTGTTTAAAGAGCCCTATTTGCGAGCCGATAGTCCTTCACTGATCATTTCGAAGAGTAGTGTGAGTGAAATTGTTCTGAAGATCCACAAAGTTGCTTATGAATTGAGGGTAAAGGTGTGCTCGAATTCTGTGGAGTCTGTTGGAACATAAAAGTCTGATCGACTAAGTTAACCATAGTTCCATAAAGCACACAGTCCTACGAAAGCTCAACCAAGTTCAAATAAATGGAGCACAACAGACTCGCATGACCTTTACCTGAATACCCAAAAGTGTGGATTAGTATCGAAATTAGTGGAAAACCGAAAAAAGTAGTTTAACGGAAGGATGTTTCATGCTCTGTAGTAAGTTCTGCAAGACCAAAATTGGTAGTCACTTCTGCTGGTCTCCACAGTTTTGCAACAGAAAATATACAGCAAAAAACTTACCAAAACACCAAACGACCAGAAATCAACTGCCTCGTTGTATAGTTGCCCTTTGATAATCTGAAAGTAATTCGATAATCTCTTATTCCCTGTGAAACTCTGATAATTCGCTCCAGTTCAAAACAAAAAACTTGTTACGTAAAAGTTCATTTCAGATTTTTTGTCACTTTTACCTCCGGACTGATGTAGTCGGGAGTTCCACAAAACGTCGACGCCATGCCGTTTTCTCGATTCATTTCCGTTTTCGCCATGCCAAAATCGGCCAGTTTTACGTGACCTTCCGAATCCAGAAGAATGTTGTCCAGTTTTAGATCGCTAAAGTAATGGAGAGTTTTAACTTATTATTTACCACCTACTCTTTTTTTAATGGCAGGGTATATATTGCAAAATATAACTTTAATGATGCTGAGATATTTGCAAAACTCCGGACCGTAGGTGTCTGCGGTGGGGAATGTCTGCGCGCTATTGTCCTTACCGGGGAGTAGCGCACTTCACCACCACACCATGTGGGTCCTTCGTTTCGCGTGTCTCTCAGCAAGTTCTGTTAATCTTTTGCCATCAGCAAGCACCCGTCAGCGGGATTGATTTGGGTAGCCCAAATCCGCAACGAACCCAGTAAAGCTGAGGCTGCGGTTATAATCACAATTTTAACTTATTATTTACTACCTACTCTTATTTTAACGGCTGACGGGTGATTGCTGATGGCAAAAGATTAATAGAACTAGCTGAGAGACAGTTCGAAAAAAAGGACCCGCATGGCGTGGTGGTGAACGCGGTACTCCCCGGAAAGGACAATAGCGCGTTCGTTCCCCACCGCAGACACCTGCGATCCGGAGTTTTGCAAATATCTCAGCATCATTAAAGTAATGGAAAGTGTTAAAGGCTGCGGTGGACTAAGCCTCCGATTAAATCGAATTTCTCATTCTGACAGCTCCTGAAGCTATTTTGGTCCTTCTTCCGCAATCAGAATTTCAACATGGTTGGTGCTTTCCATACTATTTTTACCAAGTACTTTTCTTCAGTACGAAAACTCCCAATTTTCTCAGGTTTCAGCTGCGCTGACACTGAGCACTTAGGAAAACATCCTATATCGCTGTTTCACTCGATCTCCTAAAAAAACACAAGATGTTTTCAAATTCATGAAGTGGGGTTTTTGAAAACAGAAAATGATAAACGTGGAAAAATGCGAGGCAGCAATCAGGAACATCGAATCAGGAAGGTGAATGCATAATTCTTGAAGGTAAAGGACCTATTGACTTACTAATTTAATCAGACTTTTCCTTCTTTAATGTTATTCAATTGACTAGGCAGATTTTGTTGAATTAAAGAAAGCAAGAACACTGAACACAAACCGATAAATGATGTTGTTCGAGTGCAAGAACTGCAACGCAACGATAATCTCGCAAGCGTAGAAGCGGGTTCGATTCTCATCGAATTTCTTCACCTGCTGGATGTGATGCATCAAATCGCCACCGTTTAAGTACTCCATCACGAAGAACAAGTACTCCTGAAATTATGCTGCATCGGAAATGAAGCTAAGCTCGTTAAAACAGAAACTGTGAAATTTGTGGCCTGCTGTGTAAAAGCATCTCTACCGAGGGGGTTTTTTCTTAGCGCACTATTTAACGGAAAGATAAAACAAGTTTTCACAGAAAAAATCCCTGAATTCAGGACACCTCGATAACGACGCAACATCTTGCTAAAGTCTCGAAGAGTTCACCACGCCGTCTACGAATCCCTCGTGGGAAAGAACGTAGAAAGGCTTAGGCAAGGAGCATAAGAAGAGGTACCGACACTAGCAGAACTCCAGATGCATAGTGTTAAACCTTTCTACCCCATTTTTTCGTTAGTTTTCATTCCACTCATTTTTCGTCATATTTTGGTACATTTTCAAAATTCTTTACCTGCTCTTGTTACTAACAATAGCGTTTTTCATTGCTTATCTAGTACCGTAAAATATTCTCACATTTGTCTGGAACGAACAGAAGAGCTGGCAAAGGAATGGACACTGGCTGGCCAGAATCAGAACCCGTCGCTCAATATAGGTGCACTCGGTGTCGTCATCCTCGAGAATCACGTCCTTTTTTAAGCATTTCATTGCGTAGAATTCGTTCTTTCCTTTCAATTCCACAAGCATCACCTAGTACAGAGCTAAGATAATATGATAACTAATTCACATTCTTCATAAAAATTCTCCCTATGTCTTCCATGATCTCTTCCTCTAGCTCTCTTCCCAAAAAACCTAATACATCCCCCGTTGCTTGTATAGAACTGCCACACTTCCCCACTCGCAGAGCTGCAAAAATAGAAATATGCAAACCAATAGAGTGTTTTGTTGATTATATCTCGACTTGTCCCTCTAAAGTATCGACGTGCATTCTTCTCTGACCGATCCAACAGTTATATAAAAAAATGTAGCTTCTACGTTGCATAGAGTGTACATACCTTGCCGAAACTTCCCTTTCCAAGCACTTTCAACAGCGCAAAATGATGAAGTCCGAACTTCTTCACTGGTCCATCGCCACCAGCCCAGATATTATTCATATACCTAAAAGTGATCCATTCAAGGTCGAACCATAGATATATTTCTTTGGATTGTTCAATTTAAACGAGGTTCTTCGGTAACTTTTATTCGGCTGGCGTTTCGACATTTTCATCTTCTTCAGCGCCGGTGATCCGAGTTGAAGGTCCACAGCTGCTCGTCCAAGCGTTGTAAGTGTTCGTTAGCCAAATAAAAGCTATGCAACAACCTCGTTTAAGCTAAATAATCCAAATAAATATATTGATTACTCATGCCGAGGTTACGTGAAATTCGATTTGGTAAAGTATGTTCCACGAAAGGACGCGTGCAGCGCAGTAGCTAAAGGCGCCCTGCAACATACATAGGTTCGGTCCCGTACCCTTGGCTCGCCAAGCCTTCCATCCCTCCGGGATTGGCAAATTGGTGCCAGACCAGTCTACGAGGATAGCAGCAGTGGCTCGATACATTTGTGGGCAACCGCGAGTCATTGTATAGACTAGATACGCATTCGATCACCTGTGACGATGCTTAATGAAGTCGAATAAATGGTGCATTTCTCAGGAAATGATCAACGCCGACTGGTTTATCCTTCTATCCTTTATGCACCATGAATGGTCTTCTTCACAATAAACTGAAAACAGAAACTCACTCATCCTGTTCGGCATGATTTTCCATACTGTACTGTTGTTGCGCCTTGAAAAAGTTTTTCAGCTTATTCGGTAAACTTCCATTTGTATGTTTCGTATCGTTGCTGCTGATGTGAAGATTTCCAATTGCTGGCGGACAACTGAAACAAGTATACGGTAAGAGTGACAGTGTTAGTGAATCCGAAAAGCGCCGTGTCACTTTTGAGCTTGTAAATCTGAAAGATCTGGTTCTGGTTAGCGAGTGAACATGCGGATGCTTTCACTTTGAAAAATAAGTTAGACCTTAGTCTTATTGTCTTCGAAAGGTCTTGTTGGGTAGAAGTTAAAGTCGAGGAACCACGACACCACATCTGTAAGATAGTGAGCCAGGCACTACTATGATGTAATGACTTTTTACGTTGCCATTTATGATCACATAGAAAGTTTCGCATTTCCGGCATAAATAAAATTGCCATTATCCACGCTGAAGTACCACCAATAAAACACGATTGCGATTCGGATTCACTGTGGCAACCAAGAGGACTGCGCACTTCCAGGATTACCGCCGAGCTCCACCTGCGCCATCATGGCGCGCGTCAATGAGCTTGTTGCACACTAACCTGGAGCTGGCTGCTGTGCCTCGTTTGATCTCGTACAGCGCTTCGGAAAGCTGTTTCTGATTCACTCCACATAGATTCGACATGAGTTTCTCGCATTTATGATGGCAGTTCACGTTGCACACTAGAAAATTTATTCTTAGGCGAATTTGTTTGTCATTTGATCCGGAAGTGTTTGTAAAATACACAGAAAAACTTGAAGTAAAAAAAAGTAGTAATATGGTCAACTTCGACTGAAACGCTTGAAATAAAAGTGGAGATGTAAAAAACCAAAGTAGCAAAAACAACTAAATATTCTATGCAGAAGAACTTAAGGAATCAACTGATTCCATTTTATTACGTAGCTCACCAAAGGCTTTTATAAGCCTGAAACAGCCACAAGATGAATGATGACGATGTCTTTGTACAAAGTTGAGATGGAAGGGCTAAAAACCAATTAAAACCACCCAAGCTTTTTTTAATGTCGTATGCTTCATCCATGAGTTTGGTTATATTCCCCTAAAAACTTGTGCAAAGTGCAACTTGTTGAGGTTCGGACCCCATAGTCTCCCTTGTTACCGATCTGACTGGAAGTTAATAATAAAGCACACCCAACTATTATATCCAAATGAGACATAGAATCGAAAGCTATTATTGACAGATCGGATAAAGCAGTTTATGAAAGTCAGTTACTGTATTCAGACAGATTCTGAAGGACATTTCAGTAGCTATGGTTTTCAACCTGTTAAAACTTTCGTTTGTGTGGTACAAAATCCATCTCATTGAAAACCTGAGCAGAAATGTGCAAGACTTATTACCTTCACATCTGAGACCTTGTTTGAAAAGGCCGTAAAGCATGGAGCCGCAATGATCACAAAAAGTTGGACTCTTATAGTTGTAAGTCCTAAAACGATGAGGAATGTCCACTTTGAAACGCTCCTTCAAAGCCTGAAATTGTCAAGGGTCACTAGCATTCTTTACACTCATGATTAAACATATCCATAACGTCAAAAGAGTAGAAAGAGTCATTTTTTAAAAGTCTTCAGAGGTTTTCGAAATTCTGGGTGCAGTTTTAGACATGAAAAGACGTCAAATATGTTCTCGCTCTTTTTTGTTCCAAAAATTATTTGATAAAGTGATGAATCTCGTTGACAGGTTACTGTTGATGGCACTGATCGATAGAACTAGCTCAGAGACAGGCGAAACGAAGGACCCGCATGGTGTGGTGGTGAATGCGTTTACACACCAGAAGGGATAATAACGCGTTCGTTCCCCATCACAGACGCTTGCGGTCCTGGGTGCGGTTTCGCAAATATCTTATCACCATTGTGGTTGTATTTCGCATAATACCCTGCCATAAAAAATTGTAGTGGGTAGCAAATAAAAAGTTAACAAAGTGATGAATGTTGTTCTGAGCAGATCAGAGGAATCCAAGTAGTGAGCGGAGCAATGAAAGCAGGAACTTGAATAATGAAGAGTAATTCCGAGATAAAATTAGCATATGGACCACTAATTGGTAGATTTGTTCAAAAAAAAGTTTCGACCTTTATCAAAAATATGAGGCTCGGATGTCTGCTAAAGTAGACTTAGAGAGGCAGATATGATACTACAGAATGACTCCATTCTCGCTTTCCTACCCCTATTCACATGTTCTCGCTTTTATGATAAGGTTTAATAGTGAAGAAGAGAAAAAAATACTGACGATCGTTTCCTTGGTGTTCTTCGCCGATCCCGGGCAGTGCATTATGATCTTCTCGTGACACTTCTTATGCACCGCTGTCGAGCACAGCTGGCATTGGTATCCTTGCTTGTTAAGTCCCCTTAAGAGAGACAATTAGCTCATAGGTCCACGTCTCAGAAGACTTGTCATTTCAACTGATTCGTAGAAAGACGTGTTTATAGATTTCAAAGGAATACAACAGGTTTTAAATGTACATTGTGCAAATGACATTCGTTTAAAGTTGCAATGTAAACATGGAAAATTTCAGTAGAAAACTTTAAAGTTGTCAGAGAGTCGAGAGTCGTCGAAAGAGTGGAAAACCATTTCATTAGAAAAAATGGATTTTTCTCCAAAAACTGTGCTCTTGGATAGGTTGGTTGGTCGATGAACGCCGACAGTTTCACTGCCGCACGTTATACGAATAATTCCGATTATGAAGATAAAAACAATAAAAAATGGAGTAGTGAATAGGAAATCAATATTAGATCCTAATAAAGTACCACATGAAATCGGAACACAACGAGCAGAACGTTGGCTGTCGGAAGAATGTCGCAACAAACTGGTGACCACGGATCTCGTGAACTCGAGCGTGCTTTATCGCTCCTAAAGTGGAGCGCTAAAATCTTTACGATGGCTGCAATATTTAGTTCCCTGAGAATTCTTTGAGAAAATGTAACTCACTCCGGACTAAAAGAAAACCAGTTTTCACGACTTCAAGTGCGTACACATTTTTCCACTAATGATATTCATCTGATGGCTGGTTTACCGTGACGTAGGTCCATGTTTTTATGATGTCAGTGCAGGGCTCTTGTTACGCGCTGCGAGTATTGTTTTGAATTTCAAATAGTTCTTTCCTTTTAAAAGTTAACGAGTAAGTTGAAGTCTTTCCGAGTACAGCAAAGGCTGTGCACCTGTTGTGGAGTTGCTGTTCTTCCATATCTTCATGTTATTCGTTAAGAAAGTATTAGAAAGAACTCTGTTACACACTATAATCGAGCTGCCGGCTTGATAATCCAAGAAACTATTCTAAGCGAAAAATTCGACTAGTCTTATAACAATCACGATAGATCAGGCGCTTACTGAAGACAGAACGTTTGGTAGAACGATAGAGGCTGTTAAAAGAATTTCCTTTGATATTAGTCAATACTTCTGTGTCTTGTCATATTTACTCTATCCATACGAAACTTCTAGTGCCTTGTATCTTGTGCAGAATTTGATATGGTGAATTTTGTAATAGATTCTGCACTATGTTACGAATGAGGGAACAAATCCCATCGGTAACTGTTATAGAAACAGGTTTCGAATCAACATTTCCTACTTTCATCGAACTTTAACATAGAAGCAATCGATAAGCTTGCAGGTGGTTGGTTTAGAAACTTTTTATGGAGGCTAAAGTTTCGGAGCCATCGCCTTCTTCAGAGCCTCAACGATTCGAGTCTAATATCCTCAACGTTCGACTTTGCGATATGGGTCCGCAGACATTTTAGCGACGATAAAATATCCAGCTTCTATGTGAGAAGCGGTGAACTGTGAGACAATTTGCTAATTATAAACTAAATCCAACTCCGTTATTACCCTACGTTGGCTTGTAATTTGTTTTTTGCAACGAACCCACCTCAGACTTCAGCAACAGCCCCTTATGTGAGGCAAAAACTCAGCAAAGCAAGGAATTTCTAAGAGCGATTTGGAAGAAGGAAATTCGTATCCTTTACCTACATCGTCAATGAAATGAACTCTCTTCGCCATGGTATGTAGCACTTACTCCATATTTTTGGAATACCTATTCAAATAGTACTAACTGGGTCAGAGTTTCACTAATGCGTTACTGTAATAAGCCATTCTCACAATGCATCGTACAGAAGACACAAAAGAAAAAAGAAAACGCAAACTATCAATCACCTCGTCGCCTTTGCAGGCCTGGTCCTGAAGCCGTGCGAGTTGCCATTGGTGTGTCATCTACTGGATTGTCGTCTTCATCTGAAAACACAGCTAAACTACTGGACTATAGACTTTCTCCGACTGGTGAGAGCTTTCACTGTGAAAATCATGAAGCTGCCTCTAGAATCTACCGTAGGTCCATTTCATACGTTCACAAATGAAACACCTCCAGATGCAGCCTACTCTTCGTCGGCAGTAACTAACCGACAATCCAAAAACCTCCACTGAATGCTTTCAAATAGCTAGTCATAGATAAATCAACGATCAATAAATAGAAAAATAGGCATTTAATTTGTGGTGACAAATGGTAGGCCGGTCGTTGTTTTCTTTCCAGATTACGCGGAAAAGCGATATTATTAAGGAGCTATATCTGTAATAGATTCTTAACAAGAAAAAAAAATGTTGTCCCCTATAAGAACACCCTTTACATACTTTAATAAAATAAGAAGTACAAGTAAAAATTAATGTAAGGGATGCAGTTTCACTCCAATGGATGCCGGATATTCGGCATAGGATGACGTGTTAGTGAATTTCAATAGACTTCGAAAGTTCTAGACGTAAGACACTCGGCTATGCTATCCGATTTGTACATGTTTTTTCCTGGATCAGAGGTTTTGCGATCAACATAGGCATTCGATATGTGTGAAAATCGTTTTCTCATATTTCTCACATTGGACCTCCGTGCCATCTGGCCCGGGTCCAGTTTTTGCGAATATCACAACATCGTATATAATGCTGAGATATTTGCAAAACTCCGGACCGCAGGTGTATGCGGTATGGAACAAACGCGCTATTGTCCTTTCCGGGGAGTAGCGCACTTCACCATCACACCATCCGGGTCTTCGTTTTGCCTGTCAGCTAGTTCTATTGGTCTTTTGCCATCAGCAATCACCCGTCAACGGAATTGATCTGGGGAACCCAAATCGGCATTGAACCCAGTTAAGCTGAGGCTTAGCTATAAGCACAACCGCATACACCTGCGGTCCGGAATTTTGCAAATATCTCAGTATTATATACGAGTTATATTTCGCAACAAAGCCTGCGATTAAAAAGAAAAAAGGCAGTAAATAAAAGGGTTAAGATTATCACAACATCGTTGTTTTCTCATATTATACAAGAATTTGACCACTATCTTCGGTCACAGTTTATTTCACCTCTAAGCGATTAGAATGCTGTGATTTCCAAGCGTCATCGAGTTCATTGAGTGTCGTGGTGCTTCTGAATCGCTTTGCTGCTTGAAAATTGAAGGGAAGTTTTCGTGACTTTATGTATAAAGTCCAAAAGGAATAAGCCTTACGGAGAAAAGTAAATGGATGGAATTCGGAAACGAATGACTATGGATGAATGAGATGTCTCTGCTGTTCTCTTTCTCTCTCTCACACTGCGCTCAGCACATTCCACTATGCCGGTGGAACAAGAAAGCAACCTGAGAAACTATCTAAATTTCCACAATGCTGCCCCAGACTAAACATTTTTACTACCATTTGAACAGGTATCGTATTGTATTCATAACGGAGCGCAATTAATTTTGCGAACTAAGCTAAAGCCTTTGGTTTTCAGTCATCATAAGTTGTAAGGTTATTGTCGTTTTCTTGTTCAGCAATCGCGAGGTTTTTAAACAGCATACATTTACTTCCATAAAAACACAATACAATACAACGCTAGCTGACGTTTCGGCCTCTGACGAGAGTCGTCAACCACATGCGACTATAATCAGCTGTTCTAAACTTCCTCATTGGAAGTCACGAAAAAGCGGCTCTGAAGAAGGCGATACTGCCGAAACGTCAGCTAGCGTTGTATTGTATCGTGTTTTTATGGAAGTAAA